CAGGCAGCAAAACTTTACGCCTGGTGGATTTCAATTCCCAGAATTCCCCAGGCAGCAAAACTTTACGCCTGGCGGACTTCAATTCCCAGAATTCCCCAGCCAGCAAAACTTTACGCCTGGTGGACTTCAATTCCCAGAATTCCCCAGCTAGCTAGGGAGTTGAAGTCCGCCAGGCTTAAAGTTGCCAAGGTTGGAGACTCCTAGTCTAAAGAATTCGCTCTGCTCTGCGATGAATCCTGTGCGCCAACTGCAGGATTTATACTAAGGAGTATAATGCATCCAGTCTTTAACCCCAAGTTTCTAGACCTTAAGGGCACCGCGATTGGGCCAGGCATTCTGCAATGGGAACTGGAGAAAACGCACACCAAGTTTCTGCCTAAATGAACTGCCCTGCCCTGCAAGAAGCGGCAGTGAACCTGTGCTCCGACTATAAAATTTGCAGTACAAAGCAAGAATATATGGCAACAGGTCTGGTCTCTTTAACCTAAGTTTCTAGTCCCTAAGAACATACTATGAGCTCAGAGATGGCACACCATGCCTACAATTCTCTCCCCCCCCCAACAAATCTATTTTAATCTTCATGCCTCATTCAGGCTAAATATGGCAGCTGATCTGGCCTCTTTAACTCCAAGTTTCTAGTCCTTAAGGAACTTGTGATCAGATCAGGCATTGCCTGCAAATGGGGACTGGAGAAAACACACCAAGTTTCTAGTCTTAAATGAACTGTCCTCCTTTGCAAGAAAAGGCCACGAGTCCATGATGTTCAGACTATAAAATTTGCACCTAAGAAGCAAGTACGTGTGGCAGCAGATTTAGTAACCTAAGTTTCTAGTCCCTAAGGACATACTATCAGCTCAGAGATGGCACACAATGCCTGCAATTCTCTCCCCCCCCGCCAGCCCCCAACAAATCTATTTCAATCTTCATGCCTAATTCAAACTAAACTCTGAAATGGAAACTAGAGTGAGTAATTCTGGGCATATTTATCAGGCACAGAGCCAACCTGTTAGAATGTGTCCCGAGTTTGTCAAGATTAAATTAATTTATATTTAAACCCACTTAAAATCACGGAAACGAGCGCTGGCCTCTGCTCCTTTTTTTTTTTTGCATTTCTCCCGTGCCAAAAAAAAAAGAAAAAAAGGACTTGCCAACGGATTATTTCCACGTTAAACCTTTAAACATCACCATTTAAAAAAAAAAACGGCATCGGGAAAAATCCGTGCAAAGAGCATTCCAGAGACGTGACTGTCTGCCAGGCGAGGCCAAAATAATTTCCTGCCCCACAACAAAAGGGCCTGGGTGGATGAGGCAGCTCTTTTAATCCCCGGATATTTCGGGGCCTGGCTGGCACACGGGAGCATGAGGCATCTCCGGACAATCACTTCCAAAGTATGCATAAACCATGCGCTCCAGGGACGGCCGTGCGGGGCTAAAAATCTGGAATTTGGCCCAGCGTTTAAGACTCCGGGATTCGTTCTGCAAACTCCCACCATCCGATGCGCTGTATCCTGGCACGCTTGGGGGCAACGGATTGAGCAAATTCGGAGACCCCGAAAAGGGAAGATTTGTGAAGAGAGGTGGGCGGCACATGAATTAACAACTGGTTCGCCCAGCACCGAAAATGCGAGCGTATGTTTGCCTTCTGCGCATTCGTTTTGCTTGCACGCGTGGCTTAAAAAACATGGCTAAATAGGATGGCATAGTGCCAGGTCGCAACTACAAGGTTCGCCCGAACCGGTCAAACCGGCAGCAGCCCACCATGGCCGGATGGGAGAGAGAGGCCTGGTCCAGCAAAATTCAGATTTTTTCCCAAGAGTTGCAGAGTAAGAAGGTGAATATAACTAATAATTAGAAACCAGGAATGAAAACAGGTGGTTTCAAAGGAGGTTTAAATATTCATAGTCCTCGAGTTATGACCACAATTGAGCCCAACATTTCTGTTGCTAAGTGAGACGTTTGTTCGGTTGAGTTTTGCCCCCACTGTACGACCTTCCTTGCTACAATTGTTAAGTGAATCAATGTTAATCAGCTGTTAATAGGTTAAGTTGGTGGTTTTCTTGCAAACGTTTCATGACCAAATTAGGTAACATCATCAGTGCTGAAAGACAGTTGGCGGTTTGTTTTCTGTTTATATACAAATAATTTGCTCTGTAAATGTAGATGGGAGTTATTTTTTTGGTGGTTCCCCAATTAGACCGTGGTTTATTGCTGGCTTGTTTGTCTGAATTGGTAGTTCCTTGACTGGGGAACTATTTATTTGATTATTGGCCTCGCGTTAACTTTGATCACTCCAGGAATTAGCAACACAGACAAACAAGCTAACAGTAAACAACGGCTTAATCGAGGAACTAACCAAAGATCACTCCCACCATCATTTACATTTACAAATTATTTGTATGCAGGTAGTCCTCGACATACAACCATTCATTTAGTGACCGTTCAGTTACGACACTGGGGAAAAAAAGCGACTTATGACTGTTTTTCACACTTATGTCCTTTGCAGCACTGGCACGATCTCGTGATTTGCATTCGGAGGCTTGGCAACTGACTCGTATTTATGACGGCTGCCGTGTCGCAGGGTGATGTGATCTCCTTTTGAGACCTTCTGACGAGCAACGGGGAAAGCCAGATTCACTTAACAACCGTGTGACTCACTGAACCATCGCAGTGATTCACTTAAACAACGGTGGCAAGGAAAGTTGTAAAACGGAGGCAAAGCTCACTTAACAGATTTCTCACTTAGCAACATACATTATGGGCTCCGTTGTGGTCGTAGGTTGAGGATTACCTGTATAAACAGAAACAAACCCCACACTGTCTTCTAACACTGATGATGTTACCTAGTTGGGTCATGAAATGTCTGCAAGGACCCCAAGAAATTTCAAAACTGTTAGTCCTCGGCTTATGACCAGTTACTTAGGAACCATCTGCCGTCACGAGATCGCATTTGGGGTGCCAAGCCACTAGCCTGTGTAGCCATGTTAATGTGGCTCCAATTTAAAATGTCTTTCTTTTTCTCTGTTAACTGGAGTTTACATTCTGTTTCCAGCCAAAATCGCCCACTGCGGATAATAATTTCACTTCACGCAACTGTGGCTTTCGTTTTAAGGACAAGGTTGTTATAAAAAAATCAGACACGGTCAGATGGTGTCCTGCTTAATGACCGTGGTGAGTTAACTATCTTAATTCCAGGTTCCGTTGCAGCCGCAAGTGGAGGACTACCTATAGGTTAAGTTGCCAGAATAAGCCAGCTTCTATACAGGTAGTCTTTGATTTACAACAGCTCGCTTAATGACCGTCCAAAGTTACACCGCGACCGAAAAAAGTGACTGATGGCCATTTTTTTTTCACACTTAGGACCACTGCAGCATTCCCCACAGTCATGAGATTTGCATTCAGGCGCTTAACAACTGGCTCATATTTATGACATTCCCAGGGTCACGTGATCCCCTTTTGCGACCTCCTGACAAGCAAAGTCCACGGGGGGGGAGCCAGATTCACTTAACAACTGTATGACTAATATAACAGGCGGTGCAAAGGTGGTAAGAAAAGAAACGGGGCAAAACTCACTGAACAAATTTCTCTCTCGGCAACAAAAAAAATTTGGGGTTCAATTGTGGACTTAAGTATGTAGTTTATTCTCTTTCCTCCAGAAAGGGAAGTCTGCACTGGTCCAGCAATCCACTGGATCCAAAAGGATCAAGCCACTGATCCTTTGTACATTTAAAGAGAAATATTTCTCAATCTCAGCCATTTAGAACAGGGGTCTCCAACCTTGGCAACTTTTAAGACTTGGGACTTCAACTCCCAGAGTTCCTCAGCCAGATGAGGAACTCTGGGAGTTGAAGTCCACAAGTCTTAAAAGTTGCCAAGGTTGGAGACCCCTAATTTAGATGCATTTGTGGACTTCAACTCCCAGAATTCCCCAGCCAGCACCCTGGGAGATGAAGTCCATTGCATCTTAAAAGAAGCCGAGTTAGGTCTATGTAAATTAGTCGATACAGGTAGTCCTTGACTTGCGGCGGTTCATTTAGTGACCGTTCAAAGTTACAACGGCACTGAAAAAAAAGGGACTTACGACCGTTTCTCACGCTTACGGCCTTTGTTAACGATCCCGTGGTTGTGCGATCAAAATTCAAGACACTTGGCCATCGGTTCATGTTTATGACCGCTGCTGTGGTCCCAAGGTCACACGACAGGCGAAGTTAACGGGGAAGCCAGATTCACTTAACAACAACCCGTGTTACTCGCTTAACGATGGCAGTGACTCGCTTAACAACTGCGGCAAGGAAAGTCATAAAATGGGGCAAAGCTCACTGAACAAACGTCTTCACTTCACAACAGAAATTCTGGGGTCAGTTGTGGTCGTAAGTCGAGGACTACCTGCACAGGTATTCCTCCACTTACAACCATTCATTTAGTGACCGTTCAAAAACTACCTACGTCTGTTTTCTCAGTTACCTTTCCAACATCCCCTCATGGTCATGGGATCAAAATTCGGACGCTTGGCAAGTAGTTCCTATTTATGACCACAATCCTCCCCTTTTGTGACTTTCCGACAAACAAAGTCGATTGGGGGGGGGAAGCCGGATTCATTTAACAACTGGGTTACCAACTTCCCAGCTGCCGTGATTCGCTTTGCACCCTTGGCAAGAAAAATGGGACAAAACTCACTGCTTAACAAATTGTCTCGCTTAGTGACAGAAATCTGGGGCTCGACTATGGCCGAGGACTCCCTGCACCATACACATTAATACATCTTCATTCTGGGTGCGTGAAAGGACAGCCCCCTCCTCCCCTGCAGCCCCCAGCCCGGCTACAAAAATGGAGCATTTTTTCCCCAGGCCATTCTTCCAAAGACGCAGACTTCTGCACCCTCCCTCCTCCCTCCCTCCCTCCCTCCCTCCCTCCCCAGGAGCCCCTTCCTCAAAGTCCTTACCCTGAATCCTGCCGAGAAGACACACAGGCGGCGGCCGAAATGAGGACCGTGGGTCCGTTGGTCGGTTTGTTTTAAACATAAACACCCACAGGGGAATTTATTCAATCCATTGTCCTCCTTGGGAATGCAATGATGAGAAAACGGTATACTTGGCTTGGTTCTTAGCATCAGCTCTTTCTCTCTCTCTCTCTCTTTTATATATATATATATATATTTTATGACACGGAGACACACAAACTTGGCAGGAAACGAACTCCTGAACGACCGAACGTCTTAAAATGACCCGCATGATGGGAGATGGCGCGCACAATGATTACTTGAGTGGGTGGCTGGATTTGCTTTTAAACACAGAAAAAAAAAAAATCTACAGAGGGGTTGGGTTTTGGGAGGAGGGGGGGGCCGAGGTGAGGTTTCTCTCGCAACGAACACACATGTCACACGTCACTTCCACATTTCTCAAGCGGTCTCCTCGTGGCGCTTGCTGACCGACCCCCCTCTCTCCTCCCCACCTTCTCCTGCCTGCTTCCACCCCCCCCCCACCCCAGACGTTTTCCTGGAATATAAAATAAAGAGCTCGGGAAGACCCCCGAGCAACTCTGCCCCCCCACCTCTGCTGGCCCATCCCTTGCCCGTTCGCTTCCTGTCCGTTATCCAACAGTGAGAGTGTCAAGTTAGGAATCTTTTTTTTAAAAATAAAACAGTGGCTTAATCTTTCTTCTTCTCTTCTGCCGTTTTAACCGGGAGGGCTTCGGCGACGGGAGAGCCCCCTGAATTGGCGACGGGGGTCTCTCCGGCTCCTCTCTCTGTCGCTGCCTCGGCAGGGCTGTCGGCGGGACCCTCGGCTTTAGCCCCCGGTGGGCTGCTGGCCAACACTGCAGGGATACCGTCCGGCGGAGCTATACTCGGCGGTGTCGCCATCCTTCCTGGTTGGTCCTCCCCACTGATGCCGAATTCATTGACGCGGGTTGGATCCACCCGGTAGATCCACCTTTGGTACAGGTAAATGAAGAACACGACATCTGGGGAGGGGGGAGAGAAAGGAGAGAGAGCAAATAGTAATCTAGAACCAGGAAAAGAGGATTTCTCAATGTTGGGAATTTTTAAGATTCTGTGGACTTCAATTCCCAGAGTTCCTCAGGCAGCATGGCTGACTTGGGGGGGGGATTCTGGGAGTCAGAGAGAGGAGAGAGAGAAAGAGAGAGAGAAGAGAGAGAGAGAGAGAGAGAGAGAGAGAGAGAGAGAGAGAGAAAGAGAGAATCGGGCCATTTCCGGCCTCCAGAGGGCCTCCGGGGAGGTGGGGAAGGCTGGGGGGGGGGGTGTCACGTGTGCATGCGCAAGGGGTGGGGCGCATTGAATTATGGGTGTGGGCACACACATGCGCGATCCCCCTGGGCTCCCCCCCGCTTTTGGCACGCGACGGCAAAAAGGTTAGCCATCACTGCTCTAGGGATTATGGGTGTTGAAGTCCACCCTGGTTTGATGGGTGTAAGGAAAACAACCTTGGGAGAGGGAGGTGACCAGATTGCTGCTGTTACGCAGGGCAGGGGAGGGACGGCAGAGGCCGAGAGAGAGTGAAGCCATTACCGTCGCGAAGGCAGCCTATCCTGTACATCATAGGCATCTTGATGACGAAGGCGAAGAGGTCATCGATGAAGGTGTTGAGGGCTTTGTAGGTGAGCATCCTCCAAGGCAGGTGAGCCACCGACTTCAGCTTGTAGTTGATGAAGAGCTGGGGCGTCATAGTGATGAAGCCTGGAGGGTGAGAGAGAGAAACCAGCGCCCTCGACTTAACAACCACAACCGAACCCAACTGTCAGGTTTCAAGGTCGTCTCAAATAAATTGCATTTCAAACAAAGTCTTTGATGAAAAACTCCCATTTATTAAGCACGACATTCTAACTCCGACTCCATCGTAGCCAACACTGATTTCCAGACCCAAAACCCTCCCTTTCCGTTCCCCACTCCTCTGCACTCATTGGCCATCTTCCAAGTCACTCTACCCCTAATCTACTGCTCCAGCTCAAAGGAATTTCCCCCCTCCCATCCCATCTCCTAGGGGATATTATCTCCAGGGAAAATAAGTAGGTGAAAAGTCAAACGTCCCTTTCCAGACGCCTCCGCTTCTCCTTCTTATGTCAGCACTAGAGTAAATGCAGCTTGAAGTGCTGATACCAACATTGACCTTGTTAAGCAAACTCCCTGGTTGGGTGGAGTTTCGCCCCGTTTTAAAACCTTTCTTGCCGCAGTCGTTAAGCAATTCGCTTGCAGGGGTTGTGTGAGTGACAAGATTTGTTCAGCGAATCCGGCTTCCCGACGGACGCTGCTCGTCAGACGGTCTTTCAAAGGGAATCACGTGACCCCATGATATGAACCGTTTGCCGAGCGTCTGAATTTTGATCAGGTGACCGTGGGAATGCGGCAATGGTTGTTAAGTGTGAAAAATGGACATAAGTCACTTTTTAAAGGGCTGCTGTAACTTTGAATGGTCACTAAACGAACTGTTCTAAGTCGAGGACTTAGAAATGCCACTGAATTGACTGAGACGGAAAGGGAAGGATTCTTTTATCTAAAGGGCTGTGGTGGCGCAGTGGTTAGAATGCAGCATTGCAGGCTGACTCTGCTCACTGCCAGGAATTCGATCCTGAAAGGGCTCAGGGTTGACTCAGCCTTCCATCCTTCTGAGGTGGGTCAAATGAGGACCCAGATTGTTGGGGGCAAGAGGCTCTTTAAACTGCTTAGAGAGGGCTGGAAAGCATTATGAAGCGGTATATAAGTCTAACTGCTATTGCTATTTGGACTACCTCAAAGGACTGGCAGGTGGGAAGGTAAGCCTGGGAGGTGGGGGGAAGCTGTTAGAGGTCAGCCACCCACCACTAACTCACCAAAGGTCAGCAGGAAACCATACAGCATGCTCAGGATCCAGGAATACCAGCCCTTGTGTTCCATGTAGAGCAGGCTGTATACGGCGTAACAACCCAGCAGAGGGAAAAGGATCCAGGAAAGGTACCGAAAGGCCATCTGTGAAGGCAAAGGGGGGGTTGAGGGTAAGGCTGGGGGGGAAAAAATCAAGCATACCAGCATTTCAGGAGACGGGAACCCACCCGGGGCCACCGAGGGACTAGCTGCATGAATCAATGTTTTCTGGAGTCACCAACAGGCAACATCTAGCATAGCATTTCTCCATCTTGGCAGACCTTGAAGATGGGTGGACTTTGACTCCTATGGCTGGCTGGGGAATTCTGGATGTTGGAAGTCCACCCATCTTCAAAGTCTACGGAGATTCTCAGTCATCCAGGGTCATCCTTGTCTCAAAAGGTGCTTTTTTGAACGGCAGCTGGATTTTGTTTTTCCCTGGAAGATGTTTTGAGAAGCGAAACGTCTTCAAGGAAAAAGAAAGTACCGTATTTTTCGGAGTATAAGACGCACCTTAGTTTTTGGGGAGGAAAATAAGACAAAAGCTGATTGGCGGGTGGATCGGCCTCCCGGAATAACCCCAATCAGCTGTTCCCAGAGGTGAATTTTAGCAACAGGTTTCTTGGTTGTGAGCTCTGTGCCTTGCTTTTTTTTTTTCTGCCTCTGAAACTTCTGAAACTCCATTTCAGAAAAAACTTTTTTTTCTGCCTCTGAAAGTCTCTGAAACCGAGCTTCGGAAAAAAAAGCCTCCGAAGCTCTGTTTCTGAGGCTTTTTTTCTGAAGCTGTTTGGAGGCTTTTTTTCTGAAACTCTGTTTGGGGGCTTTTTTTCTAAAGCTTCGTTTCTGATGCCTTTTTCAGCCTCTGAAACCTCCGTTAAAGAAGCTGGGTGGGGCTACATTCGGAGTATAAGACGCACCCAAATTTTCACCCTATTTTTTTGGGGGGGAAAAGTGTGTCTTATACTCCAAAAAATACGTTAAGTCCAGTTGCCTTTTGAAAAAGTCCCTTTGGTACATCCATCTTCAAATTGCTGAGGTTGAGACATACTGACTTAGTACCTCTGCCTCGGTTTATTTTTGGCCACTAAAACTGGATGGAAGGACTGCCTTCTGATAACAGACTGGAGGGGAAAATACCAGCTATCCTGAATACCTGGGAGATGTTCACACCTGGGAAGGCTTGAACTTACATCATCGTAGATTTTGGTCGACGATTCGATGTACGTCGATTTGTCTTTGAATGTTAAGCGTGGGAAAATCCCAGCAATTTTGTTCTCGCGATCCAGCTGTTCGGCAGCATCAGGAAACAGAACGGGAGAGAATGAAGGGAGGGTTAGATTTTGAGACATCGGACTGGTTGCACAGCTGCTTTTCCTTCCCAGAATCCCCTCCCCGAGTGCACTGAGGCTACAATTCCCATCATCCCCAATCATACCTATGTCCGTGATGGGCTGGGAAAAGTGGAAAAGGATGGACTGTAACCAGGAAAGGGTTGAGAAAGTCTGTTTTACAAATAACTCAAGGCGGTGAACGTATCTAATACTTCTTCCTACTCCTATTTTCCCCACAACAATCCTGTGAGGTGAGTTGGACTGAGAGTGAAGGATTAGCCCAAAGTCACTCAACTGGATTTTAAGGTGGGACTAGAACTCACAGTCGCCTGGTGATTTGCCCAAAGCCACCAAACTGGCTTTCATGCCTAAGGTGGGATTAGAACTCACCGTCGCCTGGTGATTCACCCAAAGTCACCCAGCCAGCTTTCACGACTAGAACTCACCATCTCTGGGTGATTGGCCCAGCTGGCTTTTGTGCCTAAGACAGGACTAGAACTCCCAGTCTCCTGGTGATTGACCCAAAGTCACCCAGCTGGCTTTCAGGCAGGACTTGAACTCACGGTTTCCTGCTTTCTAGCCTAGTGCCTTAACTACTAAACCAAACTGGCTCAATTCTTCCCCAACAAGTAGTTAGGCGTTCCCTTCTCACCCGGACATCCATCACTTTTGTGATCTTCCAGAGATCAATGAGCAGACCGAAGAAGACGCTGACTTGCACCACGAAGTTAGTTTCGTTATCCAGGATGTAGAGGAGGACCACGAGGGACTGGAACACCCCAAAGAAGACTGACCGTACGGAGAGGCCCTCCAGAGACTGCCTGCTGTTCCAGAACTGAATATCTAAGAGGGAGGATGAGAAACACAATTGAGGTTGGAAAAGGAAGTAATCCTCCTTCACCTCCTCTGTTCTGTTGGTTCAGTTCCAAGTGGGGAGAAAGACCCTGGAGACACAGAGGCTACTTGGAAATGATGGTTTAATGGTGGACAGGAGGACCACATGGGTTTGAAGTCCTGGGTAGCTGACCACATGGGAGTGGAGAGTGAGATAATAGTTATACCCTCTCTTGGGCTTTGAACTTGCTTCCTGTTCCTATGAAAGAAATGTATTCTGATTGGTTGTCAGACTCCCATGGGGCTATGCAGGGATAACTAACTTTGTAGGTTGTCTTGACTCCCAGGCTTGGTTGAATCCCGCTGGGTGATGTCATCTTCCCAGGTGCCATGCGGTGAGATGGGTAGAGGGCTAATCCTACCATGTCCTGAGGCTGAAGGTCTTTTGTGTTGTAGATAAGCTGGCCCAGCCTTTTGTCTTGTAGATAGGATGGCACCAGTCTTTCTGGGGCTATTAACAAAAATGGGGGGCTGCTTTCCAAGAGCGTGTTTCTCCTTTTCTCATCCAGGGAGATATAATATTCTGCCTTGTTAATATTTCCTAGAATATTTCATTCTTCTAGGAGAGGGGTAGGTGCTAACTTCCTACAGTTCTGTGGACAGGGTTGCTTTGGACTAGAATCTTGGTGACTTTAAGATGGGTGGACTTCAACTCCCAGAATTCCCCAGCCAGCCAGAATTCTGGGAGTTGAAGTCCACCCATCTTAAAGTCAGCAAGGTAGTGTTTCTGGTCTCTCGGGGTCGTACTAGGTTAAAATCGGCAACTTGGCCAAAAACTGACAACACGCAGCCGCGCGCATTCAACCCCAGCGTTGGGAAATAGATCCTGGAGATATCCCGCTTTGAAGTGTTACAGACAGTCCTCGACATACGACCGTAATGGAGCCTGCCCATTGTGGTCAAATTCTGTACCGGCCATAACATCGTTCGTTCGTGTGATTTTATGACCTTGTTTGAGATGGACATTAAGTGAACCTGATGGTGGTGAAGTAACATGGGGGGGGGGCATTAAGAGAATCAACAGTTTGCTATAGGTGAGGTTTTGCTGAAAACCAGAAGGAACTGTGTTTGGCCATGTGACCACAATGGTGGGGGGGGGCAGTGATGAAATTCTGAATGTGGATCATAAGTCCCCTTTTTTCGAGCTGGCTGTAACTTCAAACGTTCAATGGTAAGGTTTTTTTTTTAATTTGATTTATATGCCGCCCTTCTCCGGAGACTCAGGGCGGCTTACAATGCGTTAAGCAATAGCCTTCATTCTTTTGTATATTTATACAAAGTCAGCTTATTGCCCCCACAAACTGGGTCCTCATTTCACCTACCTTAGAAAGGATGGAAGGCTGAGTCAACCTTGAGCCTTGGCGAGATTCGAACTTACTTTAATTGCAGACAGCTGGTGTTAAATTACAGTGTCTTGTCTGCTGCGCTACCAGAGTTGAGAACTAATTGTAATCACAGCAGGGAAACAGGAGGGGAGAAGAGATTCTCCAAGGCCTTGAAAGACGTTGAAACCTACCGTTCTTGAAAGCAAGGAACTCAAAAACGCTGTGCACAATGGAAACAACGATCGTCAGAGCCAGCAAGTAAGGGTTCGTTTCTAACAAAGCCACCTGGGGGAAAAATAAACCAAAGGGGGTGTGAGACAACATGAGAAACAACATCCTAGACGTACAAAAACATCAGTAACGAGGCCTGACCATTGAATGGACTCAAGACTTGCACCCAGATCCCCAGGCCTGAGGACAATACCCTGTCCTAGTTTTAATTTTCGATGTATTTATTGATTTGCATTTTATCGCCTTTATTATTTTTACAAATAAGTCAAGGTGGTGAATATATCCAACGTATCTTCCTCTTTTTAGTTTCCCTACAACAACCCTGCGAAGTACGTTGGGCTGAGAGATAAAGACCTGCCCAAGGTCACCCAGCTGGCTTTCATGCCTAAAGTGGAACTAGAATTCACCGTCTCCTGGTGATTGGCCCAGAGTAACCCAGCTGGCTTTCATGCCTAAAGTGGAACTAGAACTCACTGTCTCCTGGTGATTGCCCAGAGTAACCCAGGTAGCTTTCATGCCTAAAGTGGAACTAGAACTCACTGTCTCCTGGTGATTGGCCCAGAGTAACCCAGGTAGCTTTCATGCCTAAAGTGGAACTAGAACTCACTGTCTCCTGGTGATTGGCCCAGAGTAACCCAGCTGGCTTTCATGCCTAAAGTGGAACTAGAACTCACCGTCTCCTGGTGATTGGCTCAGAGTAACCCAGGTAGCTTTCATGCCTAAAGTGGAACTAGAACTCACTGTCTCCTGGTGACTGGCCCAGAGTAACCCAGGTAGCTTTCAATGCCTAAAGTGGAACTAGAACTCACTGTCTCCTGGTGACTGGCCCAAAGTCACAAAGCCATCTTTCATGCCAAAAGCAGGACTAGAACTCACCGTCTCCTGATCATTGGCCCCAAATCACCCAAGCCTACTTTCATGGTTAAGACTGGACTACAATTCACAAGTCACCCACTTTCTAGCCTGATGTTTTAGCCGCTAGAGTCTAGACCAGAGGTCTGCAATCTTAAAACACTCCAAGAGCCATTTGGACCCGTTTTCCCACAGAAAACCTCGGGAGCCACAAAACCTCGGGGGGCGTGGCCAAGTCGACGTCACTCACTTTCACCAGTCACATGACCTCCGAGCCATTAGGGCAGAGAACCGGTTGTTAAAAAACAACGGGAACCACAAAACACTTCTGACATCTCTCTCTCTCTCTCCCTCCATCCCCCTCCCCTCTCTCTGTATCTCTCTGTCTCTGCCCCAGCTGCTTCTCCATCCCCCGCCGTCGCCCTTACCTTCTCAGGCCAGGTGAGGAGTGATTGGGAGGGGAGGGCGAGGGGTGGGGCCAGACAGTGGTGGAATCATCCAACAGGGAGCCACAGCAGAGGGCCCCAAGAGCCACATGCTGCTCTGGAGACGCAGGTTGCAGATACCTGGTCTAGACCAAACTAGCTCTCTTGTTTTTCCAGAATTGCTAAAACCTCCGTATTCAGCTTTTCAATACAAGGACTCTAGATGCAGTTCTGGAGTCAAAGAGTTTCCCCAGGTGTGTGTGTGTGTGTGGGGGGCTAGCCTTCCCCACCGCTCACCTTGACCGAATCCTGCTCCTCGTCAGATTGCCCGTACAAGTCCTCCCCGAGGAAATTCCAAGGAGATTTGCTATTCTGGGCAGCATAGAGCTGCCACCGCCAGAGCGAAAGCGGGCAGTAAGAAAGGCGGAAGGGCAACCGTTCCACGGTCTCATTAATGGGGTAGTAGTCCTTTTGCAAGTTCCAGTAGTCGTTGAAGTAAAGGATGGGGTAGTAGTCGCCACTCACGGCGTCGAACTTCACATCTGGAAAGGAAGAAGCCGAGAGCATCGTGTCAGGGTCAAAGATGCCACCAGGACAGAAGGGAGACCAGGGGGAATTAAGGAGAAATTTTCTGGACAGTGAGAACAATTACCGTATTTTTCGGTGTATAAGATGCACTTCCTCTCTTCCCCCCCGCCCCCAAAAGCGGGTGGAAATGTCTGTGTGTCTTATACAGAGAATGTTGCTGAAGCCCTGCCCGCCCGCCAGCCCCCACTCTTTTTGGCCTCTGCCTCCCAGCAGTTTACCTCCTTGCAGCAAACAGCCTGGTCAGCTTCAGCACAAGCAGCTGATTGGCGGTTGTATCGGCCTCCTGGAATACTGCCTATCAGCTGCTCCAGGCTGCAGGGATCACTGCCGCTGCCTGGAACAGGCTAAAAATGAGATGCGTGGAGGCCAAAAATGGGGCGCGCGGAGGTGGTGCTAGATGGCAGCAGTGATGGGTGGCAATGGCAGCGACAAGCGGTAGCAATCCCTGCAGCCTGGAACAGCTGATAGGCGGTATTTCAGGAGGCCGATCTAACCGCCAATCAGCTGCTTGTGCTAAATCAGACTGCTGAAGCTGACCAGGCTGTTTGCTGCAAGGAAGTAAATTGTTGGGAGACCGAGGCAGGTTTTTTCCCTTGTTTTCCTACCCAAAAGCTAGGTGCATCTTATATTTCGGAGTGGCTTATAGTCCGATAAATATGGTAAATCAACGGAATGACTTGCCTTCAGAAGCTGTGGGGCTCCATCAGTGGAGGCTTTTAAGAAGAGGCTGGACAGCCCCTTGTCTGGCATGGCATAGGGTTTCCTGCTTGAGCAGAGGGTTGGACTAGAAGACCTCCCAGGTCCCTTCCAACTCCGTTATTCAAGAGCATCAGAGAAAGGGAAGCCGCTCCCCCCCCGCCAGCATATCCTGCCGCCAGAGCAACTCCGAGATTTGAAGCCTTACACTGATCCAGAGGGGGAGGAACACTGCCCTTCACCCACGGGGTGTGGTCATCCACAATGTTGATGGTGAGGTTGGGGTGCCAGTGCGAGATCACCTCCACGGGGCCAAAATCTTCAGCTCTCTGCAAGAAAAGCACGAAGGCTGAGTAACGTTTCTCCGGGGGGGCGGGGGGGGGGAGGAAAAAGAGAGGAGAGAAGGGGACATTCCAGAGCCCTCAGTAGTCATCCAAAAGAGTGAAATGTGATGGGTTCAATAAAGAAAAAGTAAAGGGGAAAAAAAAGAACTTTTTCGCAGCAGCTGTCTATGGAGATTCTCATTCATCCAAGTCATGGTTGTCCCAAAGGTAATTTTTTTTTTCAAAGGGCAACTGGATTTTCTGTTTTTCCTGGAAGACGTTTCGCTTCTCATCCAAGCAGCTTCTTCTGTTCTGTTCCCTTCGGTCCATTCCATTCCATTCTTTTTATTTTTATTATTTTTATTGGTTCGATTTATATGCCGCCCTTCTCCGGAGACTCAGGGTGGCTTACAATGCGTTAAGCAATAGCCTTCATTCTTTTGTATATACCTGCTTAGTAGGGCTTTCGCCCCCCTCCCCCAAAGCGGTGTTCTTTTTTATACGAAGTCAGCTTATTGCCCCCACAATCCGGGTCCTCATTTTACCTACCTCGGAAGGATGGAAGGCTGAGTCAACCTTGAGCCTGGTGAGAATTGAACTTGCAGTAATTTGCAGTAACAGCAGCAGTTTAGTCTGCTGCGCCACCAGGCTCCTTCCCCGCTCTACTCCATTTCATTCCATCTGTTCTGTTCCGTTCCGTTCCGTTCCCTATATTCTATTCCAGGAGTCTCCAACCTTCGCAACTTTAAGCCTGGAGGCCTTCCTGGGAGCTTCGCTGGCTGGGGAATTCTGGGAATTGAAGTCCTCCAGGCTTAAAGTTGCCAAGATAGGAGACCCCTGTTCTATTCTATATTATATTCTATTATTCTATATTCTATTCTGTATTGTACTGTACTGTACTTACTGTATTGTATTGTATGCCAGCTTTCCAAAGAGAACTCAAGAGATCTGACTGCAGGCCCAGCTAGACCCCGCCTAGGGTGTTTCCCAGTTGCGGTGGGAAAGGCCCTGGTGCTTTTTCCAGGTGAAGTACACAGGTGTGACTCCATCTGTATGCACGAAGCGTAACCTGAATACGAGATTCTCTCTCTCAGTCTCGCTTTCACACATCCAGAGCTCTGCCAAGCAGTCCCAAAGAGCTCAGCTTTTCCTCCCCTTCTTCTTTCAGATCTCACAAGCGCCCTCAAACCTCGTCTCTGGTTTCCAATGATGGCTAGTTACCATAGGGCCACTACTGGCTTCACTTATTTTTCCAAAAGGCCCCTAAGCTTTCTTTCACTAAGCCCAGGGGCACAGTTTGCAAAGTGCCGGGCGTTTTTTTTTTTTTTCAGTCTAAAAATTTAAATGAAACTTTTATTTTTATTAATTTATTTTATTTTTATTTAACATAACATTTTTTAAAAACATTTTTAACTGGTTTGTCATTTTAAATTGGGGCCAAATTAATATATCCTTTTAATTGTTTTTAATGCTTGTATTCTATGTTTTTAGCTGGCTGTACACCGCCCTGAGTCCCTCGGGAGAAGGTGCGGTATATAAATTAGAAATAAAATAAAATTAATTAATTAAACACCAAAAGGGGAAGAGGGCTGTTCAATCCATTTTGCTTCTTCCTACCTCCCCTGTTGTCTTCTTTCATCATCTTCTTTTAACGACCCCATAATCCCTTGCGGAGTAAGAGTCTGGGCAACTGAATGGAGCTAGCAGAGTGTTTTACTGGCCGGATGCCCTTCCTGTCACCAATGCGGAGTTTTGTTCAGCGGATATATTTCTCATTGTGCCCAGAGAGAGAAATATCTGCCTCTGCCTAGGATCGAACTCACAGCCTCCTGATTGTGAGGCGAGGGCTCCACTTCTAGGCCACCGCACCACTCCTTCTCCCTATTCTCTTCCAGTGTGGAAAATATGAGGAGAGTTTGCGGAATTCTACCCAGCCTCCTCAAAAGAAAGAGAGGCAGGCAGGGGAAAGTCGTGGCTCTTATTGGTGGGAAACCCCTCAAAGGAGCAAAGGAAACAATTTCAACAGGCAAACTATCATAGCCATTTGCAAATTCTTCCCCCCCCCCTTTTTTTTTTTTTTTGCAGAAGCCCAATTCCCTCAAGCAGCCGGAGGCTGGAAAGCTGAGGGACGAAGAGCTATGGGGATGGGGGTAAAAATTGGGACTTTGAAGGAGAAACAAGAAGAGGAGAAAGTATCAGAGAGATCACGTTACTTTTATCATTTCGGGATCCGCTTCGGTTTCCCCGGTTAGCAGGTTCTTGGTTTTCAGAAAGCGTCTACGTTTGTACTTATTGATCACTGCAAACGAAAACAAAACAGGGGAAAAAAAGGTTAAGTTTGGTCTGAGTTTGATCACTTTGGTATAGTGGTTAAAGCACCGGGCTAGAAACCAGGAGAGCGGGAGTTCTGGTCCCACCTTAGGCATGAAAGCCGGCTGGGGGACTTTGGGTCAATAACTAGGAGAGGGGGAGTTCCAGTCCCACCTTAGGAATGAAAGCAGGCTGGGTGATTTTGGGCCAATGACCAGGAGTCAGCGAGTTCTAGTCCCGCCTTAGGTATGAAAGCTGGCTGGGTGACTTTGGGCCAATCGCTAGGAGAGTGGGAGTTCTAGTCCCACCTTAGGAATGAAAGCAGGCTAGGTGATTTTGGGCCAATGACCAGGAGTCAGTGAGTTCCAGTCCAGCCTTAGGTATGAAAGCTGGCTGGGTGACTTTGGGCCAATAACTAGGAGAGTGGGAGTTCTAGTCCCACCTTAGGAATGAAAGCAGGCTGGGTAACTTTGGGCCAATGACCAGGAGTCAGAGAGTTCCAGTCCAGCCTTAGGTATGAAAGCCGGCTGGGTGACTTTGGGTCAATAACTAGGAGAGTGGGAGTTCTAGTCCCACCTTAGGAATGAAAGCAGGCTGGGTGATTCCTGGGTGAACAGGAATCAGTGAGTTCTAGTCCAGTGTTAGGCATGAAAGCCAGCCAATCATCAGGAGACTCCAGCCGTAAGCACGAAATCGGCTGGATACGTTTGGGCCAGTCCCTCTCTCTCAGCCCAATCTAAGTCACAAGGTGGTTGTTGTGAGTAATGGAGGATGGAGTTGGGTTGGATATGTGCGCCGCCTTATTTGGAAAAATAATAAAGCCTCGACTTTCAACATTCGTTTAGTGACCGTTCGAAGTGACAACAGAACTTTTTTTTAAAAAAACAACGACTTACAACTGTTTTTCACGCTTACGACCACTGCAGCATCCCCAGAATCACGTGATCAAAAGACTTGGCAAACTGGCAGGTTACTTATGACGGTTGCGGTGTCCCGAGATTACTGGATCACCACTTGTGACCTTCTGATGAGCAAAGTCAATGGGGAAGCCAGTGGGAAAGGTCGCAAGTTATTATGGTCACATGTTCCATGTCATGACCAAAAACATATTGCAAAATGGAATGTGTTCATATGGTGTCTCACTTAATGACCACACCATTTAATGAAGAACTTCCTGGTCCCTATTGTGGTTCGTAAGTCAAGGAATACCTGTAGCACCGCATCTCCTGCTGATAGCTCTCCATTCTGGGCAGGAATGCCAAGGTGACGGGGGAGGAAGGAAGTTATGGAAAGGATGAACGGAGGCCAACAACTAGGTTATTTGGGGGGAAACCTGTCAAACACGGAAAGCATTTCCCACAACCGCTGCCGACGCGAAGCTCTCAACTGAACAAAATAAAATAAAATAAACCACGGTTGGAAGGGAAGCTTACTTCGAGACGTGTGAACCGTGGCAAGGCGCCGGTAGAGGTTCTTCTGTTTGGGGTCAGGGTGGAACCCGCTTTTCGTAAAGTACACGTGGATGTAAATGGAACCGTTGTGTTGCACGCTCTGAAATCAGAAGTAAATAATTGTGAGCATAATAATTTAACACGCCCCTCCAGCAGGATGGGGATCTTCACCCGTTCGACAACAGAACTATGAAGGGGAGAAGCAGAGACAGAACTTGTGAAAAGGCCCAACGGCAAGCACCTGTTCCTGGAAGCGAGGCTTTAAAATGTCAAATGACTAACCCACCTGATTTTACAAACTTTTTTTTTTTTTTTACAATGGTCATTAAGGAAATGACCCAGTTGTTAAGCGAACCCATTGCTTGCGATGGGCCGGTTTTGCCAAACACCAGATGTAAATGCTGGGTTTTGGGATTTTTTTGGGTTTTTTTTTCCTTTTGAAGACGTTTCGCTTCTCATCCAAGAAGCTTCTTCAGCTCTGACTGGATGGGTGGGGAACGGGAAGATTTGTACTCCTTGCAGACAGCTGGTCCTTTGCCTTCTTTTTTAAGAGGGCCACTGAAGCCCTTGGAGGTTTATCTGTGTCTTCGGGCGTCATCTGAGTCGTGCAAATGGGTGTGGAGCCTACCGGATGTTTTTTCCCCCTGTGTCCCTTCCCTGTTGAAGACAGGTGTGGGCCCTTGGGGATGGGCCCGTGTTGTCTGCATCTCAAACTGAGGTGCAAATGGGTCCTGTAATCTGCAATTTGGGGGGGGGGAAATCCGGTCATGTTCTCACACCATTTGAAGGCAGGGGTGGGCTCCTGGGGGTTCGGTAGAACCTCTAGCTAAGTTTCTGTGCAGTTTGGAGAACCCCCAAATCCCTCTCTTGGCTGGGCCTGCCCTCCCCGCCCCTCCCAGGAGTCCCCACGCGGCTTGTTTTGGATGCAGGTAAGTGCAGGACATACGCGGAGGCTCGGGGAGGGTGAAAAACGGGCCTACTGGAAATTTGAAAGGAGCCTTGGTAGTACAGTGGTCTAAAGCACCCTGTTATTAAGACCAGCTGCCTGCAATTACTGCAGGTTCGAATCTCGCCAAGGCTCAAGGTTGACTCAGCCTTCCATCCTTTCTAAGGTAGGTAAATTGAGGACCCAGTTTGTGGGGGCAATAAGCTGACTTTGTATAAATATACAAAAGGATGAAGGCTATTGCTTAGCGCATTGTAAGCCGCCCTGAGTCTCCGGAGAAGGGCAGCATATAAATCAAATTAAAAAAAAAAAAATTGGGAATGGCCTCCCCAGAGCCTGGGGAGGCCATTTTCGCCCTCCCGGTGGCTCAAGAAAAACCTCCGGAGCCCGGGAAGGGCAACCCCCCCCACCATGGTGCAAGAGGCCGACTAGGCCACGCCCACCAAGCAACCGAGCAGAGAACCCCTTGCTAAAAGTTTTGAAGCCCACCCGTTTGAAGGGTGCTCATCCCAAAGAGCATAACTAAAAGTCTACGGAGATTCTCAGTCATCCTGAACGAAAGCACCTTTGGGGAAACCATGATCAGAATGACTGAGAATCTCCGTAGACCTTTAGCTTGGTTTTGTTAACATTGTCATAAAAGGCGCCTGCATGAACGTGGGACACTGCAAAAGGCCGTAAATGCAGATACGTCACTAGGCAAGGGAGGGAGAGGACTGACCGTTGTTAACTTTGAATCTCGGTGGTAAGTCCCACTTTTTCAAATCTGTTTTAAATTTGAGCGGTTGATAAGCAGCCAGTTGTAAGTGGAGGACTACCTGTAGGGTCATATACAGGCAGTCCTCGACTTACAACAGTTCCCTTAGTGACCATTCAAAGTTACAACAGCTCTGAAGTGACTTATGACCACTTTTTCACACTTATGACCGCTGCAACCTCCTGACAAGCAAAGTGAATGGGGAAACCAAAGTTATTTAGAAACCGTGTTACTAATTTAACAAGTGCAGCGATTCATTGAACAAACGTGGCGAGAAAAGTCCCAAAGTGGGGCAAAATGCCCTTAACAAATTTCTCACTTAGCAACCTAAATTTTGGGACTCGATTGTGGTCGTAAGTTGAGGACCACCCGTAGAGTCAATCATTTCCCCCGTCGCATTAAAAATGTGCCATTTGCTAACAGCTTTGGGACGTGCTTCCTTCCGGTACGAAAAACTATTCATGGAGTTTTTGGAGCAGAGAGGAAAACCCAGCTGTCAGAAAAACGGTGGCATCTGTTCACACACCTCAGGGATTTCCAACTCGGTATAACGCTCGTAGCAGCCATCTGAATTCTCGCCACTTGTCCAATCTCCGTAGACTAGATCTCGCTGTTCCCAAAACAATGCCGACGTGGTGTTGAAGTCGGTAAAGTGCTCGTGTTCGGATATGAAGACGTGAAGATCCTGCCAGGAAAAGAAAAAAAAACAACTCATGACACTGAGCTGGAACCCTCAGATAGGCACTTTCTCTGGCTGCAGGACTGAAATTCTCTGATTCAGAATTTGTCTCAAAGAGAAATAGAATTCTGTTACTGGTGTTAGGTTGGTTAGATGATAGATAGATAATCTATCATCTAACCAACCTAACGCCAGTAACAGAATTCTGTTTCTCTTTGAGACAAATTCTGAATCAGAGAATTTCAGTCCTGCAGCCAGAGAAAGTGCCTAGAGCTCCCTTCTCCACCAGTCAAAATCCGACTTAAACCCTTGAAAAATCTGGAATCAGGATTTGGCCATCCTTACCATTAAGGTGTCTTTAGGGAAAAGATTGCGGCTTGGTGCCCTGGGTGCTCCCCCGGGGGTGGATGGATCCTGGGTTGTTGGCCCGCGACGAAACCAGCTACTGATGGCCCAGATAATAAAGATTCTGGAAGACGAGAGGAAAAAGTAAAAAAGGTTGAGAATTCGTACCAGTTTTGAAACCAACCTTTCCATCGAGAGGCATCGGCCACACGGGGAAATTCCAGAGAAATTCAGATTGGACAAAGAAGATAAACTTTTCATCAACCATCATAAACTTGGCTGGGCAACATTTTTATTAGTCTCAACTCGAGGATCTAATAAGGGCAGTCCCCATAGACTTACAACTGTTTAGTAACCAATCTCGCCAGGCTCAAGGTTGACTCAGCCTTCCATCCTTTCTAAGGTAGGTAAATTGAGGACCCAGTTTGTGGGGGCAATAAGCTGACTTTGTATAAATATACAAAAGGATGAAGGCTATTGCTTAGCGCATTGTAAGCCGCCCTGAGTCTCCGGAGAAGAGCGGCATATAAATCAAATAAAAAAAAAAATCAAAGTTACAATGGCACTGTGAAAAAAGTGACAGGATCATTTTTCACACTTACAACTGTTGCACCCCACCCCCCTGGTCATGTGATCAAAATTTGGAATGCTTGGCAACTGAGTCGTCTTTATGACGGTTGCAATGTCCCGGGAGTTGTGTGATCACCTTTTGTGACCTTCTGACAAACAAAGTTAATGGGGGAGCCAGATTCACTTAATGACCCTGTGATTAATTTAAAAACTGCAGTGATTCACTTAACAAATGCGGCAAGAAATGGGGCAAAAACTCACTTAACAAGTGTTTTGCTTAGCAACAGAGATGTTGGGCTCAATTGTGGTCTTAAGTCGAGGACTATCTGTCTGGTGTTTCTCTACCTTGGTAGCTTTAAGACATGTGGACTTCAACTCCCAGAATTCCCCAGCCAGCCATGCAAGACACTGGTTAATGTTGGGCTCAATGGTGGTTGTAAGTTGAGGACTACCTGTAGGGAATCTCTTCAGGGATTGATATCCTGTGTTTTTTTCTACAAGAAAAGCAGCTCTGGAAAAACCAAGTTTTTCTATCCTCGTTTCTGATGACAGCACTGGTGTGGTAAAATCCTGCAGCTTTCAGAATCATAAAATAAATCTCCACCCCTTAACAACCGCCGTAGCAATTTCCTAAGTTACAGTTTTACAGATCTCGATTACACAATTCTTGGGCTTGTTTATGAATAAGTTAAAAGATAAATTAATTATGAGATGGCGCAAGAGCTCTTTTGCAAGAATTCTAGCAACCTGCAGGGACCGGCAACAGTCTGGCACTGTTTGGTATCCGATATCGGCTGCCTTCTATTATATTAGAAAACTAGCTGAATACCCATGCTCGGCTATGAAACTGTGTGATGGGGCTTGATAAATCAACCCTTGCAGCTTGAAAATTAATGAGTAGTTACGATCAGCCTGTCCTCTCCCCTTCTCTCCCTCAGGCGTGCCCCACAGAAACATCTCCTATCCTCAGCCTTGCCTCACAGAATCCTCCCCTATTCTACCCCCTTCACTCCCTCAGGCTTGCCCAACAGAAGCCTCCCCTATCCTATCCCCTGCTTGCTACTGTGAAAGTAAAACTGAAACTCCTCTCCTCTGCTTGTGTTTTTTGCATTTCTTTTCAAGTGGGGAGGGGAAGTAGAACTCCTTAGCATCAGAGCATGTTAATCATAATATAGGAAATACTAATGCTATGATGGTCATTTCGAAAAATCCTTTCTTAGTGAGCACATAGAAGCCAAGAGGAACATACGTGGCAAATTTCAAGTTTGTAGGCTTTATGGTTCTGGAGATTTTGTGATGATTTGTGAGTGGTTATTTCGCTTTTATATATACAATATAGATGCTTCAAATCCTTTTTTGAGTTACAAGCACGTGATCCGCAGAGGAATTCTATCAGGCCCCTCAGCACCGCGGCCCAAATTTAATCAAAAGTTAAATCAAGAAGCAAAGAAATATTTTGAAAAGCAGAGTCTGATCAGCAGCGTATACCGACTGAGGAGTTGTTTTCTGAACCAAAAGATCCGGGATTCAGATTTGGCCTTTCCGAGAAATGCATTGCTTGTACAACTTTGCTAAACTGATGTATTTATTTTATAATATTTTTACAGCTGCCCATCTCATTTCCATGCGGCTCTTGGCAAAGGGCGTGATTAAGGCACAAGCTAACCAATAATTCAGACCCCTTGTGCAATTCTTTCAGTTTACTACATCGCTAAATCCACCCTACCGCAGGAATACGCTCAACATTTTACTATGTTTACCAAGAATTGCTAACGGGCAGAGCTGATCAAGAGAGGGACTGTAAAAAGTGAGATAAAGAAGAGAGATCAAAATATGTACATTTTAGTTCTTTTTTCAAAATCTATCAATATTCTTAACAGCATTAAATTTAAGAAACAGCCAGTTTGGTCTAGTGGTTAAGGTACCAGGCTAGAAAATAGGAGACTGTGAATTCTACTCCCATTTTAGGCATGAAAGCCAGCTGGGTGACTTTGGGCCAATCATCAGGAGACTGGAAGTTCTAGTTCTACCTTAGGCATGAAAGATGGTTTGGTGACTTTGGGCCAATCACCAGGAGATGGTGAGTTCTAGTCCCACTTTAGGCATGAAAGCCATCTGGGTGACTTTGGGCCAATCACCAGGAGACAGTGAGTTCTCGTCCCACCTTAGGCATGAAAACCAGCTGGAGGATTTTGGGCCAATCACTAGGAGACTGGGAGTTCTAGTCCTGCCTTAGGCATGAAAGTCGGCTGGGTGACTTTGGGCCAGTCCCTCCCTCTCAGCCTCCCCACCTCGCAGGGTTGTTGTTATGTCAAAAATAAGAGGAAGGAGGTGTAATTATTTGTACAAATAAAGGTGGGATAAATGAATGTTTCTACCTATCCCATTTCAGTGGAAGCTTCATCCCTGAGTCTAATCTATATTAAAATCTATCTTGTTCTCTGATTCTCAATCATTTCTGGGTGAGGACATCTGTGGCAATATCCGCCGAGTCGATAGGAGGAGAGATACCGTCCCAAAACTGAAAGTGCTGTTACCCTTTGTGGTTCGTTGCATTAATAACCTCCCATGTTTAAAATTAGGGTTGAAGATAATCCACAAACTGGAAAGACAAAAGCCACAAGAGGTTGCGTACCAGTTTCTGATGCTTCGTGACTCATCAGTGAAACCTGAAAACCGAGGACAGCCTGTGTGTGTTGCCAGCTTGGACCATCTGATGAACCGTAAAGGTCTCTTGGCTTCTTCGCTTAACGACTATGGCAAGAAAAGTCGTAAAACGGGGCAAAACTCACTGAACCAATGTCTCCCTTAGCAAGAGAAATTGTGGGTTCGATTGTAGTCGTAAGTCAAGGACTACCTGTCCAGTGATGGAATTCAGCAGATTTGGGCAAACCTATAGTTAAAATTGCTGGCTGGCCCCACTCCTTCCCGGAGTCCTCATGCGCTCCATTTATTTATTTATTTATTGGTTCGATTTATATGCTGCCCATCTCCGGAGACTCAGGGCGGCTTACAATGCGTTAAGCAATAGCCTTCATATCTTTGTATATACCTGCTTAGTAGAACTTTTGGGGCCCCCTAAGTGGTGTTCTATTTTATACAAAGTCAGCTTATTGCCCCCACAATCTGGGTCCTCATTTTACCTACCTCGGAAGGATGGAAGGCTGAGTCAACCTTGAGCCTGGTGAGATTTGAACTTGCAGTAATTGCAGGCAGCTGGCAGCTAAATGCTATTTAACAGCACTTTAGTCCGCTGCACCACCAAGGCTCTTTGGCTCCCAGGTAAGTGCAGGGAGGCCTCCTAGGCCCAAAATGGGGCGCAGCCCGCCCCCCACGTTTTCGCTCCCAAGAGGCTTCAGCCTCCCCCCTCCCGCAGCACATTTTCACTCTCAGGAGGCTTCAGGGAGACTTCCTAGGCCCAAAACGGGGCACGGGGGGTGGGTGGGGGTGGCATGGACCCCCAACAGCCCATTTTTGCTCCCAGGGGGTGTGCAGGAAGCCGAGAGCTGCCCGTCACACCCCCTGGCCATGCCCACCATGCCAGTCATTAGGGCAGAGAACCGGTTGTTAAATTATTTGAATCCCACCACTGTGCTTGTATATATCTTCTATTCAACGATGTCCTTTCATCCTCCCTGCTTAAAGTGGGGCCATAACATTTTGGACAATTTTCAATTTAATGCGAGATGAATTACGATTTGAACTTTAAAGCGATCCATTTAAGCGATGGGAAAGGAAGCTGTGCCAAATTGCAGCGTTCTTTGCAAACTCATGAATTGGGAAGAAATGGTAGGGCAGCTGTTTGTCCATACTAGGGGGAAAAAACACTTGGATGCTGGCCCACTTCCAATTTGATTTGCACTTATAGATTGAAATATTCAACAGCTTCATCAGTTGGATGTTTTAATGCGTGGCTGGCACCCTAGGAGTGCCAAAGCCAAGTATTGCTGAGGTAGCTCAAGAAAGTAATATGAAGTAATAATTTTAATAAAGGCTTTGGAAACAACATCTCTGTCCTTTCCCACTGGGTCACCTTGATTTGCAAAGATTCCACTGTACTAAGAGCCTTTAGCTTTGCCTTGGTGGTGCAGCGGACTAAAGTGCTGTTAAGTAGCACTTAGCTGCCAGCTGCCTGCAATTACTGCGAGTTCAAATCTCACCAGGCTCAAGGTTGACTCAGCCTTCCATCCTTCCAAGGTAGATAAAATGAGGACCCAGATTGTGGGGGCAAAAATAAGCTGACTTTGTATAAAAAAGAACACCACTTAGGGGGGCCGAAAGCCCTACTGAGCAGGTATATACAAAAGTATGAAGGCTATTGCTTAATGCATTGTCAGCCGCCCTGAGTCTCCGGAGAAGGGCGGCATATAAATCGAACCAACAAATAAATAAATAAATAAATAAATAAATAAATAAATAAATAAATAAATAAATAAATAAATAAATAAATACATACATACATACATACATACATACATACATACATACATACATACTAGAATGGATTGGCTCCTACTTATACAGGTAGGTAGTCCTCGACCTACGACCACAACTGAGCCCCGAATTATTGTTGCTAAACGAAACATGGGTGAAGGGAATTTTACCCCATTTGACGTCCTTCCTTGCCGGAGTTGTTTTAAGGGAATCACCGCAGTTGTTAAGTTAGTGACATGGTTGTTAAGTGAATCCGGCTTTCCCCATTGACTCTTGCTTGTCAGAAGGCCGCAAAAGGGGATCGCGTGAGCCAATGGGGAAGCCGGATTCACTTAACAACCGTGTCACTAACTTAACAACTCGGGTGATTCCCTTAAAAAAAAAAAAAAATGGCAAGAAAGGTCGTAACATGGGGCAACATTCAGTTAATAAATGTTTCACTTAGCGACAGAAATTTGGGGCTCGGTTTTTTGGTCGTAGGTCGAGGACTACCTGTACGGAGAACACTTAGGCAGGGAAGTGTAGTAATTCAAAGCCTTGTGATCTGTCTGCCCTGGAATATTGGCAAGACCCCGAGAAGCAGTAACAGGAAACTGACATGGAACGGGATGCTAGGCCACTTAACGCTTTACTAAAGAGCCAGTGTCACAAAAGTGCTTCTTGTGTGGTTATCTTTTTATTTATTTATTTGAACCCCATCGTTATTTGTAGGAATAACTCAACTCAGCAAACATATCCACTACATGTTCCTCCTCCTCCTACTTTCCCAACAACAACAACGACCTTGTGAGGTGGGTTGGGCTGAGAAAGAATGAGGGGCCATTCATGCCTAAGGCGGGACTAGAACTCTCTCTCTCTGGCTGATTGGCCCAAAGTCACTCGGTGGGTTTTCATGGCTAACGTGGGACTAGATTTCTTATTTTCTAACCTGGTGCCTTAACCATGATTAGGCCAAACCTGGCTCTTTTAAGCCCAGCCCTCTCTGCATCTAGAACAGCGTGGTTTTAAGTAAAAATAAAACATCAGGCCTGGCTTTGGTGTGTGTGTGCGCAATGGCCACAATAGCAATAGCACTTGGATTTATATACTGCTTCACAGCCCTCTCTCCTTTACGTTTTTGGTAAACTCATTCAACGAATCCAAGCTCTGCAAGCTAAATAGGAAACCTTAATTTTGTTTGCAGATAATAACATCAAAATTTCTAACCACCAGCAAGAATGAGTCCTTAGATTTAAAGAGCACCTGTCATTTCAGATCCATCGTGCTCTTTAAATGTTAAATTTAAAACTCACTGTTGACTCACCGACTCACTCGCCAGTCACTTTAATGGGACCGGCTGGTGATGCGGCAGGGACACATCAAGATGAGGGACGTGGCACGCAGCAGGTGAGTGAATGCCCTCTAACACGTCCCTCACCTTGTTGTGTCCCTGCCGCATCACCAGCCATCCCATTGAAATGACTGGGACTGTCGGTGAGTCAACAGTGGGTCAGAGGAGGAGCTGCTGCGGGACGGAGATGACAGTTGCACTTTTGAAAATTACGATTTAAATCGAGTTGATTTAAATCAAGCCTTTTTACTAGTGATTTAAAACGTGATTTAGATCGTGATTTAAAAAGACGTGGTTTAAATCAAATCCACCCAGAGACCAATGCTGGCAGGACCGGCTCACCCCTCTATCCTGCATAATGCACAACGTGAAGACAAGAAGGGGGGGAATCCAGAAGGGCTGGCCGTTTTTACCTGAATAAGACTCCTTTGATGATTTGCCAGGCATTCGGGGCTTGTTGCTGAGGCTGATTCGGCTGCTGAGTCTCCACGACTCCTTCGCCGCCCCCCGCGGTGCCATTGCTCGTCACTTGCTTTAGAAACAGGGGAAAAGAAAAGAGAAGACGGGTGTCACAAAAAGCCACTGGACCACAAGAAATCGGATTTCTTAAGTCGGGAAAATTCTGAAGGTCATAAAAGAAAGCTCATAAAATGGGGACAAAACTCATTTAACAAATGACTCATTTAGCCACAGGGATTTGGGGCTCGGCCGTGTGGTCGTAAACCGAGGACTACCTGGATTCAGCAAGTGAAATGCTAAGCCAATATTTTACGACTGCTCTGGCGATAGATTGATGATCACAGGATGGCCAATCTGCTTTCCACTCCAAGCACAGGCACCTGAAGAAGCTTCCATCACGTTGTTCAGATGCATTGCCTGGTTTTCGTGATTAACCTTACGCCGAAGCAGAGGCAGAAAGTATTACGCAGGGCGAGAAGTCTTCTAATTGGAGAATCAACCCATTTGATCTCCTGTACGTTGGTGTGAAATGGGGGGGGGGTGTTATTGCTTTGTGAACCTCACACCACTTTTGCCGATGAATCTCATCGGGCCTTGCCTTCCCAGCTAACCAGTTTGGTGAGATCTTTTCGTCTCCTCCTAAATATGACTTTAAAACTTGGCTCTGACCTTATTTGCAAATATTAAACAAGCCTCGATTCTACTACTATATGCTAACCTCCAACGGGGAAAGTTGTTCAATTAATCCAACCTTTGACCTTATTCTTTTAATAAGTGACTAAACTTATCAGGAAGTTATGCAACAATGGCAACAAAATTACACACATAAGGACTTCTCATTGATGTTTTATATACACACACACACATCTTTAGGGAATAGTTTCAGTAAAGGATGACCATATATCTCACTGCAATTATCCACACATAACCATTTATAAGCAACTTACTCCTCTAAGTGGGAAGGAAGATCAGGTTTTCAATTAACTAAGTAATTGGGGTCTTAAATTTGTCTTTTTACTGTTGAAGGACTAGCTAATTTTGCTAGACTGGAAATCTTTCCCTAAAAAGTATTAGATTGGTCTGGAATTTAGTAGGTTTCGATGGGTGTGTTTTTACCTAGGTACAATTGTATTAGGATTTATTTTGGGACTCTAAAAAGCGTTAATCTTATTACCATTTGGGAATTAAATAAAGCATTAATTTTTCAAATGTTAAATGATACTATTGGCACAACACCTACCTAAATTATATCACTTCTTTATAGCTATAGGAAACCTTCCAATGTCAATCCCATTTTACAGATTATCTTCCAGATTCACAGTTTATGTTCCTAATCAATCCTAAGGGCACACTAAATCAATAAAATTAACTGAAAAACAGAAGTGTTTGAATTTATCTTTGGAATATGGTGAAGCTCAAAATTCACCAGCCGAGGATTCCAACCCTTTTCTCAAATCTTATGTTTTCACCCCAATTACAGAGGTTAAGACTCTGAACTCCAGGCTGAATAGTTATTAGAAAAACTCGATCTTATGCTAAGGACAGGATTGACTTCAAGGTACGATTATGCCTTCATCTGAAAACAGAAGAGAGGCCGAGCCAGACTGTAACCTGAGGATATTAAATGAAAACAGAGAAAGTGATAAGGAGAATAAAGGAGAAGTAGATGAAAGCATCCAGGTAATAAATGCTCCAGGGGAATCCCAAGGCACATTGTAAGACACCACTCTTAAAAGATACGGATGGCAGGCAATCTGAGTTAAAGAGCAGTTTCCCAGCAAAGGGTGCCAAACCACAGGTGTGGAAAGGGTAATTCCTTGCATTTATCCTGTCTGAAGCAGTTGGCAACCAGCAGCATTCCGGGCACTGTTGACTAAATATTGACAAAAAAAAATATAGAGCGTTCCTTCAGGATATACCTCCGCCCTCCAAATCGATGGCTTTTCTGGAGAACAAAAAAGGTAATTTTCCACTGTTAGAGGAGGGCTGCCTGAATGTGTGAGCGCTGCTCGACTGAAATATTTCATTTTGGAGAGGGGAGCCTCGAGAAATAACTCAGGCAGAGTACTTTACCACTGCACTAGGCCCTGATAAATGCTTCAATAATTCTCACTGTTGAGATGCAACAGAATTATTCCTCTCCAGGAAAGGACAAGTGGGGGAAAAAAAGACAAGAGGACTGAATCAGGAAGCTCAAGGCAAACAATACCGTCTTTCAATGGGTGTTTTTGTTTAATAGTGGCTTTTTATTAGCCCATTTGTTTCTTACTACATACTAGTATCCCCTGGTACATAGTCCAGGAATGGCTGCTGTTGACAACAATGAGCATTTTACAAGAAGAAAACAGAGCATTTCATTTCTGGTCACAAGTTCAGAAAGGATTTATTTAAAAAATATATAGAATAAATCTCACTGGGGAGGAGGATGCTTGCCACCTTTTTTAGAAATCATGTGACAGAGGGAAAGAGGTGGATTTCTGTCATCTAAACCAGGTTGCAGGTGATAGTTCACCAGGGCAGGAATCTTTGCAACAGCAGGAAGCTTGACAAAGAAACGAGTCATTCCTCTGGCAGATGAAGAAACAATTTGGGCTCTGTGTTATTTCCCCCACGGAGGAAACTACAAAGCAAAATATGCTGGAAAAGGAAGAAAGCAGAATGATGTTGGCCGGGGGGGGGGGGGGCGAGGGGAGGAGAACCTGTACCTAGCAGGGAGGCCAAAAGCCAATTCCCCAAAAGAGAGGAAAGAAAGGTAAGTTAAAAACTGTAGCTCGAAAGGAAATGTCAAAGCAAACAAACACCAGTAGTAATTTTTTTTTCTCCTGGTGGAAGAATGGAAAGCAGTAGCAATTAATCCTGGCTAAATGTCGATGGCCATGGTGGTACTACCGAGAGGTAAATGCTTTAAGGATTCACCTGGAAGGAAAGACAGAGTAGAGATACAGCAGGAGTCTCCAACCTTGGCAGCTTGAAGATATGTGAACTTCAACTCCCAGAATTCTGGGAGTAGAAGTCTACCCAGCTTAAAAAATGATGGCTGGGGGATTCTGGCAGTTGAAGTCAACCCATATTAAAAGATGGCTGGGGGATTATGGGAGTTGAAGTCCATCCATCTTAATGGTTACTGGCTGGGGAATTCTGGCAGTTGAAGCCCACAAAAGAGCCTGGTGGCGCAGCAGACTAAAGCACTGTTATTAACATCAGCTGCCTGCAATTACTGCAAGTTCAAATCTCACCAGGCTCAAGGTTGACTCAACCTTCCATCCTTTCTAAGGTAGGTAAAATGAGGACCCAGATTGTGGGGGCAATAAGCTGACTTTGTATAAAATATTCAAAAGTATGAAGGCTATTGCTTAACGCATTGTAAGCCGCCCTGAGTCTCCGGAGAAGGGTGGCATATAAATCAAATTTAAAAAACAAAACAAAAAACTCTTCAAATTTCCAAGGTCGGAAACTCCTGAGATACAGGTCTGTAACCATGAAAGCAGTGGAGCAAATCGAAAAATGACAGGACACAGTTCTGTCTTCATGAATGGGGCGGAGGGGGAGTGGGGTAGCAGAAGCCACTGACTAAAGCTTGGATTGAGAAAAGGAAGTTGACAATCCAGAATGGAGAGTATCAGGAAGGCAGTCCTTAAAAGCGGATGAAATAGGAGGCCAAACCGTCACATGATTCATGGTTGTCCAAATTGGCCATTCAGTTCCATAAATAGCCTTGGCCAACAATTCGTGAATCATCCTATTCCTCTGTGGCCATTGCAAGAATAAAATTGAAACAGTAAGAGGCCTGAAGCTTCCTTCTAGATTGTGTGGATTTGTTTGGTGGTTGCCAGATTTCTGCATTGGTTTCCTTGGGATTTTTACTGTTGGATTATTTTATCGTTGAATTACTGTTCTGGGGTGTTTCTCTCTGTTGAATTGCCCAGAAAGTAGAGTGGGGTAGAACAAAAATTAGGTTAGTGATTACCTGTAATAAATAAGGTAGTTCTCGAGTTACGACCCCAACCGAACCCAAAATTTATGTTGCTAAGTGAAACATTGGCTAAGTGAGTTTCTCCCATTTGACGACTTTTCTTGCCACTGTTGTTAAGCGAATCACTGCAGTTAAGTAAATGAGTCACAGGGTTGTTAAGTGAATCTGGTTTTCCCCATTCACTTGGCTTGTCAGGCATGACCCCGGGGGGGACCCGCCGTAAATGTGAGCCAGTGGTCAAAGCACTCCGAATGCAAATCAACGTGACCGTGGGGATGCTGCGACGGTCGTTAACTGTGAAAAAAACGGTCATACGTCACTTTTTTTTTTTCCTCCTCCCCGGTGCTAGTAGGTAACTTCGAACCGTTGTAAAGCTGAGGACGACCTGTACAGCACCGAATTCCCCGGAAAGGACGACCGAAAACAGATGAAATCCTTTGGATCCAGTCGATTCCACCCGATCCAGGTAGTTAGGATACCTGTGTCCCCTGATCAAGCCTGTTTTACTTCACTCCCACCCCTCCCTCCATTTTCCTGGCTGAGTTTTTAGACAAATAGGTTAAAATTGGGGAAAGGGGGGAGGGGGTGAGATGCTGCCCCCCCTGTCCTCCCCCCTTAAGACCTTTGAGCCTGAAAAACGTCATTCATATATATATATATATATATAGGCTATAACCTGCCCCCCCTCCCTCTCTGGAGACGTTGGGACTACCGTTCCCAGAAGCCCCTACTAAGCGCGGGCACGGCCGCCTGGGCCGGGGATTCTGGGAGTTGTAGTCCCAGCTCCCACCCCCACCCCCGAGGGGCGCCTGGCCAGAGACTAGGGTTTTTTTGGGGGGGGGCGGGGAAAGGAAGGAAAATCCTGACTTGTAAGAGCCGGTTTGGTGAATGAGGGGAGATTGGGGGTCGTGTGGGGGGGGGTCGTGACTGGGGGGGGTCTAATGGAGGCCGTCACGTGATTCCAGGGAAGGGAGGGGCGGAGGGGAGGGAGGGAGAGAAAGTACCCCCGGGGGGGGCGAGTGGAGAGTGAAGGCCGGGACTATCGCACCACGGGGAAAGGAAGCCGCCCGGGATGGATCCCCTGAGGGGGGAAAAAAGACAGGAGAGCCCCGCCGGGAGTACCTGTCCAAGGCCGGCTCCCGGCCCTGCGGCTGCTACCACCTCCGTCTCCGGCGCCGCCATCTTGCTGCGCCGTTGCCTGGTGCAAGTCTCGCGAGAATTTCCTCTCTTTCCCAACTCCCGTTCTTACCACCCCCTCCCTTTTTTTTTTTTGCCCGTCACGTGGGCCTCACCTCCTGGAGGCGGGGCTCGTTTGCAAGGACTCGGGTACCGTAATGCCGAGAGAAGCGGCGCGGAAGATTACCGTATTGATGGATGGACTGCCTGCCTGGGATGGCCGCTGAAGGAGGGCGAAGGAAGGTTGGTGGCTTCTTCCCGCGCTTTAGGGAGGCGGGGTGGGTTCCTCCGGGCGATCGCCTCTTGAGAGGCTTAGTTTCCCGAGGGATCTGAGACTCGGAGCCAAATCTCCTCCAGAGAGGAGCCAAGAGTTTTCTATAGGAGGTGGAAGCTGAGCTGGGTTGCTTGTTTTCCTGCAGACGTTTCATTGCCTAGGTAGGTAACATCATCAGTGCAGAAGGGAGTGGGGTTTGCAGCATGGAGGAGGAAGGAAGAGGAAAAGGAGGAGGAAAGAGGAGGAGGAGGAGGACAACGACTATAGGGTCTTTGGTGCCCTCTGAGCTTATCTGTTTTCCTGCAGACGTTTCATTGCCTAGGTAGGTAACATCATCAGTGCAAGAAGGGAGTGGGGTTTGCAGGGAGGGGGAGCAGGAGGGGGAGAAGGAGACTATAGGGTCTAGGGTCCTTGCTGCTCTCTGAGCTTGGTTGTTTTTCTGCAGACGTTTCATTGCCTAGGTAGGTAACATCATCAGTGCAAGAAGGGAGTGGGGTTTGCAGCATGGAGGAGGAGGAAGAGGAAGAAGAGGAGAAACAGGAGGAGGAAAGAGGAGGAAGAGGAGGAGGACTATAGGGTCCTTGCTGCTCTCTGAGCTTATCTGTTTTCCTGCAGACGTTTCATTGCCTAGATAGGTAACATCATCAGTGCAAGAAGGGAAGGGGGTTTGCAGCATGGAGGAGGAGGACAACGACTATGGCGAGATCCAGCCATGAATGGTGTGAAATGAGTTTTTAATGTTTTTAATTTTTCAATGTTTTTTTATAATTATTTTTTAAAATGTATTGCGAGCAGCCCTGAGTCTTCGGAGAGGGGCGGCCTATAAATTAAATTAATTAAATTAAATTAATTAAATTAAATGATAGGGTTTTTGGTACTTAGGTAACATCATCAGTGCAAGAAGGGAAGGGGGTTTCTAGGGAGGGGGAGAGAAAGAGAAGACTATAGGGTCCTTGGTGCTCTCTGAACTTGGTTGTTTTCCTGCAGACCGTTTAGTTACCAAACTAGGTTAACAGTGCTAGCACTGATGATGTTATCTAGTTTGGGTAATGAAACCTCTGCTGCAGGAAAAGAAGCTCAGAGAGGGCCCCTGATATCAACCCTGACCCACAAATATTCTCCTTTGTTAGTTTTCTATATGCTTAATGTTGTTATCTAGGGGTCATCCAGACATCTGCAACCCGGATCTAGGAACCTTCGATCTTGTATCCATACCCACTGAAAGTGTGACCCCCAACATGTCAGTCAAAAGCCAGTTGATTGCTCTCCCTGTCAGAAAATTTATCCTTATTTCCAGGTTGAATCTCTCCTTGTTCAGTTTCTATCCATTATTCCTCGTCTGACCTTCGGGTGCTTTGGAAAACAGCTTGACCCCCTTCCTCTCTGTGGCAGCCCCTCAAATATTGGAACACTGCTATCCTGTCTCCCCTGGTCCTTCTCTTCACTAGACCAGCCATGCCCAGTTCCTGCACCGTTCATCATATGTTTTATCCTCCAGTCCCCTCATCATCCTGGTTGCTCTCCTCTGCACTTTTTCTATTAGATTCTCTCTTATATTATATATTAGATTCTATTAGATACTCTATGATTGTATATATTATAATGTATTAAAAAGAGATCCAGCCTTGTGTTCTGGAGGGCCCTCCTGAGAATACAAAAACAATGAAATGCACACTGTGGTATCATCACATAGCTTGTGAAATGACTTCCTTGATTGCTATGTATATCTCTCCCTTTTATTTATTTATTTTTTATTTATTTATTTATTGCGATTTATATGCCGCCTTTCTCCCTAGGGACTCAAGGCGGCTTACAAAATGACAACTTCAATACAAATCACAATACAATACCAAATTAAAATCAGTAACCCAATTAAAAAATGATTTAAAATTATACCAGTGTACCAAAGACATTCTAATGCACATCTTGCCATCTTCCTAACATTCTGTAACCTTCATGTGTTTTAGCCTCCAGTCCCCTCATCATCCTGGTTGCTCTTCTCTGCACTCTTTCTAGAGCCTCAAGATCTTTTTCATAGCGTGGTGACCAAAACTGGATGCAATATTCTAAGTGAGGTCTTACTAAGGCTTCATAGTAATGTAGGTAATGTGGGTCCAGCTAGATGATCACTGAAGGGCCCTCTTTATTCATAGTATTGTAAGAAAGAAAATGTGCTTGTTTGAGAGAAGCAAATGTATCCAGTTGAAACAGTACAAAGGCAGACAAATTCCTTTGAAGTAGAAACATTCTATAAGAGGGGCCCCTCGGTTGTCAGAGATAGAGACATTTGGTGATATACAGTTTGAAGGTTAAAGAGACCAAGGATGACCACATGAAATATCAACAAGAGATAATTTGAATCTTATGCTTCGGTGATTTACAAGAAGAATGATGATTGTTTGGCAAGGATAATATGAAACTTAGTAATTAGAAAAATGTCATTTGATGTAACGAATGTCTGCAATGATAAAACTGCTGAATTCACAGAATCCTTGGTTTGAAAATGTATAAAGCTGGGGTCTCAGGATCATAAGTTTGTTCACAGCTTCATGTACAAACTGGCTCTGAACCTATTGCGCAATACACTGTCTCTGACTAACCAAGAAAAGTTGTGTTGGTCTAATTATTCCACAACAATAGAGTGGTATTAGTACCTCCCTTGATTTCTTTCTTTCTTTCTTTCTTTCTTTCTTTCTTTCTTTCTTTCTTTCTTTCTTTCTTTCTTTCTTTCTTCCTTCCTTCCTTCCTTCCTTCCTTCCTTCCTTCCTTCCTTCCTTCCTTCCTTCCTTCCTTCCTTCCTTTTCCTTCTTCTTTCCTTCCTTCTTCCTTCCTTCCTTATTTATTTCTTTATTTCTTTCTTTCTTTATTTTTTTCTTATTTCTTTCTTCTCCTTCCTTTTTTCTTTCTTTCTTTCTGACTTTCCATCATTCTTTCTTTCTTTCTTTCAGGCCTTTCTTTTTTTTTTTTTTTCCTTTTTTCCTACTTTTTCCTTTTCCTTCCTTCTTCCTTCCCTCTCCTTCCTTCCTTCCTTCTTCCTTCACTAATAAGCTATTTATAATTATTTATTTATTTTAATTTATTTAGTACTGATTAGAAGTATTCTTATAACCGCTTTTCTCTGCTTTTCACATCTACCTTTTTTCCTCCCCAAACAAAAAATTAACAACAACATACCTTACTTTTAATATATTATATATTTAATTTACACAAAGCAGCCTTCTCCAAATTTAAATTTGTTCAGTTCTATCCGTCTTCCACTCCCCAAAATATATGTTTAAAAATCCTTTTTCTTAAATAATCAATCACTAAACTAGCCTATTTCAACCCAGTTTCTGCAGATTACCATACACTACAATTCTAATATAATCCCACTGCCCACTCTGCTAAAATATACATATGTCCAGGCCAAAATCTTGATCGTATCCCTCTGTTCATGCAATTTAGGAATTGCATTGGCTTTTTTTTTTCTTTTGGCTGCTGTAGGACTTCCCTGTATAACCTTGCTTGACTTATCCACGGGATGCCTCGGGGGAGGGGGAAAAAAAAAAAAGAAAAACCGCATTAATCGGAAAAGGCGCTTCCCAAGAAGGCGAAACCGAAAATAAAAGCCCCGAGCTTCGATCCAGCTTTCTGGAAAGGGGAGAGAAAAAAAAAAAAAATCGCATTTCTCACACTCCCCCCTCCTTTCTTCTTTTCCTTTTTTTTTTTTTTTATAGGTCTCCACCTTGGCCCCGCCCCTTTACCGCTCGGCTGGGGCTTTCCCGTTCCAAGAAGTCTGACCTCATCGGGGGGCTCGTCCAATCAGGAAGCAGCAGCCGGGCCAGCAGGGGGAATTCCAAGAGCGATCGGCCCCCCCCCTCCTCCTCCTCTTTCGGGACCGAGAAAAAAAAAAAGACTTTTTTTTTTTCCTCCTTCTCTCTCTCTCTCTCTTTCTTTTCATTTGTTTTAAAGAAAGAAAAGGGGAAGGTAGAAAAAGGGGGAGGAAAGTTAGGACTTTTTTTTGGAGGGAGGGGGGGCGGCTGCGGGGAATGTGGGCTCCGCCGGGAGGAGGCATGAATACCTTGCTGGGACCGAGCAGGCGGCCGGAGCGAAAGCAGCCGGAGCCCGGGGATGGATGCTGCCTTCTTCTCTAGGTAGGCGAGAGAGGGAGAGAGAAAGTGGCCGGGCCGGAGAGGTTGGCCTTAGGGCCTCGCTAAGTCCATCGCGAAGCGGGGCTTGGAGGCAGCTGCTTCCCCCCCCCCCCACCACGACTCCTCCCTGCTTTTTTTCCCCCCCTTCTTCTCCTGCCTCCGAAAAGGCCAACAGTCCAAAAAAACAAAATTGATTCGGAAGAATGGCAGGAAGGGGAGGGAACACTGGAGGTAACAGTAACGAGACTTGGAAGGGAACTTGGAGGTCATCTAGTCCAACCCCCCCTGATCGCGCAAGCAAAGGATTCGAACCGCCGGATGCTGCCGAACCTAAGTCCTCGACTTACAACGGTTCGTTTAGTGGCCGTCCGAAGCGATCCAAAGGGACTAGGGACCGGTTTATTTTCACGCTTACGGCCGGTGTCGGCGTTGCAGCGTGCCCTCTCCCCCCCCCCACCCACAGGGGATCCATATTCAGACGTGGGGGGTGGGTATGGATGGGTGGATTGGCTGGTTTGTATTTATTGATTTGATTTGATTTGATTTGATTTGATTTATATATGCCGCCCTTCTCCGGAGACTCAGGGCGGCTTACAATGCGTTAAGCAATAGCCTTCATTTTTTTATATTTTTTTATACAAAGTCAGTTTATTGCCCCCACAATCTGGGTCCTCATTTCACCTACCTTTGAAAGGATGGAAGGCTGAGTCAACCTTGAGCCTGGGGAGATTCGAACTCGCAATAATTGCAGGCAGCTGATGTTAATAACAGTGCTTTAGTCTGCTGCGCCACCAGGGCTCTATTTATTGGTTCGATTTATATCCGCCCTTCTCCGGAGACTCAGGGCGGCTGACAATGCGTTAAGCAATAGCCGTCATACTTTTGTATAAATCTGCTTAGTAGGGCTTTCGGCCCCCCAAGTGGTGTTCTTTTTTTATACAAAGTCAGTTTATTACCCCACAATCCGGATCCTCATTTTACCTCCCTCGAAAGGATGGAAGGCTGAGTCAACCTTGAGCCTGGTGAGATTTGAACTCACAGTAATTGCAGGCAGCTGGCAGCTAAGTGCTACTTAACAGCACTTTAATCCGCTGCACCACCAAGGCTCTTAGGACGGTTGCAGGCAGCGTCCTGGGGTTTTGGGGTCCCCTCCAAGGATTGGGACCTTCCGATGAGCGAAGTTAATTGGGGAGCTGGATTTGCCTTAACACGGAGTGCTTAATTTATAAGAACGGCAAAGAGTTCGTGTAAGAACGGTGGCAAGGAACGTCGTAAAAAGGGGGGCACGAAACTTACTTGACGGGTGTCTCGCTTAGCCACGTAAATTTTGGGCTCCGTTGTGGTCGTACGTTGGGGACTACCTGGGATCGGTGGAACGGCCTGCTTCCAGAAGTTGCAGGTGCTCCAAAAACTGGAGGTGGTACAGGGACTCCTGCTTGAGCAGGTGGGGGTTGGACTAGAAGACCTCCGAGGTCCCTTCCGACTTTTGTTATTCTACGTTCTAATTTCCAAGAATTAGCCTTCGTTTTTTCTGCAGTTCTAATTATCCTCTGAAGTCTGTGTCTGTCTTGTTGGGCTGCAGGACTCTGGAATTGGTTTTCCTACTACACCTATCCAGAGAATAGCTTGTGGTTTTAGGGACCTGTTTCTCGATATATTTTTTATATGTGGAATATTATATTATGTTTAACTGGTTGTAAACCGTGAGAGAGTTTGCCGGAGTGGACAATCTATAGACAAATAATAAAAAATGCATGCATTTTGGGCTGTGGGTTCGCTCCAACTCCAGTTAATGGGCTTTTAATGAGTTTTAATGAATAAAGCAATTCGTATCCTCACCGAAGTCATTCCCTCCACCTCAAATGCAAACCAAAGATGACAAAATATACCGAAGGCTAAAATGTGTTTGAGCGCCTCGACTTATTATCACCACAATTGAGCACAGAATTTTGGTTGCTAAGTGAGACGTTTCTTAAGTGAATTTTGCCCTGTTCTACCACTTTTCTTGCCACAAGTTGCTAAGTGACTTTAATCAGTTGCTAAATTAGAAGCAAGGTTGTTTAGTAAAATTGACTTGTCAGAGGTTGACATGGCTTGTGGGAAGGTCGCAAAAGGGGATCGCGTGCGTGACCCCGGGATACTGCAACCGTCTTCACTATGTGGAGGTTGTAGAAAAAATGCTTTTAAAAGCCTCTGACGATCCCAGCTGAGTTGCCTGATCGGCAGAGCCTTTTAAAAGCATTTTTTAAACAACCTTTTCGGCCGAAGAGGTTGTAGAAAAAATGGTTTTAAAAGTAAAAAAAAAAAAAAAAAGCGTCTGATGATCACACGGCTCAGCTGGGCATAGGCGGGGGAGTGGGCAGGGATTTTTGCTACCGGTTCTCCTAACCATCCGCCGCCATCGCTACCGGATCGGGCGATCCAATCTGAACCGGGAGCATTTCACCCCTGGTTTAAACATATCTAATACTACCACCCTTCAATTTCTAAACCTCCCTCTTATTATTACATATATCTTGTTATATTAATACATATATATATATATATATATATATATATATATATATATATATATTATATATATATATATATATATATTTGTTTTCTGAGGTTTTCGCGGTGTTTGTATGTAGGTCTTTGATTATTCGGGTTTTTTCCCGCGTAAAATTGGAGGTTTCTTGGCAACGTTTCTAGGCATTGCTCCTAGAAGCACGAAGCCGAGAACACCAGCCTGAAGATGACGAATGAGACTTCATCGAAACGTTGCCAAGAAACCTCCAATTTATGCGGGAGAAAACCTGAATAACCAAAGACCTACATATATATATATATATATATATATATATATATATATATATATATATATTTATATATATATATATATATATATATCCATTTTCTTACTTCTTCGTAGGGTTTATGTGTGTTTTTCTTCTAGCCAGGTTTTCCCTACGTAACCAAAAAAAAAAAAAAAAAAACCTTGGTTACGTAGGGAAACCTGGCTAGAAGAAAAACACACACACACACACACACACATATATATATACACACACACTATTATTCCCCTCTTATTTCTATCTATTTTAACTTTTTTTTTCCATGTCACCGTAATATTCAAAGACGTTTCTTTTCTATCTTCCGTCTTTCACCTGCTTTGTTATTCATATTTCCCTTATTTAGCTCTTCACCTCTATTTATATTGAAGTTTCATCCTTCCTTCTTTCATTGTTCAGCGTTTCAATGTACACTTCTAGTACCAAGCGCAATCATTTAAAACAGAGAGAGTAAACCTATTCACGTTCTTTCCAGTCATCCAATCCAAGCGTTAGGCATTTTCGACGCCCAGAATTATTTATAGAAGTAACAAGAGGTGTGATATAAAAATGAATACATAGATGACAAAGGTCTCATTTTGGCGCAGACTGTCGGATGAATCTCCAGCAGGTCACGCAAAGGCAGAAAGTTGGTTTCAAATAAACTTCGGCTAACTCTCGGAGAAAGCTTGCCAAAGGTGAGAGTCGCATGTAATTTATGCCCGATTTATTGGGGGGAATCCCAGATTGCAGGATTGAATTGTCTGGAGCAGGGGTGTCATTGAGGGCCGCATCAGGGTTGTATTTGACGGGAGGTGGAGGGGAGGTGGGTGTGGCCAGGTCAATGTCAGTCGTGTTGGGGGGGCACCTGTGGTGGCCAAGTGCTAAGGAAGGACTTCCCTGAGATCCTCCCTCACTCTCATTATAATCTCCTTCCTTCCTCTCATCTACCTATCTATCTACATACCTGACTTCCTTCTTCCCTCCCTCCTTGTTTTCCTTCCTTCCTTCCTTCCTTCCACTCATCTACCTATCTATCTACATACCTGACCTCCTTTTTCCCTCCCTCCTTCCTTCCTTCCTCCCTCCCTCCCTCTTCCTTCTCTTTTCTTCTTCCTTCCCCTCTTTCCTTCTTTTTCCTTCCTTGCTCACTTCCCATCTTGTTCTTCGTCTTGCTCTGTTTTATTCTGATTTTTTTTGCAATTTTTTTTTTTTACAGGCCCCCTGTTTGCCGCTTCTAGCTTGCCCACGATGCAGCCGACCAGGGAGACTTCGGGTAAGGATTTTCAGCATCCTGCTTTACAGTAGTCCTCGACTTATGACCCCAATTGAGTAACACGGTTGTTAAGTGAATCTGGCTTCCCCATTGATGTTGCTCAGAATTTCTGTTGTTCAGGGCGACATTTGTTAAGTTTGTCTTGCCCCATCTTACAACTTTTCTTGCCATCATTGCTAAGTGAATCCCTGCAGTTGATAAGTTAGTAACCCGGTCGTTAAATGAATCCAGGCTTCCCCACACACTTTGCTTGTTATGAGGTCACCAAAGGGGATCACATGATCCCAGAGACACTGCAGCCGTCAGCTGCCAAGCTTCTGAATTTTGATCCCACGATCACAGCGATACTGCAAAGGTCATAACTATGAAAAATGGATTTAAGTCACATTTTTCAGTGCCATTGTCACTTTGAACAGTCAGTAAATGGAACGGCTGTAAGTCGAGGACCATCTGTATTCAAATCCGGTTGAGCAAAACGAGAAGCTGATGTGGATGTTTGAAGACAAAAGGAATATATAGCACCGCATAGAATAATATTTCTCCTTTTTTTCTTTTGCAGATGAATTAGGTAAGCACCTGGGGGGTTGTAGTGGGGTGTTGCCAGCGACAGGTAAGTAGATATTTGTCACCTAACTGAGTCATTATTTTAAGGTTTGAGGCTCTAATTTTTCTCTCTGCTCTTATTCTGCATCTCCATCAAAGTGCTGGCTGAGATCCTTCATGTACTGTAAATAAGAAAAAAACCCAGAATTACCATCATCTGACGATGTCTTTTTTTAAAAAAAAAATTTTTAACAGTTTATTTTGTTAAGGAATTCGCAGAAATCACCCCTGAGTAGCAAGGGTGTGCGCATGAAAGTGATTGAGAGTAGTTAGGAAATAACACAGCCAACACACAGATACACTGAGTTGTGTTTACTTTCAAGAAATAGTAAAAAGGCACAGTCCAATAACAGTCCAGGTCATACACGTATAAAGCAGTAGATATCAAACAATAGTCCAGGGATAATCCAATAACAAAGTCTTCTTACCAGTCGTTGTAGTCATACACAGTAAGAGTTCTTCTATATTTGCAAACAGAAGCAAACACAGCAAAGCAGCAGTAAAGAGCAGCAAAGAGAAACAAACCAGGTTTCTAGCTCCCTCTTAAGGACATTGGCTACAGAGCTAACCAATCAGGACACCGTATGATGCAATACAGCAATACAGCAGTCTTAAAGCTATATTGATGGTTGATATATTGCCAAACCAAGAAGTTAGGTAAAATCATTTCCTAACATATTTATACATTTTCTCTTTATATACATCATCAGAGCCTTCCCCCCACACTTCAGGACCGGCCCCAACCTCCTCACTGTCCGAATCTGCTGCCAGATCCGCTGGCGGGCCACAATACAAGCCGTGATTTAGGGGGAGTCGGCTAATTGCAGCCTAGCCAACAAAGCAGAACTTAGACGAATGAGTTGGTTGCAACCTCTGGGCTTTCTCTTCTTCGTTTTCTAGCAATTATCGATGAGCTGATTAAAGAAGACGGTTTTGGGGAGGACCCAGGATCCGCCCGGGCGTCGTTGAATGGGGCCCCCAAGTTGATTCCCAGAAGCACCGACTTCACTCCGCTGGGGGAGATGCAGAGAGTTGAAAGGATGAGCCTTTTGCAGAACGGGCTGGAGACTTACGGGGTCTCGGGGGCCCCTGCCCCGGGTTCACCCCAGGATTCCTTCCCCCAACAGTTGTCCCAGAACCTCAATAATTTGTCCTTGCGGTCCCAGCTGGTCCCGAGAGGCCTGCTGCCCCTCAGCCGGGATTTGGATGCTCCTTGGACAGCGCCTGGCCCTTCGGGGTGCCCCACGGTGGCCCCAGAACCGCTGGACGATGCCATGCGGGACCCTCCGGAGCTGGTGATTATAGAACAGCCTAAACAACGAGGGATGCGCTTCCGGTATCAGTGCGAAGGGCGGTCAGCCGGGAGCATTTTGGGAGAAGGGAGCAGTGAGACCAACAAAACGTTGCCCACCATTGAGGTAAGCGGGCGTGGGCAGGGGGGGTGGAGTTAAAGGGTAAGCCCCACCCACAGTGGGAGGGGCTTGGAACAGAGAAGCCAGGACAGGGCTTCAATCCAGGTGTGCTTTCCAGGTGTTGGAATAAGATGGATCACAAGTTGACTTTTTCTCTTGGGACTGATAGATAAAAGAGAAAAAAAAACCCCATAAAACGCTGATTTTATACACTATAACCGCCGTGAGATTATTGTACGCAGAGATGGAAAGATTTGGCGGTACAGGTAGTCCTCGACTTACGACTGCAACGGAGCCCAACATTTCTCTGGCTAAGCAAGGCAATTGATAAGTAAGTTTTGCCTCATTTTATGAGCTGTTTTTGGTTCAGCGAATCCCTGCAGCTGTTAAGTCTATCACAGAGTCGTTAAGCAAATCTGGCTCCCCCCCCACTTTGCTTGTCGGAAGCCGGCTAGGAAGGTAACGAATGCTGATCCCATGACCTCGGGACCCTACAACTGTCATAAGTACATGCCAGTTGCCAAGTCCCTGAATTTTGATCACGTGACTGTGGGGAAGCTGCAACGGTCATAAGTGCGAAAACCTTTTTTCAGTGCTGTTCTAACTTTGAACAGTCGCTGAATGGACGGTTGTAAGTCGAGGACTGCCTCTACTCCCCAAAGGAGAAACGGTTGATAAAGATAAAGTAGAATAGAGTAGAAAAGAACACAACAGAACACATACGGAATGGAATAACAGAGTTGGAAGGGACCTTGGAGGTCTTCTAGTCCAACCCCCTGCTCAGGTAGGAAACCCTACCATTTCAGACAAATGGTTATCCAATCTCTTCTTAAAAACTTCCAGGGTTGCTCCATTTACAACTTCTGGAGGCAAGTTGTTCCACTGATTGTCCCAACTGTCAGGAAATTTCTCCTGAATTCCAGGTTGTTTCTCTCCTTGATTAGTTTCCATCCGTTGCTTCTCGTCCTGCCTTCAGGTGCTTCGAAGAATAGTTTGATTCCCTCTTCTTTGGGGCAACCTCTGAGATTTATTGGTTCGATTTATATGCCGCCCTTCTCCGGAGACTCAGGGTGGCTGACAATGCATTAAGCAATAGCCTTCATACTTTTGTACATACCTGTTTAGTAGGGCTTTCGCCCCCCCCCCAAGCGGTGTTCTTTTTTTTATACAAAGTCAGCTTATTGCCCCCACAATCCGGGTCCTCATTTTACCTCCCTTAGAAAGGATGGAAGGCTGAGTCAACCTTGAGTCTGGTGAGATTTGAACTTGCAGTAATTGCAGGCAGCTGGTGTTACTTAACAGCGCTTTAGTCTGCTGCGCCACCAAGGCTCCTTATTGGAACCCTGCTATCCTGTCTCCCCTAATCCTTCTTTTCATCAAACTAGACATACCCAATGTTTCTTTTTTTCGGGGGGGGGGATATTTGGCATCTGAAACCTGGTTGTTTCTCCAGCTGCAGAACTTTGAGGGGATTCCGGAAGTCAAAGTGACGGCTTGCTTGGTCTGGAAGGACTGGCCTTATCGGATCCATCCTCACAGCCTGGTAGGGAAGGACTGCAGCAACGGGCTCTGTGAAGTGACGCTGAAGCCTCGAATCAATGCCAGGCATAGGTATATCGCTCAGTCTCTGTGTCAAGTTTCCGAAAGATGCCCTAATTAATTCATGAGCCATGATCCAAACTTCAAAGGAAATATATTCATTTATTAGGAGCAACATTCCGGCAATACTCGGATGCAGTTAGGACTGATCCCACGTAGTTTTACGTTCCCCTAGGACCCTGTCTCTCCCCTCCTCTCTGGCCATGTCATAAATCACATTCTCCAATTAACCACTTTGGCTGGCTGTGAAACCTAACACCCTCCTTCTGATTGCGGTCAGAAAGAATGTATGGAATGCACTTCAGTTCTCCCTCCCTCCTGCTCATGGGAACTTGAAAGCTTTGCAAGTTGACACTCTGGGGCGGACGGTTTGGGGTGTTGAAATGGTGATGATTTGGAGACCTGCACACCATCAAGTTTGATGTTGTGGCCTGTCAGCTGCCGGCCCCTCCAGCACCAGAATCAGAGGAGGAGGAGGAGGAGGAGGCGTGGAAGTCAGGGTCAGCATCAAGGCAACCTGAGAGGTCCGAGGGGGAAGAGGGAATGGAGCTGGCAGAGAGAGAAAGACAGAGGTGGAGCCTGGGCCATCCGTCAGTCCAGTGGTGGGTTCCTCCCGGTTCGGCCGAGCCGGTAGCGGTGACGATATGACGTCACCGAACCGGTTCTTCCCCCCCGCCCTTCCCCCCCGTTATTCTTACCTTTTATTTGGCCCCACCCCCAATCTATTGCTGCCTCCTGAGTCCCAGCTGATGACTAGAGGGAAAAAACCTGTTTAAACTCTTGTCGGGAGGCTTCAAAGGGCCGTCCTACAGCTGATCAGTGTTAAAAGCAAACAAATGAGTCGGGTCGTAAGTGCGAGGATTGGTTGTAAGTGTGAGGACCTTCCAGAAATGACTCTGACCAGCTAGCCACGCCCACCTAGTCACATGACCTCCAAGCCACACCCACAAAATAAGCCACACCCACAGAACCGGTAGTAAAAAAATTTAGAACCCACCCCTGCGTCAGCCCCCAGATGGAGAGTCAATGGCCGCCAGGTCTGGAGGTGGCAATGAGGAAGAGGAGGAATAGCTGGGTCCAGTGCCTGACATGCAGATGCAAAGAAGGCAGAGGAGAGGAGAGCAGTGGAAATCTATGAGCCGGTCCTCGGGACGGAAGAGCCACCGCTGCTAGTGAAGCCCCACCCTAGCTCTGGGGATAAAAGGCAGGGGGCGGAGATGAATAGATGTGGCAGACAACTATTCATCTCCCTGCCAGCCGGACTTGTTAGCCGGCGGTGAGACAGAAACTTTTTTTGCCGGGGCTGCCGGTGCTCCTAATACAGGAATCTTTGAGTTAACTTCGGAGAGTTTGTCGTGTTTGGGGAGTTGGGTCAGAACAGTTGAATTACGACGTCTCTTGATTACTGTCTGAAGCCACAGAGTGGTAGGAACTGAATTAAAAAAAAAACCTTCCTAACCGTCAAATGGTTAACACTTCCAAAGGTTTGCCATGCGGTAATTTACAGGTAGTCCTCGACTTACGGCCAATTTGTTTAGTGACCCTTTGAAGGTGCAAGGGCCCGCAAGAAATGAATTAGGATCGGTTTTTACATTAGCCACGGTTGCGGCGTCCCCGTGGTCAAAATTCAGGCGCTTGAGGGTCACAGCATCCCGGGATCCTGCGATCCAGTCCTCAATTTACAACCCCTTCGTTCAGGGACTGTTCGAAGTTACAACGGCACTGAGAAATGTGATTTATGACCATTTTTTCAGACTGATGACCGTTGCAGCATCCTTGCGATCACATGATCAAAATTCAGAGGCTTGGTAACTGGCATGTACTTATGCCTGTTGCAGTGTCCCAGGATCATTTGATCCCGTTTTGTGACCTTCTGACAAGCCCAGTCAGTGGGGAAGCCGGATTCACTTTACAACCGGGTTACTAACTGAACAAGGGCAGCGACTCGCTTCGCAACTGTGGCGGGGAAGGTCGTAAAATGGGGCAAAAGTCGCTTGCCGGTCTCGCCTCGCGATGGACGTTTTGGGGTTCCATAGTGGTCAGAAACCGAGGACTACCTGTAAAAGCATCGTGTAAATTGCTTTCCTTTCGTCGTGGGCTTTCTGTTGTTTGAACCCCAAACTATCCTCTGCTTGATAGCTTTAACAACCTGGGGATCCAGTGTGTGAAGAAGAAGGACATAGAAGAATCCATAGAGAAGAAGCTACAACTGGGAATTGACCCTTTCAAAGGTGAGAAGAAACTCTCTTGCGTGTGTGTTTGGGTGTATGCACAACGGTTGCTTTGAGAGTTGAATGCAGCAAAATTTCATTTTAATGTATGCTGATTAGTATACATTTAAAGTGACAATAGAATTCTGTTCTATTCTATTCTTATTATTTTCATTCCTATTCTATTATTATTTATTCCTATTCTATTCTATTCTATTCTATTCTATTCTATTCTATTCTATTCTATTCTATAACTATTCTATTCATTCTAATTCTGAGATTCTATTTTAATTCTGAATTCCTCTCCTAAGTGTACTCATTTCTATTCTTTATTTATTCTATTCTATTTATTCTATTCTATTCTATTTATTTATTTTTTCATTCCATTCCATTATTTATTCCATTATGCATTGTTCCATTCCATTCATTCCATTGTAATTCTGAAGGTCTATTCTATATTTATTTTAATATCTGAATTCTGAATTCTGAATTCTATTCTATTCTATTCTATTCTATTCTATTCTTATTCTATTCTATTCTATTTATTCTATTCTATTATTATTATTCCTTATTCCATTCCATTATTCCATTCTATTCTGAGGTCTATTCTATATTCTATTTTATTCTATTCTATTCTATTCTGAATTCTATTTATCTATTCTATTCTATTCTATTCTATTCTATTCTATTCTATTCTATTCTATTCCTAATTCTGCATTCTATTCCATTCCATTCCATCTCACATTCTCTTCCCTTCCCTTCCCTTCTCTGCCCCAAAATAAGTCTTGTGAAGTCAGGTTGGAGAAAGCAATGAAGTTGGTTTCTGATACAGGGAATCCTCAATTTATGATCGATCGCTTAGCCTCTGTTCTAAGTTATGACCTGATGTAATCCCCTTTTGTGACTGTTTAACAAGCAGTTGCAAACTGGATCCTTAACTTCCAAGCAATAACAAATTTCTCGATTTCCCCCAGGATGTGCTGAATGAATCCCAGGTTAAAAACCACCGTCCTGGGGGCTGTTTTTTTTTTCTTCCTATATGTATAGTACGTATTACTATTCTGCTGTATATACTTTGATTGGTTCACCTGTCCTCTCTTGCTCTGTCGGTGTAGCTGGTTCCCTGAAGAATCACCAAGAGGTTGACATGAACGTGGTGCGGATCTGTTTCCAGGCCTCTTATCAGGATTCTATGGGGAAAACGTGGCATCTGAGCCCCGTCCTCTCGGAACCCATCTTTGACAAAAGTAGGTAGAGTTTAAAGAGAGGGGAGAGGCCGAGAGTTATTTCAAGCTGGGGAAAGGGAGGGAAAAAGAAGGGAAGGGAGGGAGGAAGGGAGGGAGGGAGAAGAAGGGAAGGGAGGGAGGGAGGAAGGAAGGAGGGAGGAAGAAGGCAGGGAGGGAGGGAGGAAGGAAAGGAGAGAGGGAAGGAGAAGGGAAGAGAGGGTTGGAGGGAGAAGGCAGGGAGGGAGGAAGGAAAGGAGGATGGGAGGAGAAAGGGAGGAGGAGAAGGAAGGAAGGGATGGAGGAAGGGATAGAGGGAGTGAGGGAAGAGAGGGAGGGAGAGGGGGAGGGGGGAGGGGAGAAAGGAGGGAAGGGGGGGGGGAGGGAAGGAAGGAAGGAAGAAAAGGGATGGAGGGAGGGATAGAGGGAGGAAAGAAAGGGAGGCAGGGAGAGAGGGAGGAAGGAAGCAAGGAAAGAAAGGAGGGAAGGAGGGTGGAAGGGAAGGAAGGAAGGAAGAAAAGGAAGGAAGGAAGGGATAGAGGAAGGAAGGAAAGGGAGGCAGGGAGAGAGGGAGGAAGAAAGCAAGGAAAGAAAGGAGGAAGGGAGGGAAGGAGGGTGGAAGGAAAGGAAGGAAGGAAAAAACTATGGGCAAGTTATTAAATAATTTTTGAAGTCGCCAGAAGTTAGGAAGGCAATGCTGTTTGCAGTGCCCTTATTTATTGTTTTGGGGGAGTTCTAATATATTTTTTTCAGAATTGTATGTACCCTAAAAAAAAAACCCGTCAGGAAATGGTGGTCTAAGAAAGGGCTGTTTTTAGTGATTTGGTTTTGAAACGGAAAATAGAAAACAGAAGTGCAGACCGTGAAAATAGCTTTTTTCTTTCTAGTGAAAAATGTGTTATAAAAAAAAAAACCTGCCAAGGTTGGTATGGAATTTGTTATCCGGTGGTCAATAAAAAAGAAACTTTGTGCGTCGTCAGTCACACAATTGTGGTGGGATTTTATTTTTTAGTTTATTCTGCTGTTGTCCTCTCCCCTGTCCCTCCATGAAATGACCCTAGACATTAGAATAGGTTTTGTTCCCCCGGGTATGTTTGGGGTATGTACTGAAATCTCGGCAGTGTTCTCTGCAAACCAGCATTTCCCTGACATAGAACCTGTGTGTGTGTGTGTGTGTGTGTGTGTGTGTGTGTGTGTGTGTTTAGAAAGATGGAGGAAGAGGGGGCAGTTGACAAGCAACAAGATATCTACTGCTGGATCCAATCTCAGTCACTCATTGTTCTGACCGAGGCTTCCCAAGAGCATGAAGCAGACTCCTTGTCCCGACAAAAACCCCTTTTTATTAAGTTACTGTGAATTCCTCTCATTCACATCCAGCAAAGTCTTTCAAGGGAGAATTTCAGTCACAGACCTTATCTGGCTTGGAGAGCTGCCAGGCCGATATCTTCAAAACTTGGCAAGAAGTCTCGGAGAGTCAGGAACCAATTAAGCGAACTAAATTGTCTCCTGCAAACTCCACTCCCCTTGCGCTCCTCTTTTATTCCCTCTGGGAGGAGCAAATTCATTGTCCACCTGTGGCCTTACTTCTGAGTCGACCCTTGTTCTTTAGCTGTTCCCTTCGTCTGGCAACTCTGCACATGCGCACTCTGGGAACAGGCCCCAGCTGTTCTTCTGCCCCACTGATGTCCAACTCTGACAACTGTCAGACGGCCCTGGTCCCCTCTCTGCCTCCGACGCAGAGCCCTCCTCGGAGCCTTCCGCAGGCTCCAGGACTGGCCCATGTTCCTCCCCAAACTCCTCACTGTCCGAATCTGCTGCCAGCCCTGCTGGCCGGCCACAACACTCATCAGCCCCAAACTTTTGGGGCAGATGCTGGAACCAATATCAGGGAACTTCTCTCTTTCCAGACTGGAGCATGGAGAATAACAAATAACTAACTAGAATAACTTTAACTTTATTGTCAGTTTGAATGTACGCTCATCGGCACACATTAAAATGAAATTTCATTGGATACAGCTCTCAAAGAGAGAGGAGTTCCCTGAGGATATTCCAAAGGTGCTTTTTGAAAAGGCAACTGGGCTGTATTTTTTTTTTCCTTTGAGGAAAAAGAAGACATTTCGCTTCTCATCCAAGAAGCTTCCTCAGTTCTGGATGGATGGAAGCGGCTGGGACGGAAGGATTAGTTCTGATATCAGCCAGCCAGAACTGAGGAAGCTTCTTGGATGAGAAGCGAAATGTCTTCTTCTCCTTCAAAGGAAAAAGAAACATAGTCCAGTTGCCTTTTCAAAAAGCACCTTTGAAACATCTGGATGACTGAGAATCTCCATAGATCCGCGATGGCACGTGGGTCAGAGGTGGCACGCAGAGGTCTCTCTGTGGGCATGCGCGCCATTGCCAGCTGCTCTTCTGGCTTCCAGCGTGCACATGTGCACCGGCCAGCTGGTCATCGCGGGTGCCAGAGCAGCGGAAAATGGCCTGAAGTCGGCCCAAGAAAACGGCCAAAAACAGGCTGGTTTTGGGGCCATTTTCTGGGCTGTTTTTTGGGCCAAAAATGGCTGGAAAAACAGCCCAGCAAGAGGCCTGAAAAACAGCCCCAAAAACGTCCTGAAACCTGCCCCCCAAATGAAAACGGCCCCCAAAATAGGCCTGCACCCACCGGCCAGCTGGTCTTCGCGTTTCCAGTCCTTCGGTGCGCACATATACACGTGCGTTTTGGTTTGGGCATTCAAGTGCCGAAAAGATTCGCCATCACTGCCATAGAGGTTCCCTGAGGATGGGCTCCAGCACAAGTCCGAAAAATCGGAAGACTAAATTCCTGGTCCAGTGGTGGGTTCCTTCCGGTTCGGCCCCATTCCACCGAGCCGGTAGCTGTGATGATATGACGTCACCGAAGCAGTTCTGCCCCCCACCTGGCCACCCCCACTCCTGTTATTCTTACCTTTTATTTGGCCCCATCCCCAATCTATTGCTGCCTCCTGAGTCCCAGCTGATGGGCTATAAGGATAAGGATAAGAGCCTGTAGTACAGTGGTCTAAAGCACCCTGTTATTAAGACCAGCTGCCTGCAATTACTGCAAGTTCGAATCTCACCAGGCTCAAGGTTGACTCAGCCTTCCATCCTTTCTAAGGTAGGTAAAATGAGGACCCAGATTGTGGGGGCAATAAGCTGACTTTGTATAAATATATACAAAAGGATGAAGGCTATTGCTGAGCACATTGTAAGCCGCCCTGAGTCTCCGGAGAAGGGCGGTATATAAATTAAAGCAAAAAACAAAAACAAAAAACTGTTTAAACTCTTGCCGTGGGGCTTCAAAGAGCCGCCCTACACCTGACCAGTGGTAAAAGGCAGTTTGGTGGTAGACCGGTGCTTCCAAAAACAAATGAGTAGACCGGTGCCTGCAAAAATAAATGGGTAGACCGGTACAGCTCTGCAAGCAGTTAAAAGCCTGGTAGACCAGTACCTCTACTAAATCCTAAATAATTGTCACATGACCATCAAGCCACGCCCACAAAATAAGCCACACCCACATAACCAGTATTTAAAAAATTTAGAACCCACCCCTGCTCTGGTCCCTATGACTGACTCAGATTAGATCCTGCAACATGATCCTGGGATAGGTTTATTTACCTTCGTTTACAAAGTTGGAATTTTTTTTTTTTTTAATTCCTTCACTTTCTGTCTGCACAGAATCCACAAACACGTCCGAGCTCAAAATCTACCGGATGAACAAAGAACATGGAAGCTGCACTGGTGGCGAAGAATTTTATCTGCTGTGTGACAAAGTCCAGAAAGGTATTTGTGGGGAGGGGGGAACACCAGGAGTCTTATATACCCCCCCACTTCTACTAATTTGATCAAATTAGGTCGCCTCTATAGTTTTAGGCCCGGAACAACAAGTGCAGATAGTCCTCGACTTATGACCACATTTGCACCCAAAAGCAAGACAGTTGTTAAGTGAGTATTTGTTGTGGTCCGCCAGCAGCCTGCGGAGCTGGCAGCGGAGTCGGACAGTGAGGAGGCTGGGGAGGAACATGGGCCAGTCCTGGAGTCTGGGGAAGGCCCGGATTAGGGCTCTGCGTCGGAGGCAGAGATGGGGCCAGGGCCACCTGGGAGTAATGCACGGACTCTGGAGCCTTCAGAGTCGGACATCAGAGAGGCAGAGGAACAGGAGGAGCCTGTTCCTAATGCATGTATGAGAAGAGCTGCCAGAAGGCACGAACAGTCAAAACAAAAGGGACGACTTGGGAGTAAGGCCTGGAGATGATTGGCCCCTCCCATAAGGCTTAAAAGAGGAGCAAAGGCAGGTGTGCTACTTGGAACATCGTACATCTTAAGAAGGTACTTGGTTGATACCTAGGAAGCTGGCAGCAACCTGTATCAACCATTAGCACCAGTCAATGGTATTTGTGATGCATTTTTGAATATTCAGTTGACTGAGTTTCATGTTTAATGAATAAAGTAAATAATAATAAAATAACAGAGTTGGAAGGGACCTTAGAGGTCTTCTAGTCCAATCTCTTGCTTAGGAAGAAACCCTACACCACTTCAGACAAATGGGTATCCAACATCTTCTTAAAAACTTCCAGTGTTGGAGCATTCACAATTTCTGGAGGCAAGATTGTTCCACTGATTAATTGTTCTAACTGTCAGGAAATTTCTCCTTAGTTCTAAGTTGCTTCTTCCTTGATTAGTTTCCACCCATTGCTTCTTGTCCTGCCTTCAGGGGCTTTGGAGAATAGCTTCGCTCCCTCTTCTTTGGGGCAGCCCCATGCCATTATTATAAATAATATAAATAATCCATTAGATAAATAATTATATGTAAATAATCCATTCCATTATTGCTTTGACATTAGTGTAAGTAACTCTTGTCCCGCATCGAGTTGCCTTGTGATGAGTCGGCCGTGGCGAATTATTATAGACCCGTCTTCAAGTTGCTAATCGTGAGAAACTTGGTTCACACAGCAGCCAAAGAAGTGCCGGAGAATTTAGATTCCTTGAATTTGATTCCCACCAAGCCATCCTAATCGTTGTTTCTCCATCTTTACTTGGCAGAAGACATCTCTGTCGTTTTCCGGAAAGACGCTTGGGAAGGCAGAGCTGATTTTTCCCAAGCGGACGTCCATCGGCAGATTGCCATTGTCTTCAAGACCCCCCCTTACCAACACCTGGACATCCTGGAGCCCGTGGAAGTGGAGGTGTACCTGCGCCGCTTGACGGACAGTGTTTCCAGCGAACCGTTCCCGTTCACCTACCTGCCCAAAGACACAGGTGAGGCAGGAATCGGAGAAGCTGTCTCTTACCACCATTCGTTTAGGGACTGTTTGTAAGCTTTGAGTTATTATTCTTTGAATTCTTTGCGGCTGTTAATGCAATTAATTAACAGCCGTTGTTGTAAAAGACTGGTTTATTCAGTAAACTAAGGTTTGAACGGATTTTGTGCGTGCTGCGTTTTTTGGGGTCCGTAGCTGAGGCAGAACACCTGAGTAAGGTATCTCAGAATAAATGAATAGCTCTTTTTTTACACAGATACATACCGGATCAACAAAAAACGGAAGCAAGGTATGCCTGATGTCCTGGAAGAACTTTCTGGTCCAGGTGTGTATCCTTGGGGGGGGGGGGGGGTGTAAAAGCAGTGCAACATTGTGCCGGTAGAAACGGGATTGTAGGAGATGAATAGAATGGGATGGATAGGATAGGATAGGATAGGATAGGATAGGATAGGATAGGATAGGATAGGATAGGATAGGATGGGATGCAATGGAATGGAATGGAATGGAATGGAATGGAATGGAATGGAATGGAATGGAATAGAATAGAATAGAATAGAATAGAATAGAATAGAATAGAATAGAATAGAATAGAATAGAATAGAATAGAATAAGAGTGGAATAGAATAGAATAGAATAGAATAAGAGTGGAGTAGAGTAGAGTAGAGTAGAGTAGAGTAGAGTAGAGTAGAGTAGAGTAGAATAGAATAGAATAGAATAGAATAGAATAGAATAGAATAGAATAGAATAGCAATCTTTATTGGCCAAGTGTGATTGGACACACAAGGAATTTGTCTTGGTGCATAAGCTCTCAGTGTACATAAAAAGACAAGATACACTCGCCAAGAATCATAAGGTACAACACTTAATGATAGTCCGAGGGTACAAATAAGCAATCAAATCATACTAGGAAACAATCAATATCAATATGAATTGTAAGGATACAAACAACAAAGTTACAGTCATGCAATCACAAGTGGGAGGAGATGGGCGACAGGAACGACGAGAAGACCAATAGCAATAATAATGCAGCCTAATGTGAATAGTTTGAGAGTGTTGAGGGAATTATTTCTTTAGCAGAGTGATGGCGTTTCGGGAAAAAACTGTCCTTGTGTCTAGTTGTCTTGGTGTGCAGTGCTCTATAGTGTCGTTTTGAGGGTAGGAGTTGACCCCTCAGCCCAAGGGAGGGGTCAAAGATGTCATCAGTCACGTGTCCTTGCGAGCCCGCAAGAAATTTAAGTCCAGACCACCTTGAATGCCTCTCTTATCTCCTCGGTTTTTTTAACTGCCGGTTGGCCAGATTCTTGTAGTAGAGAGCTTAATCTTGCAATAAAACTTTACGCTCACTTGAACTGCCTGAATCGCCCAATTTCTCCGGTGCTTGAACGAAGGATAACCTGCTCTTGTTTTCTTCTTCTTCTTCGGTATCCAGATCCAACTTTAGATTGCCAAAATGAAGCCACCTTCTTGGCTTTGTCGTTGGCCAAAAATAAGTCATTTCTGGTAGTAGCCAACATATCAGCAGATAGGCTGGGCTCTGAGTCTCTCTGCATTCACACAGCCTGTTGTTATCCTCTAAAAACCTGCATCGAGCATATTGGTCTCATGCTTAAGACACTCCAACCCTTAACCTATTCAGGGTCTTCCAAGTAATATAAGGGAGATCGGATCCTTCAGCCAGGATGTCAGGCCCGAAGCCAACTTGGATTGGCCGTTGCTTTTTTCAGGGCTTCAGGCTGACACAGCGTGGAGCTGAAGGGGGGTAGTGATAGAGGGGGCTTGGTAAACAAAACAGAATAGCTCTCTGGTGAGTCAGAGACAATCCAACAGCTGGCTGGCCAGAGGAGGAGGAGATGTAACCAAGCAACCAGCTAATATCCAGATTGGACAATGTGATTTATTGTTCTGAGAAGAGTGGAAACTTTTTCTTTTAAGGTTGTGGAAAGCGCGGGAATATTCAGAACTGGCTTTCCACCAGGTTGGGCCAAGATGGTATTTCCAAATAAACCTATTCTTTAAGGAATCAACCTGCCTCGGATTTCTGCTTTGAAATGGCTGTATTTCTTGCAATGCTGACACAGATCCTCGTTTAGTGTTATTCCTAGCTTGATGGTCTCCTTCCTCCATCTTTTAATTCGGTTTTGTTCTTGGGTACCCTCAGGAATGTTTGTTCTTGCCATAAAGGTGTTCCTAGAACTGAGTTGGCAGGCTTGGGGCATATCTGGGAAAATCTGACCCTGGTGGCCAGATGTTAATGCCCTGTTTACTTCTCCAGATCCTCATGGGATTGAAGCAAAAAGGAAGAAGAAGAAGCCTGACTATCTGGATCACTTCAACTTGACTCCTTCAGCAGGTCAGTGTGTGATCTCCCCGTCCCTTGCTCAGCCCCACACTGCAGGAGTGGCCAAAATTGTGGAAAAATTTTGGGAAAAGTATATTTTCTAAAACTAGCTAATAACACCACTTTTTTGGGGAGTAGTACCATAAAATTATATATCAATGGAAAGATAATTTAATCAAGAATCTAATGCAGTAACTTTTACGAAGGATTTGCTATTAGAATAGCAGTTACGGTATAAAGAAGAAAAGTGAAAAACGTAGAAAAAACGAGATATACAAAATTGATCCCCATGTCAGTTAATCCTTCGTTGGGTTACTAACTGAACAAGGGCAGCGACTCGCTTTGCAACTGTGGCGGGGAAGGTCATAAAACCAGGCAAAACTCACTTAACCATGGTCTACCGTAGCAACAAAAAGTGGGTGGGGGCCTCAATTGTGGTCGTAAGTCGAGGATTACCTGTACTGTTGCAGCGCTATTACAAAGGGAGCCAAACTCCAATGGCTAAGCGACTCCTGGGCTCGCTAAACCCCGAATCCTACTCACAAATTTTGTTTCGTTTTCCAGACTTCTCCCTGCTGTCTCCGGAAGACCGGGGTTTCCTACCCAGCATGGAACGTATCACGCTGCCGGATCTCTTTGAGGAATTTGGTCGGTTTCCCGGATTTTCACCTTACGGCGGCCCCAGCTTGAGCGACGTGGTCCTGCCTTCTGCTACGAACTACGCAGAGAGAGCAGAACAGGAATTCTTGCTCGATGCTTATTCGGTCCATTCGGGCATCACCGTCCCTCTGTCGCTGCCCGGGGACTCTGAGCCTGAAGGTGTGGCGACCTTGGTGGGAAGCAGCATGTTCCCCAGTCAGTACAAAGAGGACGAAGAAGATCTAGAAATGAAGAAGCCCGCAGATCTGTGACGGAAGGGCTGTGTAGACTCTCCATTTTGGGAGAAGCCAACAAAAGATTTATTTTCTTGCTGATCACCGAAGGAGGAAAAAGCTGGGAGGGACCTCTGCGGGACGGCCCTCTGTGTGAGAAGAAGATGGGAAAAAACACGGAAGGGAAAAAGATCGCGCTCATCGTGGAATAATGGAAGAGAAGTTGCATCCTTGGGCGGGAAGGACTCTCTGCATCCGCTTCCTGTTTTTCTCTTCCTTGATTCTCACAGCGCGTAAACTCCGAGTAGCGAGAACTGGACGGATTTTCAAATTCCCGCAAAGCTGCAGGATGGTTCCCTTGCGTTTCGCTTAGTGTGATGCACGAACCTAGGTTGAAAAATAACACGGGTAGTCCTCAACTTACGACCACAATGGAGCCGCCAAATTTCTGTGGCGAAGGGAGACGTTAAGTTGACTTTTGCCCCATTTTACAATCTTTCTGGCCACCGTCGTTAAGCAAATCCCTGCGGTTGTTAAGGTAGTCACACGGTGGTTAAGTGAATCTGGCCTCCCCCTTGACTTGGCTTGTCAGAATGTCGCAAAAGGGGATCACGTAACCCCGAGACATTGCATCCGTCATAAATACGAGTCAGTAGCCAAGTGTCTGAATTTTGATCACGTGACTGGGGATGCTACAACGGTCGTAAGTGAAATACGGTTGTAAGTTGAAGACTACCTGTATTTTAGGGCTTATGTCATGATGTCAAAACACAATGGAGGATGCTTGATCTAAGAAATCAGTTATGCATGCCACTCTTTTCATGCGTGTATCCGTCACTGAACTTTCTTAAAATGTGTGTGCACCCATGTATAAAAAAAAACCCCATATAAGTGCCTTTGAGCCATGCACAAATAATGGGGTTTCCCTTCCACACCCCCAGAACAGTTAATCCAGATCCGTCGTTGAATATTATTAGATTTTGTCCTCTGCACACATGGTATAATAGCAATAGCACTTAAGACTTATATACCGCTTCAGTGCTTTTACAGCCCTCTCTAAGCGGTTTACAGAGTCAGCCTCTTGCCCCCGCAACAATCTGGGTCCTCATTTGACCCACCTCGGAAGGATGGAAGGCTGAGTCAACCTTGAGCCGGTCAGGATCGAACTGCTGGCAGTGGGCAGAGTTAGCCTGCAATGCTGCATTCTAACCACTGTGCACCACTGAAGGGAGAGAGGGAGGAAAGAAGGAAGGAAGGAAGAAGGGGAAAAGGAAGAGCAATAGCACTTAGACTTATATACCACTTCACAACCCTCTCTAACCGGTTTACAGAGTCAGCATACTGCCCTCCCTAACAATCCAAGTCCTCATTTTACCGACCATGGGAGGATGGAAGGCTGGAGTCCAACCTTGAGTCGGTCAGGATCGAACTCCTGGCAGTGGGCAGAGTTAGCCTGCAATGCTGCATTCTAACCACTGCGCCATCACGGCCAGTATAGCAATAGCCCTTAGACTTATATACCGCTTCTTGGTGCTTTCCAGCCCTCTCTAAGCAGTTTACAGAGTCAGCACATTGCCCCCAACAATCCAGGTCCTCATTTGACCCACCTCGGAAGGATGGAAGGCTGAGTCAATCTTGAGCCAGTGAGAATCGAACTGCCAAACTGCAGTCAGCCGGCAGTCAGCCGAATTTAGCCTGCAATACTGCATCCTCGCCACCGGGGCTCTTGGAGGGAAGTGGTATTATATGTCAGGATGTCATCGCACTGATGGGGCCATGATGTAGATTATTGTGACTTTACTGGATGTCTTTGCCTAAACATATGGCCAGATGTAGCTAGTGGGTGACTAGGATCTCTATATGGGGGCCTGTCAGAGCTTGCCATCACAACAATCCTTAGTTATCAGGGGTGGGTCCTGGTATTCACACGGAGGACTTCAGTTCACAATAAATTGGGGCCGAATACCATCATCAAAATGCAGGAGACAATATTCCATTGTGCCTTAACTTACTTCCAAGAAGTCTGTGAGTACAGGTAGTCCTCGGCTTAACGACCACACAACTGAGCCCAAAGTTTCCGTCGCTAAGGAAGACAAATGAGTTTTTTCCCCATTTTATCACCTTGCTTGCCACGGCTGTTAAGTGAACCCTTGCAGTTGTTGGACGCTGGTCGGAAGGCCGCAAAAGGGGAATTACGTGACCTCGGGACATGCCACCGTCGTAAGTATGAGCCAGTTGCCGAGCTTTTGATCACGTGACCACGGGGAGGCTGCAATCGTCATAAATGTGAAAAACGGGACACAAGTCACTTTTTCCAGTGCCGTTGTAACTTTGAACGGTTGTATGAATGGTTATAAGTTGAGGACTACCTGTTTTGACTTACAAAGTCATAACTCAAGGTTTCAGGGACATTGCTACCATCATAAATACATGCCCATTGCCAGGACTCAAAATTTTAAATTTTGAACCATCACTAACGAACGATTGTCAGTGGAGCATGACCTATACACAAAGTAGAAGCACTCTCGAGCTACAACCATTTATGTAGTGACCATTCAAAGTTACGACGGCACTGAAATAAGCAACTTATAACAGTGGCCCTCAAATTTCTGGGCAGCGGGGACCATTTGTTCTGACCTAGGCTCCCTTAAAAAGCAGGAAGCAGGAATCGGTCCTGGCAAAAACCTCTTTTATTTACACGACTGTGAATTACGTTCATTCACAGTCAGCAAGGCCTGTCCAAACAGTTTTTCAAAGGAATATTTATCAACACAGACCTTATCTCGCTTGGCAAGCTGCCACGTAACTTGTTTCCAAATGCAGAGTAAGGCCAAACTTGGCACAGAGTCTATTAGAGTCATGAACAGAACTTTCCACTCTTGAAACTACCGAACGAATGAATTGTTTCCTGCAAAAGCCCCCTCCCGTCCGCTCCTCTTTTGTTTCCTATGGGAGGGGCCAATCATCTCCAAGGTGTGGCTTTACTCCTGAATTGACCCTGCTTTCTGAGTTGTTCTTGTCTTCTGGCAGCTCTGTGCATGCGCACACTGGGAACGGGCTCCAGCTGTTCCTCTGCCTCCCTGCTGTCTATCTCCCTCTCTGCCTCCGATGCAGAGTCCTCATCCGAGCTTTCCCCAGCCCCCAGGACTGGCCCAGGTTCCTCCCCAACCTCCTCACTGTCCAACTCTGCTGTCAGCTCCGCTGGCCACCAGTGGGCCACAACACCGGTTCCATGGAGAAAAGTTTTTCCGTGGAACTGATGGGTTGCGGTTTCATGTTCTGCCTACATCCCGCAGATGGGACTTCGTTGTTTGCGCAGTCTGGTTTCTGGCATGCTGCGGCCCGGTGCCAGTTCATGGACCGGGGTTGGGGACCCCTGACTTATAAGATATCCCTAGGTCACATGAACAAAATTTCAATGTTTGGCAATTGGCATGTATTCACAAGAGTTGCACTGTTCCAAAGTTATGGAATCGCTATTTGCAACCTTCCCAGCTGGATTCTGACAAGCAAACTCTTGTGGAAACTCTCAAATCTGGTGGAAGCCAGATTCATTTAAAGACGGCACTGTTTCACTTAACAACCATGGCAAAAAAAAGTTGTAAACTCGGCTGCGACTCACTTAACAAACACCTTGCTCAGGAAATGAAAATTCTGGTCCCAATGGTGTCGTAAGTCGAGGATTAACTTGTATCCATTAATCTGTTTTCATATGGGGTTGAACCACCAATCTAATCTCTCTAACAGTAGTTTTTTTTTTTTTAAAAAAAAGGTTTAAATTTGTGTGTTTGAGATTCTTTCTACCTGGAGAAATTACAAAGATTTATCTGATGACTTCTGTGTGCGACCAATCATTCTTTTGGTATTCTTAACTATCTTTCTTCCCTCTTTTCAAAACAGGGTGTTTTATTTTTCCCGATGGAAGCGATCTTTTTTTAGATGTTTGCTTTAACATGGTCAATGCAACTGACCATTTAGGTAACCAGGAAAAACAGTTTGACTGAAATCCTGGATGGCAGATGGATTTATTTTTCCACTGTTCAAATCCCATATCCCATAATAATCATCCACATCCGTCTGGATTTGTTTCCAGCATGTTCTGCATATATTCGGTTTCATCAAAAGGCCCGAGGATTACATATTTCTAAGCAATGCAAAGTGGGGGGAAAAAATTCCCCATCTTTTTAAAAAAGCTGGGTCAATGTCTCCGAACGCCAGTGGTGGGTTCCTCCTGGTTCGGCCCGGTTCGGCCGAGCCGGTAGCGGTGACGATATGACGTCACCGAACCGGTTCTCTTTGTTCAGGAGCTGGGTTCTCCCACCCACCCCCTGCATTATTCTTACCTTTTATTTGGCCCCGCCTCCAATCTATTCACTGCCTCCCGAGTCCCAGCTGATCGGCTAGAAGGAAAAAAATTGTTTAAACTCTTGCCGTGGGGCTTCAAAGGGCCGCCCTACAGCTGATCAGTTTTAAAAGGCAGTGTGGTGGTAGACCAGTGTGCTCGAAAAACAAATGAGTAGACTGGTGCGCTCCAAAAACAAATGCGTAGACCGGTGCCTCCAAGAACAAATGGGTAGACTGGAACAGGTCTGCAAGCAGTTAAAAGCTTGGTAGACCAGTACCTCTGCTAAATCCTAAAGAATTGTCACATGACCATCAAACCACGCCCACAAAAATAAACCATGCCCACAGAACCGGTACCAAAAATTTTTAGAACCCACCCCTGCTGAACGCCTGAATTTTCCATCACTCTTACAACCTTCCTAAGCCTGTAAAGCAGTGGTGAAATTCTACCGATTCGCACCGGGTTGGGCAAACCGATAGTGATAGAAACTACCAGTTTGGGCGAACCAGTAGTAAAAAAAACCCTACTGGTTCCTCCCAACTGGTATTTCCGACGATCAGCTGTGCTGCGCGATTTAAAATTGCTAGAAAACAGGAAATCCTGCTTTCTAGTGAATCTAAATTGTGCGGCACAGCTGTTCCCGCCCCAACCCTCCTTTTTCCACGCGTTTGCTACACACCGCGCATGAATGCACACACCACGCATATTTGGCACACACTACATATGTGCATACGCAGCCGAATTTTAATTGCGTGACCAGGGGGAGGCCACAACAGTCGTTAAGTGTGGAAAAACGGTCATAAGTCACTTATTTTTAGTGCCATTGTAAGTTCGGTCACTAAACAAACTGCTGTAAGTTGAGGACTACTTGTATCTGTAGCTCCAAGGTTGGATTTTACATTTTAGAGGTCACAAAACTTCTGATGGGGAATTCTGGGGAATTTCCCAAGCTGGGGAATTCTGGGAGTTAAAGCACACCTCTTAAACTTGCCTTGCTTGACTTAACACACCAGGAAAGCACCAGGTGGGGATACCTGACAATGGTTTCAGACAAACGAATAATTCAGATCCACAATTCAGCCGCAGCCGCGCGTCTTCCAACAGGCGGCGCTCGGGATTCGAACCCGCCATCGGGAGGAGGACGCGGCTTTCTGCGCCTGCGCGTCTCCGAACCCGCAGAAAGCCCCGCCGCCGACCGTTTGGCGCCTAACTAACCTGCGCCATCGATTGCGAAGGGGGCTGAACTCGAGCCGTGATTGGCTGACACCCTCGCCGTCACGCGACCCTGCTTGGACCAATCCGAGGGCCGCGGGGAGGTCCGACTGTTGCGCCTTCTTTCCCTTCCCAGGTTGCTTACTCTGTAGAATTCCGAGTCATTTCCGCTTCCGGGGGAAAAGAAGCTGCGACTTTGGCGCAGGGTGAGGAGGGGTCCCTCCTGTCCTTTCACCGGGGCGAGGGCAACCGACGGCCGGGAAGAGGCGGCTTCGGAGCCGGAGGACGGGAGTGGGAGGGTGGAGAAGCTGCCTGGAGGGGGTGGGAGCCCGCCTGAGAGGCCGTCGCCTCCGGGAGTCTCTCTCGGCTATAGGCGGGTGAGGGTTTCGTACAATTCCCCGCTTTTATAAGCCCCCCTTCCCCTAAAAAAAAAATGCCTCAGGCCCCCGTTCTGATCGGTTAACAGAGAGCCCCATTTAGCTTCTGTCATCGGAAAGGGGGAGGGGGAGCTGCAAGAATCTTGAGGACTAGCACCCCTTTCTTTTTTAAATGAGTGGCAATGTCTCTGCTGAATTAGAGAAGCAGTAGAGGATTTAATTTAATTTAATTTAATTAATTCAATTTAATTAATTCAATTTAATTTAATTATTTATTTATTTATTTATTTATTTATTTATTTTATTAAATTTCTATACCGATCTTCTCCCGAAGGACTCAGGGCGGTGAACAGCCAGAAGATAAAACACAGAAATACAAAATTTAAAATAAATTAAAACGAATTAAATCATTTAGGCTGAATTTTAAAATACCCCATAATTAAACAGATTAAAATTTATGTTTAAAATTTAAATTTAAAAAAGGAGATGATTTAGGCCAGGCCAGCTTGATGAAATAAAAAACGTTTTAATTTAATTTAATTTAATTCAATTCAATTCAATTCAATTTAATTAATTCAATTTATATGCCGCCCCTCTCCAAAGACTCAGGGCGGCTCGCAATACATTCCAAAAAAATCATTATAAAAAAACATTTTAAAATTAAAAACATTAAAAACTCATTCACACCATTCATGGCTGGATCTCGCCAGATCACAAGAGCGAGATCAACGGCCCCAGGCCTGCCGGAAAAGCCAGGTCTTCACCGCTTTTCAGAAGGCCAATAGGGTGGGGATGGTTGGGACCTCAGGATCCTTAAAAGGTTACAGAAGTGTTTTCTGTTAGGTCTGGAATAGTCCTTCCCGTTTTCCTATGGTTAGTCGGATCTCCTTTTCCCCCCCCTTTCAATCAATCTATCAATCAGGATAGAGCTGGAAGGGACCTTGGAGGTCTTCTAGTCCAGCCTCCTGCTCAAGCAGAAAGCCCTATATACCATTTCAGACAGGTGGCTATCCAGTCTCTCCTTAAAAATTTCCAGTGATGGAGCATCCACAACATCTGGTGGCAAGCTGTTCCACTGGTTCATTCTCCTCCTTGTTAGGAAGTTTCTCCTTCATTCCAGGTTGCTTCTCTCCTTGGTTAGTTTCCCATCCGTTGTTTCTGCTGCTTTGGAAAATAAATCGACCCCCTCCTCCTCTTGGCAACCTCTCAAATATTGGAATCCTGCTATCATGTCCCCCGTAATCTTTCTTTTCTCTAGACAGGCCATACCCAATTCCTGCAACTGTCCTTCATAATGTTTTAGTTGCAATTGTAATTTTGAATAAAATTTCTATTAAAAAAAAATTCCCATACCTGCAATAACATTTGGTGGTACTCTTTGTATGGCTGCCTAAAATCCTCGGGAGAAAAACTGCCTGTCCCTCAGCTAAATTGTGAGCTATCTTAACATTTAGATTAAAAAAAGAATTATAGCTTTTACATTTTCTGACTTCCTATTTATTTAGGGCGCTCCTTTCATAGAGGGAAAAAAAAACCCCGTTAATTCACTGTGCTTGGGGAAAAGAAGAGCATCCATTTTGACTTCTCTCAAGGTCCTGCCCTCAGTGAGTATCAGTTGTGCATGCCAGATCCCCGTCTTTTGTTTTCTTTATCATCCAAAGTACTTTGACTGCAGTGCTTCCTAATTTCTCAGTTCATTTTTATAGTTTGCAGTATCTGACCTACCTTCAAATTGTTGGTTTGTTTTTTTTAACATGGAGTAATTGATCTACCTAATTCTAAGAAAAGGCAAGTGAAAGAATGGCCATATATGACTTTCAGTAGGTGGAATCTGCTCAAGGCAGTTCATTTTACCCTGTCTTGACATTACCGAATGGTTCAGTAAAATCAGGTATCCAGAGACTCTGGAACTGATTTGTCTTCAAGGGCCGGTAGAAGCTGTTTGGGAGGAAGCGAGGCCAGCATAGAAACTCACACGGTGGATTTCATCTTTGCATAGATGTTCGATTTCTTGTAAAAATAAAAGTTTAAGTTCTGGTGAAACTCTAGATTAGGGGTGTCAAACTGGATTTCTTCAAAGAATATTTTGGTAGAGTCTATTGGAGGCTGGGGTGCAGTGTGAAAAAATTGCTGTGTTAGATTTTGTTACATTTCCCTTTCCTCTTCCCCCCCCCCTTCCCCCTTAACGCATGGACGTGATTCTTTTCCTCACCCTGTGGAACAGTTGGGAGAAAAGCAGGATGTGGCACGAAGCTCGAAAACATGAGCGAAAGCTGCGGGGGATGATGGTGGATTACAAGAAAAGAGCGGAACGTCGGAGAGAGTATTACGAAAAGATAGTGAGTGTCTTTCTCCTTGGTTCGTTTTGGGAGAATGGCTTATGTCTGCCGCCTCCCTCTTTCAGAATTAATACCCTTCAAGAAATGAGCGTGAGGTGTTACGTTTTTCTTGCGAACAGAATTTTCTGACAAACGAAAGCGAATCTCCGTGGCCCAGGATAATGTTTGCAGGTTCCAATCTGGGTCAGTCACAACTAAAAAACGACACGCAACAGGCATCATATAAATACCACACATAGAACAGTCCAAAGTACACACATTTGCTAGAGAGAAGTTCCCTGAAGATGGGCTCCAGCACAAGTCCGAAAGCTCGGAGTACTAAACCTCTGGTCCCGGGGACCGACCCAGATTGGATCCTGCAGAATTTTCTGATACTGAATATTGTTGCAGAATTGCTGATGTCAACATATTTGCATCCGCAATGTCCCCTGTCTGAGGGGAATATCCCAAAAACAGCCACCCATATCAAAACCTTTGAGCTCTTCATAAGACTATAATGGGGCACTTAGCTTCCCATCTCTTTACCTTCCTAGCCCTATTGAAGTTATTTTTTCCCCTCCCAATTTTGATGGAGGTGATTATTAGATTTACTTCTCCCTCGGCTGCATCTTTAAAGAAATTGTCACTGTGTGCATTTTTATTGTTGTATGAGTCCTTTTGTGGATTCTTAATCTGTAAAATTGCATTTGTTCAACTTTAAAGCACTTTCTAACTTCCTTTTGTTGGCTTTCAGTTAAGCTGTGGGTGTGTTTTATACCGGCCAGTCCTCAGGTTTTAGGGTGGGTTATTGGGGAGCAGCTGATAGTTATATGGAAAATGAGGGCTAGTGGAACAGATATTCAGAATATGCCAGGCCCTTTTGATTAAACCTGGTGGTGGTTTAGGTTCGCCCCTTGCCATCTTGAAGGAGAACTGAGAACTGAGAAAAGACATACAGTATACAAAATCCTGGAAGGAAGAACTAATCCTGAAATTAGTTCTGTTAAAGTTACTACAGTCTTTGGCCAACATTTGGCACACATTTAAAATCCTCAAACATCGAACAAACTTAAGAACCAAGGGAAAACTTAAACCAGAGATGTGATGTGTATGGGGTGTGTGCGAAGTTAGCACCCCCCCACCCTCTCCTAGGAAAAGGAGATATTTTAGGAAATATTAAAAGGGCAGAATATTTCCCCTAAAAGGGAAGCAGAAACTCAGCCCCCCCCCTCCCCCCCTTTGTCAATGGGCCATTAAGGCCCAATCTATTCTACATAACAAAGATCTACCTCCTTCAGGCAGAGCCATAGTAGGAATTGCCCAAAGCCCCTTCATTACATCATCACCCAGCAAGGCTCAACCAAGCCTGGGACACAGACAACCTACAAAGTCAACCCTGCATGGCCCCCTGGGAGTCTGGCAAACCAACCAGAACACAAGCTCAAATTCAAGGCCCAACAGAGGGTCTAAAACCCAGGTACTCTCAGCATCTCTGCCCTTTTTTGCTCAGGATCTCAAGCCATGTGATCCCGTTCATCAATAAACCTTCTTTCCAAGCAACTTCCGTGAATCCAGTGTCTTTTTCCCCACTTTGAACTGAACCCAGATGGACATTTCTTCCAATGGGAAAAAAAGGGGCTTAAATGCAATCTTTCCAATAACAAAAGGAGAATGAAGCTGCCATGCAGCGAGATGGCCAGCAAACAAATGGAATCAACAAAAATAAAATTATCAGTAAGGACAAAATCCTGGAAAGATCCTACACGCCGGCTGTAAGATTGGAGTTGGATCAAGTGTTGGCTTGCGGCAGTCACCAGTGGGTTTCTTTCCTTCCAGAAAAAGGATCCAGCCCAATTCCTGCAGGTCCATGGACGCGCCTGCAAGGTGCACTTAGATTCCGCTGTGGCTCTTGCAGCCGAAAGTCCTGTGAATATGTGAGTAGTTTGCATTTTTGACCTGAACAACAGTAGAGCAGTGTTTCCAAACTAGGCAACTTGGAGCTGTGTGGACTTCAACTCCCAGAATTCCCCAGCCAGCAGCTCATAATAAGAATAAGCATTGAGTGGTGTGTTTTTTTTTTAAAAATTGGTGTTATGTCCTTACAGGATGCCTTGGCAGGGAGATACCAACAACATGATTGACCGGTTCGATGTACGGGCGCACCTGGATTACATCCCCATGTATACTCCTCCCCTGCTGAATCCAATGTAAGGCCTTTGTTCCTTTTTTTTCTCTCCCCGCTCTCCACCTCTCTGATGCTGGAATGTACAGCTCCTTGCGTCAATCGGAGGTTGAGAAAAGAGAGCTTGGTTTGGCTTCTGAAAGACTTTGATTGGGAAGGAATAAGCTCCTTTGTTAGCTGACTGATGGATTCCTTGAAATTGTGGCTGGGCAATTAAATCGCAGTGGGCTGCCTTCGTGCCACAGGCCCAAGCAGAAAAATTGCAGTCATTTGGCTGACATATCAGAGGCAAATAGGAAGAGGAGAGAGAGAGTAGAGTAGAGTAGAGTAGAGTAGAGTAGAGTAGAGTAGAGTAGAGTAGAGTAGAGTAGAGTAGAATATAGAAAATGAATAGAATAGAAAATAGAATAGAATAGAATAATAGAATAGAAAATGGAATAGAAAATAAAATAGAATAGAATAGAATAGAATAGAATAGAATAATAGAGTAGAAAATGGAATAGAAAATAGAATAGAATAGAATAATAGAATAGAAAATGGAATAGAAAATAGAATAGAATAATAGAATAGAAAATGGAATAGAAAATGGAATAGAAAATAGAATAGAATAGAATAGAAGAATAGAATAGAATAGAAAATGGAATAGAAAATAGAATAGAGAATAGAATAGAGAATAGAATAGAATAGAATAGAATAATAGAATAGAATAGAATAGAAAATGGAATAGAAAATAGAATAGAAAATAGAATAGAATAGAATATAGAATAACAGAGTTCCTGCTCAGGCAGGAAATATTATATAATTTCAGACAAAATGGTTATCCAATCTCTTCTTAAAAACTTCCAGTGTTGGAGCATTTACAACTTCTGGAAGCCAAGTTATTCTATTGATTAATTGTTCTCACTGTCAGGAAATTTCTCCTAGGTTATTAATGTGTTCTAGATGTTAATGTGATGTGGGAATCCAGTTGGTATCAAATAACATGGCCTTTTTGTCTTTGGGGGAAAGGCTCAGATTAACACGGGGAGTTTCTTCAGCCCGTGATTTTCAGAACTGGGGTGCAGGTGGGAGCAGCACAAGGCAGATCCGTTCTGCCAGTCTTGGTGTACTTTTCAAAGACTTTCCCGCCTGACTTTTTGCATGCTTAGGATTTTAATTCCGGTCTTTTTCCTCTTACGCCTCCAGCTCTCCCGAGCAGGAATCTGACGAAAGGAAATGCAACTATGAAAGATACAGAGGACTTGTGCAGAACGATTTTGCTGGCAGTAAGTCCTCCTCAGTTTTTCTTGCCCAGCTGTAGAGCACAGAGGTTTAAGGAATGGAGGCTGCTTCTCTCCGAACTTCTCTCAAACTTGCTCCTCAAGCCAACACCTAGATTTTTAATGAATTTAATTCGCAGGGTTCATTCTTGAATCAGCCTTAGAGGCAGCAAGGTTGAGGGAGGGATTATAGGTATTCTTCAACTCATAAAACCCGGGCTTATTTTGGGGGGAAATATGATACCTGAAGTCAACCTGTTGTGACTAGGCTCCCTTAACAAGCAGAAAACAGGAATTGGTCCAGGCTTCAGCTGTTCCTCTGCCTCGCTGCTGTCTAGCTCCCTCTTTGCCTCCAATGCAGAGCCCTCGTCCGAGCTTTCCCCAGCACCCAGGACCGCCCCAAGTTCCTCTCCAACCTTCTCACTGTCCGACTCTGCTGCCAGCTCTGCTGGCTGCTGGCGGGCCACAACACAACCTGGTTTTGCTGCATTGGGCCAGTTTTGCAGGGATCTCACATTCTTCCTCTCCATCCCTGTTTCGCAGTCTCAGAAGAACAATGCCTGTATCAGATCTACATCGATGAGCTGTACGGAGGACTTCAGAAGCCCAATGAGGACGAGAAAAAGAAGTGAGTAACAATGAGGTGGACCGCCTTGGGTGTGAGTCAGACCCTTTTGTGAATGGTGGCATTGTCCTCGGGGCTCTCTGAGCTTCCTTGCTTTCAGGACCCAACTAAAGAACATCATCAGTGCTGAATAGGATTTATAAACAAAGAGAAAAATCCCTCTCACATCTAGCACTGATGAGGTTCCCTAGTCGGGTCATGAAATGTCTGCAAGAAAGCAATCAAGCTCAGAGAGCACTGAGGACCCACAATCACAAAAGGGACCCCCACAGTTCTTCTCCTCCTCTGTGCCCCCCTCCCCATTCTCACTCCCCTCTAGCACTAAGTTACCTACCCTGTTTCCCCCATAATAAGACCTCCCCTGATAATAAGCCCAATTGGACTTTTGAGCGCATGGCAATAAGGCCAAGCGCTTATTTCAGGATTCAAAAAAATATAAGACGGGGTCTTATTTTTGGGGAAACGCGGTAGTTGGGTAATGAAACCTCTTCAAGAAAACTACCAAACTACAATAGCACCAAGGACCTCTCCTCCTCCTCCTCCTCCTCCCCCCCACTTCTAGCACTGATAATGTTCCCTATTTGGGTCATGAAATGTCTGTAAGAAAACCACCCGCTCAGAGAGCACCAGGGACCCCACCGTTCAATCCTGAGCTACAGATACTCTCTTCTATCGGTACCTGTTGTGACTCTTCCCCCCGTTGCCCTCAACTGATCTCAGATACTGAATGTCGGGTTGAATTCCTGAAGACAAGAGAGATTTTTTTCCACGTCCGGTTTGAATTCCGACAGCTGTGGGAGGCAGGGGCGATTGTATTCTTAACCAGTCCACGGATTAAACCTGGTCGAAAAGCAGTATAAAAATCATTGAAATAAATAAATCAGGCGAGGGGTAGATTACCCATCACAGACTTCTGCTCTGGGACTTCCGAAAGCCTGATGAGAAACATTCAGTGGTGGGTTGCTACCGGTTGACCCTAGTTCGGGTGAACCGTAGCAGCGGCGGGAGAATTGGCGCGTGCGCGAACGAACCGGTAGCAAAGGTAAGTGAAACCCACCCCTGGAAACATTCCTCTCTGCAGGTTGGCCGAGAAGAAAGCTTCCATTGGTTATACCTACGAGGACAGCACAGTGGCTGAACTTGAGAACCCGTCCGAGAAGCGAGCGGAGGAAGAGGATTCCGAAGAAGACAGCAACACCGACGAGGATGAAGTCATCCCCGATATTGGTACACCTCCAGATCCACCTTTTTTAGGATCAGGCGTGTTACAGAAGCAGGAACCACGGCGGGGAGCGGCCGAGAGATCTGGCGGATGTGGTTGGATGGGATGAGGGCACCAAGCTTTAGCTGCCTTCTGTCGCTTTCAGATGTCGAAGTTGACGTAGATGAGCTGAACCAAGACCAAGTGGCTGATCTGAATAAACAGGCGACAACTTACGGGATGGCCGAAGGGGATTTTGTCCGGTAAGATTCCTCTTCCCCCCCTCCTCTTTTTTTTTTTTTTTTTTGAGTTCCGGAGAAGCTTCCCCATGATACACAGGGAGTCCTCAACGTAGGACCACGATTGAGCTCAAAATTTCTGTTGCTAAGCGAAACGTTTGTGAAGGGGAGTTTGCTCCGTTTTACGACCTTTCTGGCTGCCGTTGTTAAGTGAAATCACTGCGGTAGACAAGTTAACAACACGGTTGTTAAGTGGATCTGGCTTCCCTCATTGACCTTGTCGCAAGAAGGGATCACATGACGCCAGGGCTCTGCAACTGTCATAAAGATGAGTCGGCTGCCAAACATCTGGATTTTGATCACTTGACCACGGGGAGGCGGTAACTGTTGTAATTGTGCAAAACGGTCCTATGTCACTTTTTCCAGTGATGTTATAACTTTGGTCACTAAGCAAACTGTTGTAAGTTGAGGACTACCGGTACTAACAATCAAAGCAAATTGGTAGTAGATAAAAGTCAACGGAATTCAAGGTGGGCTGGACTCAGATCTCTTGTGGGCACGAAGGGACTCCAGACTGATGACATGTTTGACTCATCCACCCTTTTGGGCTCAGCCTGGTCATATCCTACACAAACCACTGTTCTGGGCACAAATCTCTAGGGGTACCCTCTTGTGTGTAAGCATTCCCTTTTTCTTCAACACTCTCTTTTCTTTTTCTGGAAGGATGTTGCGGAAGGACAAAGAGGAGGCGGAAGCTATCAAACACGCCAAAGCTCTGGAGGAAGAAAAAGCCATGTACTCGGTAAGGAAACAGGAAGGGGAGGGGAGGGGAGGGGAAGGAAAGGAAAGGAAAGGAAAGGAAAGGAAAGGAAAGGAAAGGAAAGAAGGAAAGGAAGGGAAGGGAAGGGAAGGAAAGGAAGAAGGAAAGGAAGGAAAGGGAAGGGAAGGGAAGGAAAGGAAAGGAAAGAAGGAAGAAAGGAGAAGGGTAGATGGGAAGGGAAGGGAAGGAAAAAGGAAAGGAAAGAAGGAAAGGAAAGGAAAGAAGAGATGAAGAAAAGGAAAGGAAAGGAAAGGAAGAAAGGAGAATGGTAGGAGGGAAGGGAAGGGAAGGGAAGGAAAAAAAAAGGAAAGGAAAGGAAAGGAAAGGAAAGGAAGAGTTGGAAGGGACTTTGGAGGTCTTCTAGTCCAACCCCCTGCTCTGTCAGGAAACCCTATACCCATGATGGTGAACCTATGGCACGCGTGCCCAAAGTGGCATGCGAAGCGATGTCATCCGGCTCACACAGCCTTGCATGTTTTGTCTTCTGTGGTTTCTGGCTTGCATGCGTGTGCGACGACCAGCTGTCCTTCACGCGCAGCAGTGCTGAAAACTGGTGTGCGCATGTGCGCTGGCCAGCTGATTGTTGGATGTGCAATGCATGCCAGAACTTGGAAGTTCGGCTTTTCCAGAGCGTGATCCCTTCGCGCGTGTGGCAGTGTCAAAAACCGGTTTGCACATGCGTGCCGGCCAGCTGATTGTTGGGCGCACATGCGCGCTAGAACCCGGATGTTCGGCTTTTCTGGAGTGCGACCCCGATGAGCGTGTGTGCAAAGTTTCCGCACGATTTTTTTTTTTGGCACTTGGTGCCGAAAAGGTTCGCCATCCCTGCCCTAAACCATTTCAGACAAATGGTTGTCCAATCTCTCCTTAAAAACTTCCGCTGATGGAGCACCCACGACTTCTGGAGGCAAGCAGTTCCACTGATTAAATGTTCCAACTCTCAGGATATTTTCCTTTAGTTCTCGGCTGGGCTGGGCCTGACTCGTCTCTTCATTTGACGGAGAGGAGATCACGTCCAATGCTTCCCACTTCTGACTCATCTAAAATCCTCCTCAATGCAGGCCAAAAAGAAACTGCTGATAAACCAGGGAGTGATGACAGGCCCCATCAGAGCCTGGGGCCTTTCTTTGGTCTCTCACACCTGCCTTCTCTTCCAGGGTCGCCGCTCCAGGCGGCAAAGGAGGGAATTCCGAGAGAAACGTTTGAAAGGAAGGAAGATCAGCCCTCCGAGGTAGGCCTTTCGGAAGTTGGACCTGTTCCCCTGTTGGTTGCCCTTGAGTCCCTGGGTTTGTGTGGTGGTGGTGGAATTTACAGGATCTTTTTCTGGTGGGAGACAAACGCTAAACTGCCATTCAGAAGTGGCGGATTATCTGTAGGAGGCCCCCAAAGGTGCATTTTTCAAGAGGCAATTGGATTTTCCGGTTTTTCTTTGAAGACGTTTTGCTTCTCATCCCAAGAAGCTTCTTTGGCTCCGACTGGATGGTGAGGAATGGAAGGATTTATACTCCTTGCAGACAGCTGGACATTTGCATCCTGTTAGAGGGTCCTTAAGGTCACCTGGAGTTTTATCTGTGTCCTCAGGGTCATCCGAGTGGTGCAAACGGGTGTGGAGCCTTCTTGGAACTGCTTGTTCTGACCTAGACTTCCCTAAAAAGCAGGAATTAGGAATTGGTCCCGGCAAAACCCCTTTTATTTACACGACTGTGAATTCCTTTCATTCACAGTCAGCAAGGCCTGGCAAACAGTCTTTCAGAGGAATCTTTATCAACACAGACCTTATCTCGCTTGGAAAGCTGCCATGTCAATAGTTTCCAGACGCAGGGCAAGGCAATACTTGGCACAGAGTCTCTGGGATTCACGGACAGATCTTCCCACTCTTGAAACGACCAAATGAACAAATTGTTTCCTGCAAAAGCCCCCTCCCCGTCCGCTCCTTTATTATTTCCTATGGGAGGGGCCAATCACCTCCAAGGTGTGGCTTTACTCCCAAGTCGACCCTGCTTTCTGAGTTAGTTAGTTAGTTTATTATATTTGTATACCGCCCTTCTCCCGAGGGACTCAGGGCGGTGAACAGCCATGGTAAAAACAATATACCACAACAATTAAAAGCTTATTGAAATAATTCAATCATTCGGCCAAATTTAAAATATCCAACTAAAATCATTTTAAAACCCCTATCAAAACCCAATTTAAAAAAACCTTTATCTTGTCAGACCAGCTTGCTGGAATAATAGAGTCTTCAGAGCGCGACAGAAGGCACGGAGGTCGGGGATCCTTCATATGTCCGGGGGCAGTTGTTGTTATTATTATTATTATTATTATTATTATTATTATTATTATTATTATTATTATTATTATTATTATTATTATTTATTCAATTTATATACCGCCCTTCTCCTATTGGACTCAGGGCGGTGCACAGCCAAGGATAAAAAACATACCAATACAAAATTTAAAATCAATTAAAAGAATTATACAGTTTTGGCCCACAATTTAAAACAATCCAGTTAAAACCCAATTTACACTTAAAAAGATAAAAAGATAAAAAGCTAAAAAAGAGCTAAAAGTGGGGGGGGGGTTTCACGCCAGCCCTGCTTGATGGAAAAGAAAAGTTTTCAGGGCACGGCAAAAGACCCGGAGATCCGATATCTTTCGTATCTCCGGGGGGCAAATCGTTCCAGAGGGCAGGAGCTGCCACAGAGAAGGCCCTCCCGCTGGGGGTCGCCAGCCGACATTGCCTGGCTGACGGCACCCTGAGGAGTCCCTCTCTGTGGGCGCGTACTGGTCGGTGGGAGGCTATCGGCGGCAGAAGGCGGTCTCGCAAATGGGGGTTGCCAGCCTACACAGTTTGGCCGAGTTGTTTTTGTCTTCTGGCAGCTCTGTGCATGCGCACACTGGGGACGGGCTCCAGCTGTTCCTCTGCCTCACTGCTGTCTAGCTCCCTCTTTGCCTCCGATGCAGAGCCCTCGTCCGAGCTTTCCCCAGCCCCCAGGACCGACCCATGTTCCTCCCCAACCTCCTCACTGTATTGTATATTGGAGATAGATGAGGTCATATCCCTCCCCCTCTGTTGGAGGATACATCCTTCCATTAATATATCCTTCCATTATAAATCCTTCCGTTCCCCGCCATCCGCTCAGAGCTGAAAAAGCTTCTTGGGATGAGAAGCGAAACGTCTTCAAAGAAAAATAAAGTCCAGTTGTCTCTTGGGACAAACATTGACCTGGATGACCGAGAATCTCCATAGATATCTGTAGGAGAGCTAGTCTAAGAAACACTCGTGATAGTGGATAGATTTTTTTTTTTTTTTTTAAAAGGCATTTTCTGCACTCGGGAGGAAGCTACTGCCGAAAAGGAAGGCAGGAAGCTAGAGTTCAGTTTTGCAAACCTTCCGCGATGCAGGGCAGGCTTTTCGTTCTCACAGTCTTCTCTCATTACAGTTACGCTCGGAGAGACAGTCCCACCTACGACCCCTATAAACGGTGAGTGCAGACAACCGCTCTGCTTGTGGGGTGGGGTGGGGTGGGGAATCCCTTGCTCCTCCCGTGGCTCAGTGAAGGGGTAGCTTTTCCCTGGCTTCCTAGACTTTAATTTGCATTTAATTCCTAGACTTTAATTTGCATTTAATTTGAAGGATAGTCAGAAAGGGCTGTGTATGTACAGAAACAGCTGGGCTTTGAAAGGGAGCGAGTTGTTGTTTTATGACTTTGTATTTATCTCCATTATATCTTTAACGGAAAAATGCTATTTTAGCCTGTTGAATGTTGGGGTTTACTCAAATTCCATTTGTGTGGGGACCTTAGTACTCTGAGAGGAGGAGGGGGAGGGGGAGGAGGAGGAGGAGGAGGAGGAGGAGGAGATGATCATTGTGGGATCCTTGGTGCTATCTGACCTTGGTGGTTTTCTTGCAGACTTTTCAGTACCAAATTAAGTAACATCATCAGTGCTAGAAAGGAATGGTGTTTGCTCTTATTTTTATATACTTGTTGAGGCCCGTCAGCGGCCTGCCCAGCTAGTAGCTGATTCTGACAGCGAGGAGGCTGGTGTGGTGCTGCGCCAGCAGCCTGTGCAGCTGGCGCTCGAGTCAGACAATGAGGAGGAGATGTGGTGTCAAAGGCGGGGACTCAGCCAGGGCCTTCAGAACCTCCAGAAGCTCCCATAAGTGAAGAGGAAGAAGAGGACAAGCCTCTTCTCGATGCACGGGCGTGCAGAGCTGCAACCTTAAGCACTCAAAGAGCCATTTGGACCCGTTTCCCACAGAAAAGAAAACACCGGGAGCCACAAAACCTGGGTGGGCGTGGCCAACTCGATGTCACTCACTTACACCAGTCACATGACCCCCCTAGCCATGCCTACCCAGCCAGTCATTAGGGCAGAGAACCAGTTGTTAAAAAACACCGGGAACCACACAATCCTTTTGACATTCTCTCTCTCCCCCTCCCTCCCTCCCCCCTCCCTCTCTCTGTATCTCTCTATGTCTCTCTCCCTCTCTCTGTATCTATGTCTCCCTCCCTCTCTATGTCTCCCTCCCTCTCTTTCTGTATCTATGTCTCTCTCTCCCTCTCTCTCTGTATCTCTCTATGTCTCTCTCCCTCTCTCTGTATCTATGTCTCCCTCCCTCTCTTTCTGTATCTATGTCACTCTCTCCCTCTCTCTCTGTATCTCTCCCCCCCCTCTCTGTATCTCTCTATGTCTCTCTCTCTCCCCCACTCTCTCTATCTCTCTGTCTCTGCCCTGGCCGCTTCTCCGTCCCCTGCCGTCGCCCTTACCTTCTCAGGCCAGGCGAGGAGTGATTGGGAGGGGAGGGCAAGGGGTGGGGCCAGCCAGTGGTGGGATCACCTGACAGGCAGCCACCACTGAGGGTCCAAAGAGCCGCATGTGGCTCCGGAGCCGCAGGTTGCTGACCCCTGCAGTAGACCAACAATCAAGAACTAAAGAATACCCCAATCAAGGAACTACTAACCAACACAGATAAACAGGCTAACCTTAAATAACAGCCTAATCAAAGAACCACCAAGTATACTCCCACCAACACTGACAGGGCAAGCCGCTAGTATGTACTAATATAGTACACAGTACTATGTACACTAAGTACATAAAACTAGTATATAAAAATAAGAGCAAAATCTCAACTCCCTTCTAGCACTGATGGCATAGCCTAGTTTGGTAATGAAATGTCTGCAAGAAAAATTAGCTCCTCCTCCTCCTCCTAAACCCCACTTTCTCCTAGCACTGATGATGTTAGCTAGTTGGGTCATGAAACGTCCTCAAGAAAACCACCCAGTTCAAGAGGCCACCAAAGCGTCCTCAGTTCAACCTGGCATCTACGAATGAACTGCTCCAGGCTGGGATTAGCTCCCCACCCTCTCCCCCCCCCCCGTTCTTCTCTCTCCAGTGATCGCTTTGCCTTCATCCCACAGATCCCCCTCCGAATCCAGCTCCGAGTCTCGTTCCCGCTCTCGCTCGCCTTCCCCTGGTCACGAAGAGAAGATCACTTTCATCACCAGCTTCGGGGGCAGCGATGAAGAAGCCGCTGCTTCCCAAGCCGGGGGAGCCCCTCGGAAAACACCCCCCGTCAACAAGCCACGCTCCAGCCAAGCGCAGCAGGGCAACGTTCCGGCAGGTCATAGCGCCTCCTCCCGGTCGGTAACTTTCGCACCTGCCTGGCCTTTCCCAAACCTTAAAGCAGAGACCCTTCTGGGGTCAAAGGTCGAGAGATTGCTTTTTTTTTTTTTTGACGTCCATCCGCCCCGAATGCTTGGGTCTGGTCCCGTCCGTGTTAGGGGAGCTGCGTTGCCATTGGTCACTCCGGCAGTCCCATTCTTGCCCGAATGATCTTTTCATGATGGAATCTGGTCAGGGATCAGGAAAGCGGTGGGGTGGGGCTCTTGTCCCATGAGAGATCTGGGAGGTTTCTTGCATCCAGCTGTAGCTTCCTTGAAGGAGAGACAGGGTCCGGGATCCTGTATGACTGCCTTAACTTTGTAGAGATCCTTTTGAAGTACGGTTGGGAGATTCCTTTGGCCTGGGGAAGTTGGCTTATTGCAAATTAAATCCTAGCATTTTCCAACCAGCCAATTATGCTGTGATCACTGCTCGCTCTCCCCACTATCATTATTACTCTACTTTGATCCACCTTTTCAAAGGCCAAGCTTTCCGATTTGAATTACAGCTAGTCCTCGATTTATGACCACAACAGATGCCCAGAATTTATTTATTTATTTTTTTTAATTTGATTTATATGCCGCCCTTCTCCGGAGACTCAGGGCGGCTTACAATGCATTAAGCAATTTATGTTGCTAAGTGAGAAATGGGTTAATTTGCCCCGTTTTACGGCTTTTTCTTGCTACACTTGTTAAACTGAATCACTGCCGTTTTTAAATTTGTAACTCGGTCGTTAAGTGGATCTGGCTTCCCCGTTGACTTTGCCGGTCTGAAGGTCACTAAAAGATGATCCCATGACCCTGGGACATTGCAAACCGTCCTAAATGCGAACCCGTTGCCAAGTGTCCGGGTTTTGATCACACGACCAGGGGCGGTTGCTCACGGAACGGTCATAAGTGCGAACAAGGGTCATAAATCCCTTTCCTCAGTGCCATTGTAACTTCGAACGGTCGCTAAACAAACTGTCGAGGATTACCTGTAATTTATTTCTATATAATGTTATCACGAAAAACTTTTAAGTACCAGCGGAATTGTGGCAGAGCAGCAAATAGTCGCGTGCCATCGAGCCCTCTGTCAGCAGAACCAAAGCTTGGGAAAATTAGCTTTTAAAGACCTCTCGAGGGGACTCTTAATGAACCCCAGTCTTGGACAGCGTGACTTGAGGGGAAAAGGGAAACTTTTACTTTTTAATTAGGTGGAAGCTGTGGGAACTTTCAGAGTCGGCTTGATATCAGCGTTCCAAATAATGCACCCATAGAATGTAGAACTCCGAGGCAGGCAATCTCCTCAAAGAACAGTTTTATTGGATCTATATATATATATATATATATAAAAGCGAAATACCAATCATCACAAAATCTCCAGAACCGTAAAGCCTACAAACTTGAAATTTGCCACGTATGTTCCTCTTGGCTTCTATGTGCTCATTAAGAAAGGATTTTTCGAAATGACCATCAGAGCATTAGTATTTCCTATATTATGATTAACATGCTCTGATGCTAAGGAGTTCTACTTCCCCTCCCCACCTGAAAAGAAATCTGTTCCAAATGCAAAACACAAGCAGAGGAGAGGAGTTTCAGTTTCAGTTTTACTTTCACAGCAGCAAGCAAGGGACAGGATAGGGGAGGCTTCGATGGGGCAAGGCTGAGGGAGAGAAGGGGATAGGATAGGAGACGTTTCTGTGGGGCAAGGCTGAGGGCGAGAAGGGGAGAGGAGAGGCCGATAGTAACTACTCATTAATTTTCAAGCTGTAAGTGTCGATTGATCAAGCTCAATGACATAGTTTTGTAGCGGAGCACGGTATTCAGCTCAAAGCCAACTCTGAGATTTCCTGCAGCTTTCACCTAATTAAAAAGTAAAAGTTTTCCCCTTCCCCCAAGTTGCTGGTCACGCTGTCCAATCAGGTGCTGGCCTGTTGCTTGGTTACTTTGCTCCTCCTCTGACCAAGCCACTTGTGAGAACGACCTTGGTTCCCACAGGAAAACTTGATTGTTTTGGCCACAAAACTCCCATCTAGCTATTTCCCTCCCTCCCTCTGTTGTGTGGCAATCCTGAAGCCTCCAAGACGGCCGCAGCCAGGTTCAATTCAAGGTTGACATTTACATTGTTGGAACCCCCCCCCCGCTTGTCCTGTTTGAGGTCTTGTGGCAAACAATAATAAACTCTGCAGCGGTCCCACATTCTTAGGGTAGGTCCCCATGCACAGTTTATTATTATTATTATTATTTTTAAATAAGCCTTTCCCTGGCAGTTTTGAAACTTTAAAGGGAGTGTTTCCTCCCTTTCAATTTGGGAATTCTCAAGGACGGGACAGCCGTCCCGGGGATCCTGAGCTGGGGGTTCAAAATTCTGTCCCTTGAGCGCCGAGGTCTTGCAGCCCACCAACCTCCCCGTGCCTGTTGCACTTAGGCCGAGCCGAACGTGGTGTGGAAGCCAGCGGGGTCTTACCAACCCTTCCTGTCTCCAGGAAGGGGGTGCCCCGAAGAAGACAGAGAAGGAGGGGAAGCGAAGGTCAGCCTGACCCATTGCAGATGACCGAACCGTGACCGTTAATTTGGAAGCGTTTTTTTTTTTCCTCCTCTGTTTGGGGAATTGTCCGGCAGGATTAGACCTTGGCAGTTGGGGACGTCCTTCGGCCTTTCTCCTCCGCTGCCGGTCTCCTGCGTGACCAGCCAGCATCCTGCCTCTCCTCCTTCCAGGCGACGCTCCACCTCCTCCTCCACCACCTCCTCCTCCTCTTCCTCGTCCACTTCCTCCTCCTCCAGCTCGCAGTCCAGCTCACGGTCCCATCGGACAAGTAGTTACCACAGGACTGGCGGCTACAGCCGTTCCCGCAGCCACAGGTATTCCCGGTCCCCCAGCAGGACCAGGCGGTACTCGGCCGGAGGCTCTCGAGATGGGCGACGACACTCCAGGTCGCGGTCGATGGAGCGGGGCTGGCGTTACGGCTCTCGACGCAGATCCAGGTCAGTAAGCCAAGCCGCAGGAGAGGGGTGCCCCTCTGTACCTCTTTGGGGGAGGGGCAAGGGTAGACGTGCCCCCATGCAGGGGTGTTCAACCTTGGCAACTTTTAAGACTTGCGGACTTCAACTCCCAGAGTTCCTCAGCCAGCCATGCTGGATGGGGAATTCTGGGAGTTGAAGTCCACAAGTTGCCAAGAGTGGATTCCCCTGATTGGCTACCTGGGGAATTCTGGGAGTTGAAGTCCACAAGTCTTAAAAGTTGCCACGGGTGGACATCCCTGATTGGTTGGCTGGGGAATTCTGGGAGTTGAAGTCCACAAGACTTAAAAGTTGCAAGGGTGGACATCCCTGATTGCTGGCTGGGGAATTCTGGAGTGAAGTCCACAAGTCTTAAAAGTTGCCAAGTGGACATCCCTGATTGGCTGGCTGGGGAATTCTGGGAGTTGAAGTCCACAAGACTTAAAAGTTGCCAGGGTGGACATCCCTGATTGGCTGGCTGGGGAATTCTGGGAGTTGAAGTCCACAAGTCTTAAAAGTTGCCAAGCGTGGACATCCCTGATTGGCTGCCTGGAGAATTCTGGGAGTTGAAGTCCACAAGTCTTAAAAGTTGCCAAGGGTGGACTTTCCTGATTGGCTGCCTGGAGAATTCTGGGAGTTGAAGTCCACAAGTCTTAAAAATTGTCACGGGTGGACATCCCTGATTGGCTGCCTGGAGAATTCTGGGAGTTGAAGTCCACAAGACTTAAAAGTGGCCTCGGTTGGAGTCCCCTGCCCTAATGCAAGGCTCTTCCCTCATTCCCAGGAGCCATTCCCGGTCTGGGGAACATTATCGGTGGAGCAGCGGCAGAGGAGGGAGGCACTGGAGCAGCAGCCGCAGCAGCCAAAGTGAGAGTGAATCGCGGAGCCGCAGCCGGTCAGTGTCTCCAGCCAGAGAGAAAATGCTGAGGCCTGCGGTTTCGCCTGCTGTAGGGGAGAAACTGAAAAAGTGAGCGTGCCGTTTTATTTATTTTGATTTCATGTATTTATTGATTTATACCCCACTTTGATTATTTCGATAGATGACTCAAGGGAGCAAGCATCCTTAATAAGCTCAGAGAGCACCAAGGACCATCTAGTCTTTGTCCTCCTCCTCGCCTTCTCCCCTTCACAACCCCTCCCCTCTTTTCTAGCACTGATGATGTTACTTAGTTGGGTCATGAGATGCCTGCAAGAAAACCACCAACCTCAGAGGGCACCAAGGACCCCACGGTTCAACCCTGAGCTGCAAATATTCACTTCTACCAGTGCCTTTTAAAAGACGGCTGGCAATCAGTGTAGTTTTCTGATGGCTGCTGCATTTTGCCTAAGTTTAAAGCTTCCACGTGCTCTTTAAAGGGCAGCCATGGATGAAGGGCTGGGAAAAATGAGGAAACCAGCAGAGGGGGCTAAATTGACTGCTTTACTCAAAGCAAAGCAACCTATTCCACTTGGTTTCTCCTTGGAAGCTGCTTCTGGATTTTGTGCTTGATAAATAAAACAAATTAGATAAGCTTGTTGCAGCAGTGGCTAGTCCATATTAATCCGCAACAGGTTGAGGCTGTACTATTACTGTCTTGTTCTACTGCACTAAAGAAAGCCAGAGATCAATGTATTCCTCTTCTTTTTTTCCTCTCCCCCTCCTTTTTTTAAAAAAAATTGATTTATATGCCGCCCTTCTCCGGAGACTCAGGGCGGCTTACAGTGCGTTAAGCAATAGCCTTCATCCTTTTGTATATTTATACAAAGTCAGCTTATTGCCCCCACAAACTGGGTCCTCATTTCACCTACCTTAGAAAGGATGGAAGGCTGAGTCAGCCTTGAGCCTGGTGAGATTTGAACTTGCAGTAATTGCAGGCAGCTGGTGTTAATCACAATGCTATCAGTCTGCTGAGCCACCAGGCCCTTCCTTGCTCTTCTGTTTTCACTTTCCTTTGTATTTTATATCTTGGAAAACTGAATAAAATCATTACGAAAATAAAGGGTTAGCTCCATTAGGACCTGTTGAGTTAGTCTTGGAGCTTCACCGGAAGGCGTGTACAGGTAGTCCTCTACTTACAACAGTTCATATAGTGACGATTCATCATCAGAACGGCCACTGGAAAAAAGTGGCTGTTTCCACACCTCATTTTCTGCCCATTTTCCACACTTAACGACCGTTGCCCGTGACCTCGTGGTCACGTTTTCAAAATTCCGACGCGTGTCAAATGACTGATATTTACGACGGCTGTAGCGTCCTGGGGCCATGTGATTCCCTTTTGCGACCTTCTGACAAGCAAAGTTCACGGGGAAACCAGATTCGCTTAACAACTGGCTGGGGGATCCTGGGAGTTGAAGTCCACCCATCTTCAAGCTTCCAAGGTTGAGAAACACTGTTCTAAGTGGAGGACTACCCGTATTGCCGTAAAATAAAGGGTTAGGCTTGTTGAATTTAGCCTTGGAGCTTCACTGCGCATTCCCGACTCAGATTAATCCCTGTCTGGCATCCGTCTTTTGATTGACACCTCTCTCTCTGTCTCTCCTCACCTTTTTTTAGGGCTGAAACGGCTGGTGGTAAAGAGACAGGAGCTGCCAAAGTCAGTAAGAATTTAAACCTCACCTCTTTAATTCCCACCACTGCAGAAAAAACAAAAGACTCAGGGAACCATAGACATGCAGGAACAATGTGCTCCGTGGGGGTCTTTGTATGGTCGTGCTTGAGTGTTTCGTATTTACCGTATTTTTCGGAGTATAAGATGCTCCGGACCTATCTTTTTTTGGTGATGAAAACAAGAAAAAGAAATCTGCCTCTGCCTCCCGGCAATTTTGCCTTGTTGCAGCAAACAGCCTGCTTTACTTTCGTTTTCGTTTTCAGCATAGCTTGATTAGCACAAGAAAAAAAAAAATCTGGTCCCAGCAATTTACCTCCTTGCAGCAAGCAGCGGAGGCCCGCGCACCAATAGGCAATGGCAATCTGAAACAGCTGAGAGTCGGGAGGCGGATCCAAGGGACAATCAACTTGTGCTAATTACCGTATTTTTTGGAGTATAAGATGCACCTTAGTTTTTGGGGAGGAAAATAAGAAAAAAGCTGATTGGCGGGTGGATCGGCCTCCCGGAATACTCCCCAATCAGCTGTTCCCCAGAGGTGAATTTTAGCAACAGGTTCCTTGGTTGTGAGCTCTGTGCCTTGCTTTTTTTTTTGCTTTTTTTTTCTGAAACTTCTGAAACTCTGTTTCAGAAAGAATCTTTTTTCCTGCCTCTGAAAGCCTCCGAAACAGAGCTTCGGAAAAAAAGCCTCCAAAACAGAGCTTCAGAAAAGAAGCCCCCAAACAGAGCTTCAGAAGCTTTTTTTCTGAAGCTCTGTTTGGGGGCTTCTTTTCTGAAGCTTCTTTTCTGATGCTTTTTTCAGCCTCTGAAACCTCCATTTGAGCGACTGGGAGAGGCTACATTTGGAGTATAAGACGCACCCAGATTTTCATCCTTTTTTTGGGGGGAAAAGGTGCGTCTTATACTCCGAAAAATACGGTAGGCTGTGCTGAAGCTGAAATGGGCTGTTTCTTTTTGCTGCTTGCTGCGAGGAGGTAAATGGCTGGGAGGCAGAGGCCAAAGGGTGGGGGCCAGTGGGTGGGCGGGGCTACATTCGGTGTATAAGACGCACCCAAATTTTCACCCCCTTTTAGGGGGGGAAAAAGGTGTGTCTTATACTCCGAAAAATACGGTAGTTAAGGGTGGAGATAGAACTTAACCGAATAATCTGAGTTGGAAGGGACCGTAAAATACAAGGCTTGTTTGCTATCAAAAGAAACCATTGCGCAGCTTTCCTTGTCAGCCACAATCCTACATTTCCTTCAAGAACAAAATAGGCCATCTTGGTTTTCTTCATCCAATCTTCAAATAACAGAATCACAGAGTCGGAAGGGACTTTGGAGGTCTTCTAGTCCAGCCGGCCCTCAACCTTTTGGGCACCAGAGACCCGGTTCCATGGAGAGAGGTTTTTCCGTGGAGCGGAAAAGCCGTGGTTTCGCATGCTGTGCCTGCATTCCGCAGATGGGGGCTTCGCTTGTTTCCACGGCCCGGTTTTTGGCATGCCGTGGACTGGTGCTAGTCCACAGACCGGGGTTTGGGGACCCCTGTTCTAGTCCAACCCCCTGTTATCATTTCAGACAAAACGGCTGTCCAATCTCTTCTTATAAACCTCCAGTGTTGGAGCGCCCACAAGTTCTGGTGGCAAGTAGTTCCACTGATTCATTGTTCTCACTGTCAGGAAGTTTCTCTGATTATCCACTTAGGAATCAATTTAGATTAGAACGAAGAATTTTCTGGAATGATGGTCTTGAATGATGAGCTGAAGGCCCACCAAAAAAAAAAAAAAAACCTGTTCCCTGCAGATTCAAGATGGGAGAGCAACTTGCTTCCAAGCCTGTTAAAATGGAAAATTGATTGATCTTTGCTTTTTTTGTTTGTTTGTTTGTTCGTGTCAAAAGCATCGCGAGCAAAACAAGGCATGCTCCACAGGTAGTCCTCGACTTACAACAGTTCATTTAGTGACCTTTTGAAGTTACGACAGCAGTGAAAAAAGGGACTTGCTGCCGGTTTTCACACTTAACGACCGTTGCAAGCATCCCCATGGTCATGGACGCTTGGCAACTAGTTCCCATTTATTGACGACGGTCGCAACGTCCCTGGGGGGGGGAAGGGGGGGTCACGTGATTCCCTTTTGAGACCTTCTGACAAGTGAAGTGCATGGGGAACTCAGATTCACTTCACCCAACCCTGTGAGTAACTTAACAGCTGCGCCGATTTGCTTAACAGCGGCGGCAAGAAAAGTCATAAAGTTGGAGTTAAGCTCCCTTAGCTTCTCTTGCTCGGCAACCGAAATTCAGCCGCTCAATTGCGGACGTAAGTCGAGGAGTACCTGTACAGGCAGGCTGGCTTGAATTGCTGATTCTGAATGAGTCCCAACCTGTCCTTTTTCAGCTGCGGTTAGTGGGGAGAAGTAGCCACATTTTAGCCACCTTTTGTTTGACTGGCTTGGTGGCAGGGTGGATAAAAATCGATTTAAAAAAAAAATTGGATTTTTAAAAAAAATTAAATCTGGATTTTTTAGATTTTTTTTATCAAATTTATTTTAATAAAATGCTTTTGGAGTAAAAAGTCTACCTAAAGATAGTTTTCTATTTAAGATAACATTCATAATTTAGTTTATTCGGCATGAAACGGAGCTTAGTTCTGTATATTCTGCAAAATTGGGACTGTCGGTGAGTCAACAGCAGGAGTCCGAGGAGGAGCCGCTGCGGGACAGAGATGACAGTTGCTCTTTAAAAATGATGATTTAAATCGAGTTGATTTAAATCAAGCCTTTTTACTACCGTGTTTCCCTGAAAATAATCCCGGGTCTTATATTAATTTTTGCTCCAAAAGGCGCATTAGGGCTTATTTTCTGCTTAGGTCTTATTTGGGGGGAAATACGGTACTACATACATCCATCTGGCTGACAATCTTAACTGGGGCTTATTTTGGGGGGTTAGGGCTTATATTACGAGCATCCTGCAAAATTTTGCTAGGACTTATTTTCCAGTTGGGTCTTATTTTCAGGGAAACAGGGTAGTGATTTAAATCGTGATTTAAATCGTGATTTAAATTGACTTGATTTAAATCAAATCCACCCTGTTCGGTGGCAGGTGGACTTTTCTTACTTTCAGCCCGGTGCCCATTGCTGCCAACCCAAACTGCTGCGGGGACTTAATGCTCTCCCAGTGTTTCGGTCTTTGGCTGCCAAGGAAAAGGTTTGTGACCGACCGTCAGCCGGCTGTGGGTGTTTTGGGAAGACTTGGCAAGCAAGGCTCCCCTCCTCCCACAAGAGGCGAATTGACTTCTGTCTTGCAAGGGGGAGGCTTTTCAAGTCAAAGTCCAAATCCTCCCATTTATCGACCTGACTTAAATTTGTAGAGTCAGTTGTGGGGGACGGACGGACAGACACGCGGGGGCTATGACAAGAGCGGTCATTTAAGGCCTCTGGAAATCAACGCTGTCTAATCCGGAGGCTTCTGGTCTCCTTTAAATAGCTCCTTAGAGGAGATCAACGTCCTGCTTCCCACCCGCCACCCCCAGGTCATTTTGCAACGGGTGGCAGCAAAAGCAAAAGCAAAAGGCATTTGTTTGTTATTTCTTTACTTTTTTAAAAAACTTTTTTTCCAAGATCACTTGGCACCAGGAGGTAGATTTTATTTTATTATTTTATTTTATTTTATTTTATTTTATTTTATTTTATTTTATTATTTTATTTTATTTTATTTTATTTTATTTTATTATTTTATTTTATTTTATTTTATTTTATTTTATTTTATTTTATTATTATTTTATTTTATTTATTTTATTTATTTTATTTTATTATTTTATTTTATTTATTTTTTTTATTTTATTATTTTATTTATTTTATTTATTTTATATTTTATTATTTTATTTTATTTTTTTATTATTTTATTTTTATTTATTTATTGTATTTTTATTTTATTTTTACTTTTTTCCAAGATCACTTGGTACCAGGTGGCTGCATGTATGTATGTACCGTATTTTTCAGACTATAAGATGCACGTGACTAGAAGACGTAACTAAATTTAGAAAAGGAAAAAAAAGGTTTTGGCCTCCCTTTTTTGCGGAGCCTTTTTTTGGCCCGTTTTTGAGGCTTTTGGGGCGGTTGGCCTGTTTTTGAGGGTTTTTTCAGCCCACTTTTGAGGGTTTTTTCAACCCATTTTTTCCGAAAAAATGGGCTGAAAAAAGCCTAAAAAAACAGGTCAAAAAAGCCCTGAAAACGGGCTAAAAAAAGCCTCGAAAATTGGCCAACCCCCCTCCCCCCCAAAAGCCTTGAAAACAGGCCAGAAAAAAGCCTCAAAGGCTGAAAAAAACCCCCAAAAACGGGCCGAAAAAACCCTCGAAACACCCCCCCCCACAAAGTCCGCAAACTCAGTGGGAAAGCCACTTCACAACCGTCTTACTAACTTACCAATTGCAGCGATTCCCTTAACAAACGTGGTCGTAAAAGGGGGCAAAATCCACGTCACAAAACGTCTGACTTGGTCACTAGAAATTTTGGGGTCAATTTTGGTCGTAAGCGAAGGGCTCCCTGCATTGCCCTGTTGATTTGGTACGTGTTTCCCCCGGATTAGGTGAGAAAGATCGTATCCTCTGGAGCAGGGGTCTCCAACCTTGGCAACTTGAAGACTGGTGGACTTCAACTCCCAGAATTCCTCAGCCAGCTTTGCTGGCTGAGGAATTCTGGGAGTTGAAGTCCACCAGTCTTCAAGTTGCCAAGGTTGGAGACCCCTGCTCTGGAATGTCCTAGTTGAGGATATTCCAGGTCTGTCGAGTCGCAGCTCCCAAAATGGCTAGGATCGGTCCAGCTAATGGTTTGAGGCAGCTTCGGAAGGTGGATTTTAAAAGTTGGGTATCCATTCGGTGCCAAATTCCTGGTTGCGGAGGGAGGGGGGTGGGGGGGAGATGTTGCTTTGATCCCTGCGGAAGACGGAAATGTTAACGTGAGTCAGAGGGCTGCAGACAGGACAGGAAAAAAAATGTCTGAAAAGAAAAAAAACATGGCTGTTTTGGAATCCTGCCCTGTACAAACAAGATTGAAAAGCCTCTCTGATTCCGGGAAGAATTGCAGATATGTTGAAATCAGGAAAGCCAAAGGGGCTTGGATTATGATTATGATTATTATTATTTTTAAAAAAGGCTGATAATTCTGATTCTTGTTCAGATCTCCTGAAGGGGAATTGGCGGTGTTTGCTATTAGCGTGTTGTAATCCTAATTTTTCTTTTAAACAAACAAACACAGTTATGGCTTGAAAACGAGCTCTTGAATCAGTGCTGTTGTGTATGTGTAGTTATTGTGTTTGGGTGTCCGGGGGAGCCTTTTGTCTTGTCACTTAGTGAGTTTTTGCATTTTGAATCCTGGAGTTGCTCGCCCTGTGCTGTTCCTTCTTTTTAGCTTCCCTGAAATAAGCTGCCTTTTTTTTTTTTTTTAATTCCTTCAAGCTCTGATTTTTTGCTAGTCACAGTGACAAGGAAGGGACCTTGGCGGGCATCTAGTCCAACCCCCTGCTCTCCCAGGAGACCTATACGAGTTCTGACAAATGGCTGTCCAGTCTCTTCTTAAAAGCCTCCAGTGATGGAGCAACCACCACTTCCAAAGGCAATTTGTCCCACTGCTTAATTGTTCTCACTGTCGAGAAATTTCTCCCTAGTTCTAAGGGTTGCTTCTCTGCTCGCTTAATTTCCATCCATTGCTCCTTGTCCTGCCTTCAGGTGCTTTGGTAAATAAGTTCGCCCGAATCTTCTTTGGGGCAGCCCCTCAAATATTAAAAGAGCTGCTATCATGTCACCCCGGTCCTTCTTTTCACAGAAGACTTTAGTTGGTTCTTTGCGGATCCTTTGAGCGGGGAAGATAGGATCTCCCCTCCTGCTGGGGCGTAGGTAGTCAGCAGTCCCTCGGAACTCAAAACACAGGCTTTTCATTCTCGTATATCCCAGTGAATGGCTGTCTCGTCGTTCACTTTCCCCCCCCCTCACTCAAATTACAATAACACTTTATTTATAGGAGCCCCTTCGCCTTTCTCCACCTATGCCTTCCCCCCCAAATGGACGGAGGAGCTCAGGCCCTGGGCCAACCGTTTTAATACCTTTCTGTTTGCTTCTGCTTATAGCCAAAGCTGACTCCGCAGGAGAAACTGAAGCTGCGTATGCAGAAGGCGCTTAACCGGCAGTGTAAGCATCTTCGGGGTTGGGCGCAAGGCAGCGGTCGGGACCGATCTGACCCAGGGGATCCCCTCTCTCAGGGGTGAAATTCAGCAGGTTCTGACAGGTTCTGGAGAACTGGTAGCGGAAATTTTGAGCAGTTCGGAGAACCGGCAAATACCACCTCTGGCTGGCCCCAGAGTGGGGTGGGAATGGGATGTTGCAGTATCCTTCCCCCAGGAGTGGGGAGGGAATGGGGATTTTGCAGTATCCTTCCCCCAGGAGTGGGGAGGGAATGGGGATTTTGCAGTATCCTTCCCCCAGGAGTAGGGAGGGAATGGAGATTTTGCAATATCTTTTCCCCAGGAGTGGGGAGGGAATGGAGATTTTGCAATATCCTTCCCCAGGAGTGGGAAGAGAATGGGGATTTTGCAGTATCCTTCCCCCAGGAGTGGGGAGGGAATGGGGATTTTGCAATATCTTTTCCCCAGGAGTAGGGAGGGAATGGAGATTTTGCAATATCCTTTCCTCAGGAGTGGGGAGAGAATGGGGATTTTGCAATATCCTTCCCTCAGGAGTGGGGAGGGAATGGGGATTTTGCAATATCCTTCCCCTGCCATGCCCACCAAGCCACACCACGCTCACAGAACCAGTAGTAAAAAGTTTTGAATTCCACCACTGCCCTCTCCCCTTCTCTTTTCTCGTCTGCCCTACCCCCCCCACCCCCGTCGCCTGCCCCCCTACTCACTTTTCTGCTCTGCCTCTCTTCAGTCAAAGCAGACAAGAAAGCAGCCCAGGAGAAGATGATGCAGCAGGAACACGAAAGGCAGGTGAGCAGGAGGACGGCCGATCGGCCCAGGGCAGTAGCTGAACTAAGCAGGGGTCACAATTGTAAGGTCCCCTAACTGCAGGTAGCCCTCGACTACTTATGACCGCCGTCCAGCCCAGAATTATGGCCGTAAATCAAGGCCGATGGTGAAGTGGGGTCACCAGGTGGCCGTGCCCAATTTTATGACTTCCGCGGCAGTGAATGCAGGCAGTCCTCGAGTTATGAGGGTTTATTTTGTGACTGTTCAAAATTATGAACAATGGGGGAACCTGGATTTATTTAGCAACCGGGTTACTAACTTATCAACTGCAGTGGTTCACTTAACGACTGTGGCAGGGAAGGTCGTAAAATGGGGCAAACTTTACTTAACAAATGTCTCACTTAACCACAGAAATTTTGGGCTCAATTGTGGTCATAAATTGAGGACTACCTGTACTGGGGTACCTTGGTACTCATTGTTAATTGGTTCGGGAGGTGCGATGAGTACCAAAAACAACCAAATAAATTTTCCCCATAAGGAATAATATAGTGAGTCACAAGGCAGCCAACACCGACAGATTCTAGCTTGTGCATCGATTACTAAACAAATGATGAGTACAAGGACTCAATTTTCTTGTCAAATCGCATTGAGTCCCAAATTTCATTGAGTTTCAAAGCAGTTGAGTACCAAGGTACCACTATACCACCAATGGATGCTTTTTGTCAGAAATGGGAAGTAAACGCCGGGTTTTGGCCAAAAAACAGGTCACAAATCTCATGTGACCACAAATGGCATAAATGGGAGCTGGTTGCAAAGGACCCAACATTGAATCACGGAGTTGGAAGGGACCTTGGAGGTCTTCTAGTCCAACCCCCTTCTCAAGCAGGAGGCCCTATACAATTTCAGACAAATGGGATATCCAATCTCTTCTTTAAAAACTTCCAGTGTTGGGGCACCCACACCTTCTGGTGGCAAGCTGTTCCACTGGTTAATTGTTCTATCAGGAAATTTCTCCTTCATTCTAGGTTGCTTCTCTCCTAGTGATCACAAGGGGAAGGGGAAGGAGGAGGAGGAGGAGGCTGTCAGGACTTTGAAACCGGGTCACAAGTAGTGCAGGTGGTGGTCCATTGTAATGCTAAGCAACCGGCCATAAGTCAGGGACTGCCTGTAGAAAACAGTACAGTTGGTTGCTAATGAAAATCTCCTGGATGTAGCTTTCATCCTTGGGCTGATTCGATTTCCCATCTTTCCTTCCAGGAACGCGAGGATGAGTTGCGTGCCATGGCTCGGAAGATCCGGATGAAGTAATTGCTTGGATTTTCCCGTCCTTGTGGTGGGGTGGCGGCACGTTGGCGGATGCCTCATCTCTTCTGATCTCCCGTTTTTCTTCTCTGCAGGGAGCGGGAACGGCGGGAGAAGGAGCGGGAAGAGTGGGAGCGACAGTACAGCCGCCACAGCCGCTCTCCTTCTCCGCGCTACAGTAAGTGCTACAAAAGTCCAAAATGTTTGAAATTGGGAACAGGTTGTGCCAGACTCAAGTGGTTACGCTTCAGCCAAGTGGTACATTCCATGCGCCTTGGTGGAGAATGAGGCTGGAGCCAAGCATGGTGGCGTATACCGTATTTTTTGGACTATAAGACGCACCTGACTATAAGTCGCATGTAAATTTAGAAAAGGAAAACAAAACAAAAAAATTTTTTGGCTTCCCTTGTTTCGGGGCTTTTTTTGGCCCATTTTTGGGGCTCTTTTCAGCCTGTTTTCAAGGCTTTTTTTGGTCCATTTTCAAGGCTTTTTTTCAGCCCATTTTTGAGGTTTTTTTCACCCCCTTTTGGGAGACCAAAAAGTGCGTCTTATAGTCCGAAAAATATGGTAAGTGCGGAAGAGAGGGTTGCCCCAAGGGTGCCATGAGTTTCCACCAGTAGTCTTCGACTTACAACTCGTTGCTTAGTGACCCTTCACAGTTACGACGGGCTAGACCAGTGGCCCCCAACCTTTGGTTGTGTGGAGAGAGGTTTTGCCGTGGCCCAGAAGGCGTGTGGTTGCCTCTGCTGGCTGCATCCTATGGATGGAGTTTCGCTTGTTTGCATGCACCAGTTTTTGGCATGCCGTGGACCACTGCCGGCATGCCATGTTCACGGACCGGGGGTTGGGAAGCCCTAGACTAGAGGTACCGCCCCGTTTCAACATTCCTACAGCCACATTCTCACATGACCAGATGTAACGGGGGGGGCTTAACTGATGCCCATTAACAGCTGTTTGCAGCACCCTGACCTCATTTTACAATTGCTGAAAACCAGTATTTATTGGGTCCAGGGCTTTAACTGTTGCAGCATTCAACTAAAGGCTGCCACAAGAAGGTGGTAAAATCAGGTCTGTCACATGGGTGACCTGATTTGCAACCGTCATGACTTAGAATGTTTTGCTACCTGATTTCTTTGTATCCCATCTTTACTGTTTTTACAAATAAGGCAGCGAACGTATCCAACGCACCTTCCTCCTTCTATTTTCCCAACAACAACCCTGTGATGTGGGTTGAACTGAGTGACTAGCGCAAAATTACTCAGCTAACATTCATAGCATTCATAGGTGGGACTAGAACTCCCAGTCTCCTGGTGATTGGCCTGGAGTCTCCCAGGCAGAGGTTATATTATTTATATTTGTTTTTCAGGTCGAGAATACAGCTCGTCCAGAAGGTAGGGCCTGCTTTTTACCTACTTGGTTGGTAAAGGGGCAGACATGGGGCAGAATGAAGGAATACATAGACGCCATGTTGAAACTTTGGAATTGAATGTTTTATCAGCCATTGGAGGAGGAGTAATTGACGCGAAGTACCTGGGGCTTCGTTTTGGACGCAAGAACTCTGCTGAATCAAGCCAAATTTGTTGTTTTAAACGCACTTCTATACCTCTAACAATCCAAAAGGGATTCAATCTTTACTTAGGGGGGAACAAAATGCAAATTAAAACCTCCAAAGGCCCCATCTGGTCCAGCATTAGTTGCACAGTGGCCGATGTGATGCATCCAAGAGGCATCCCAAAGCTGAATTGGGGTGGGGTGGGGTTTAGCCTGTAAAACACAGGCGGCCAGTTTTTTTGCTTTATTTCAGGGGTGGGGGAACTATGGCCCTTTTAGGACCTGTGGACTTCAACTCCCAGGAATTCTGGGAGTTGAAGTCCACAGGTCCTAAAAGGGCCATAGTTCCTTCACCCCAGCTCTACTTAAAAGGCCCCAAGTTGGGGAAAAGCCCACTTAAGAGCAGAAATACGTTCCCCCCCCCTCACCAAAGCCCTTGATGGGCTATTTTGTGTGTCTGAATAGCAAAAAAAGGGGAACGTGCCCCTAAAGCAGGAGTCCTATTGTTGTTTGTTCCCCGCCAAGTTTTCCACTTCCACTTCATGTCTTTGTTCTTCGCAGGCACTCGCGGTCACGATCCCGGAGCCCTCACTACCGCCACTAGGACGAATTCCCGGGCGCAAGGCCACGCAACTGACTTCTCGCCCTGCTGACTCCCCCCCACTCCACCCCGTCACCCCCATCCCCACCGGGGAGGGGGCTCACGTTAACCCTACTGTGTAATTAATGCTGTACATTGCTGTTTTTGTTTTTGCCAGAAAAATAAAAAAGTTTGAAAAAAGTTAGCTCTGTGATGCTGCCCTCCCTGTCTCTAGTTCAGGGGTGTCAAAACTCACACCCTGGGGGCCAGATCCAGCCCACGGGGTGTGTGTGTGTTAGATCTTGCCCGCGGTGTTGCCCTGGAAGCAGTGAAGGATTGGCCCACGGTGCCTCTGCCAGCGAAAACGGAGCTCGGGAAGGCCGCGTGCAGCCTCCTGAGCTCCGTTTTCACCGGCAGAGGGTTGCAAGGAGGCCGTCGCAGCCGAAAACTGAGCTCGGGGATCCGTTTTTGCTGGCAGAGCACTTGGGCCACCACAGGCGCCCCCCAACATGAGATACGTCGAGCTGGTCACGCCCCCCCCAGGTCAAATACAACCCTGATGCGGCCCTCAATGAAGTCGAGTTTGACATCTCCGCTCTAGTACGTGTGTTAAAAAAAAAAAACAGCACAAACGGGGGACATTTCCTTGCCTGGTTTCGAAGCATATGAAGGAAAGCTCCTCCTGCAGGTGTCTTTCGATTAGGAGGGGAAAAAAAAGACGAGTGTTTTATACTCTCCTGCCCCTCCCCAAACCATAGGTAGTCCTCGCCTTACAACAGTTTGTTTAGTGAACGAAGTTACAATGGCAGTGAAAAAAGTGACTGACGACCGTTTTCCACCCTTGTGACTCTTGCAGCCTCCCTGTGGTCATGTGATCAAAATTCTGACGCTCTGCAGCTGACTCATATTTACGACGGTTGCAGTGTCCCCAGGGGTGTGTGTGTCACGTGATCCCCTTTTGCGACCTGACAAGCGAAGTCAATGGGGAAGCCAGATTCACTTAACAACCTGTGTGACTAACTCTTAACACCTGCAGCAATTCACTTAACGGCAAGAAAAACTCATGAAACGGAACCAAACTCAATAATTAAGAAATGTCTCACTCGGCAACAGGAATCTTGGGCTCAATTGGGGTCGTAAGTCCGAGGACCTGTTATCGGAAGTACAGGTAGTCCTCGAGTTACGACCGTAATTGAGGCTCGGGATTATGGTTGTAGGTTTTGGTGGTCATGAGGGGGCCAACCACATGACTGGACCTAATTTTACTACCCTTTTTTGGTGGTACTTGTGAAGTGAGGCAGACAGGTGGCCGTAAAACAAACCTGTTGTTTGCTATGAGGAGATTTTTCGCCAGAAGCTAAAAGCAAAGACAAAAATTTTCAGACAAAAATGTTGTAAATTGCAGTCTTGTGACTGCGGGCTGGTTGCCGAGCGCCCACAATGATCGATGTGACCACCGAGGGGGGGAACATTCAAACTGAGCCTGGTGGCTCAGCAGACTAAAAGCATTGTAATTTAACACCAGCTGTCTACAATCACTGCAGGTTTGAATCTTACCAGGCTCAAGGTTGACTCAGCCTTCCGTCCTTTCTAAGGTAGGTAAATTGAGGACCCGGATTGTGGGGGCAATAAGCTGACTTTGTATAAATATACAAAAGAATGAAGGCTATTGCTTAACGCATTGTAAGCCGCCCTGAGTCTCCGGAGAAGGGCGGCTTATAAATCAAATTTAAAAAAAAACAAAACTTGAAAACCAAATCCGTAAGACCCTTTTTCGGAATCTCATAATTTTGACGGTTCACTGAATAACCCGGTCGTAAGCCGAGGACTACCTACAGATGAATATGCTGAGCTCTTGCAGCCTCCCCTTTCTGAGGTAGCTGCTCCGATCTTGCAGAGAAATCCAGGTGGCTTCGTTGGCTGTGGATGTCGAAATTTATTTTAAGAGCTGCGACTCAAAAACAAAAAAAGTGACCGGACGCAAGTCTTGAGTCTCTGCCATAATCCGAGGCTCTCCTTTGCAAAGCAGGTCGCCCTTCAGACTTCGAAGGAATACGCGATAATGTCCGAGCAACGCAGGAGGGCTTCCCTCTGAATCCCCAGAGGGGTCTGAAGCTGAGAAACCTGGAAGTTCAGGATGTCGATGTCCGAGGCTCTGAATAAGGCTGTGACGTCCACCTTCTCGTACATGGCGAAGTTCACCGGCTGGCCAGCCATGGCCAAGAGGCTGCGTAAGTAGCGTTCCCGCAGGGCGACTCGTGCTTCTTGCTCCTGCTCCAGGTTAGCCGGGTCCTTGTACGCGCTGGAAGGCAGGCTGCCGGGCCCCAGAGCCTGGAAACGAGGGGAGTTGGGATCAAAACCGCGGCTTGACCCATCGGGTCCACGGGGTAGGCGCAGGACAGCTACGGGCACCGTCATTGTCAATCCCTGCTTAAAAAGAAAGGAAAAAAAGAAGATAATGCAACTTCATTCGGAACTAAAGATCGTAAGCAACGGGAACTGATGCCCTCCAGATGTTTTAGATCTGGGGGCGGGGGGGACTCCGACCTCGACAACTTTTAAGACTTGCGTCAACTCTGAAGCTGACCGGACCGAAGCCATCTTGGAGCTTCAGTGTTGTCACACTAGAGCTGAGGGATAGGGAGTGGGGGGGGAGGGGATTAAGAGATAGTTGGGGTTTTGTAGTCAAAAATCAGAGGTGGCCTTTGCTACCGGTTCGCAAATGTGAGCGTGTGTGCATGAGCGATCCTTCCGCACATGCGCAGAGCGTCAAAAACAAAACATGATGACGTCCGGGTGGGTGGGCGGAGCCTCTTGCAGCCGCCGCTACCAGTTTGCCCGAACCGGATAGAACCGGCTGAATAACACCACTGGTCAAAATAAAATACTTTCTCTTGGGAACCAAGGACATCCTCACACCAGGCCCAGGAAAGGAGGAGTAAATGTTACAAAGCAACCAGACAGCGCCTTGATTGGACGATGTGACTGATTGATTGGGGTTGAGGGAAAACTTTTAATCAGGGAGTCGGTTTTCACCTACTTGTGCCAATATGACGTATCCAATAAAACCATTCTTTGAGGAATATACCTGCCTCGGAGTTTTGATTGCTGTGGGTATGTTACTTGGAACCCTGACAACTTGTGGGCTTCCAACTCCCAGAATTCCCCAGTCGGACATGCATGGCATCGCCGGCTGGGGAATTCTGGAAGTTGAGGTCCACAAGATTTAAAGTTGCCAAGAACAACCTCTGCATTGAACACCTCTGCATTAAGCGAACAGACGGTTAAAAACCTAGTCCTAGACCGTCAACATATACTTAAGTGTATAGATTTGGGGTCAAAATCCAGATATGTCAAAATATGCATTTCTTCTAAATCCTTGTTCTTTGTGGTTAAGGAATCTGGGAATGGTAACTTGTCCCTCCTTGAAGGAGATGGGTATCCTAAAAGTGCTTTCTTTCAATGGCAACTAGACTTCCTTGTTTTGCCAGAAGACATTTCGCTCCTCGTTCGAGAAGCTTCTTCAGTTCTGATTGAATGGTGGAGGATGGAAGGATTTATATTTTATATTTAAATGTTTTAATTGGTAGTGAGTTTTAATTGGGCCAAATTTATATATCTTTTAATTGTTTTTTAATATTTGTACTGCATGTTTTTTAATTCTGGCTGTACACCGCCCTGAGTCCTCAGGGAGAAGGGCGGTATAGAAATTCAATAATTAATAAATAAATAAATAAATAAATATCATTTAGCTCTCTTTCTGAGAGTCTTTGAGGCCGCTTGGAGGTTTACCTGTGCCCTTGGCGTCACCCGAATCCTGTAGTCTGCCATTTTTTTTTCTGGAAATCCTTTCATACTCGTCATTTGAAGGAGGTGTAGGAAGTATGAAAAGATTTCCAGGGGGGAAAAATTGCAAACTACAGGATTCAGGTAACCCTGAGGGCGCAGATAAACCTCTAAGTGGCCTCAGTGACTCTCAAAAGAGCACTAACGACCAGATGACTGCAAGGAATAAAAATCCTTCCATCCTCCACCATTCAGTCAGAACTGAAGAAGCTTCTTGGATGAGAAGTGAAATGTCTTCAAGAAGTCCAGTTCCCTTTTGAAAAAGCACTTTTGGGACAGCCGTGACCTGGACGACTGAGAATCTCCATAGTTGGGTAGTTTAGAAATGTAGAGTCTGGCTGTTTGTCTAATTTTTTTAAAAAAAAATTGGTCTAGCTGGCAATCCTGCCTTGCCCGTCCAGCTCATCCTCTCTGCAATCTGCTGGGCACCACAGAGTTAACCTAGGCCGACGGCCTTGTAAACAGGAAGTGCAGCTGCACAAGGACGGCCTATTTTCCAACTCTGGATGGTGGCGGCACCAAGTTGACGCTTCCTTGCTGTGCCAACATCCCCTCCGGCAGGCAGCCAAGCCCAGGTCATCGGCAGAGAGGATGTTTTCCACAGTAAACGGGAGAAAGCGAGCAGCGGCCAAGGACAACGGCGGTCTCCGAGGGAAAGCGGGACGGCAATTCGGGTGGGAAAAAAACGACGACGATAGCAAGAGCGCTCAAGGTTTTACAGAGACAGCCTGTTGCCCTCAACAATCTGGGGTCCTCATTTTACCCACCTCGGGAGGACCAAAGGCCGAGTCAACCTCGAGCCAGTCAGGATCGAACTGCTGGCAGTTCGGCAGAGTTAGCCTGCAATGCTGCATTCTAACCACTGCGCCACCAGGTTTCACATGTAGACTAAAGAATCTTTTACATTAAATGCCCCAGCCTGAGCTTTAATGTTTGACCAGAGCCGTGTCTTCTCCAACTTTCTCCATCTTCCACAGAATTTGGGATTGCAAGGCCTTAGTTGTCACCAAGACACAAAATGACGACAATCCGGCCCATCAAAGGACCAACTCTCTCTATTTAAGGAGCAGAGGGCTTGAAACAGCTTGACTGATGACCACAATTGAGCCCAAAATTTCTGTTGCTAAGCGAGACAGTTCTTGAGTTTTGCCTCATTTTACGACCTTTCTTGCCATAGTTGTTAAGTGAAGCACTGCAAAGTTAGTAACACTGTTGTTAAGTGAATCTGGCTTCCCCACTGACTTTGTCAGAAAGTCGCCAAAGGGGAATCACATGACCCCGGGACACTGCAACCGTCGTAAATACGAGTCAGTTGCCAAGCTTCCGAATTTTAACCGTGTGTCCACGCAACAGTTGTAGCTGGCTGGAGAATTCTGGGAGTTGAAGTCCACAAGTCTTAACGCTGCCAAGTTTGAAGACCTCTGATTTAGACTGTGATTTAAATCGACTTGATTTAAATCAAATCCACCCTGACATATACAAAACGGTCCACTCTGCTCTAACCAACTTGGGAATTCTTTCATTTATAAATTTAATATATATATGCGCTCCCACAGAGAGGGCCTCCTCGGGGTGCCATCAGCCAAGCAATGCAGGCTGGTGACCCCCAGGGAGAGGGCCTTCTCTGTGGGGGCGCCCACCCTCTGGAATCAACTGCCCCCAGAGATAAGGAGAATCCAAGACCTTCGTGCCTTCCGCCGTTCCCTTAAAACTTGCCTTTTTCAACAAGCCGGGCTGGCCTAACAAATCCTTTTAAATGATTTTAAATTTGTTTGTCTTTTTAAATTTTGGGCCAAATTGAGATATTTCCTTTTAATCTGTTCTTAATCTATGTATTATGTATTATGTATTTGTGTGTTTTTACTTGGCTGTACACTGCCCTGAGTCCCTAGGGAGAAGGGCGGTATATAAATCTAAAGTAAAATAAATAAATAAATTGTATATATATATAAATATGTATGTATGTGTATATATATATATATGTATGTATGTGTGTGTGTATATATATATATATGTATGTATGTATATATATATACACACACACACATATATATAAAATATATTATAATTCATATATAAATTTAATAAAAAACAAACAAAACAAACAAAAACAAACATTTCAAATTGGACCTGGCTTGCCACCGAAAACATCTGTAGAGCTTTGCTGGGCTGAGGAACTCTTCCCCTAAGCTAAAGGATAAATTATAAAGATAAAGCTTGCCCTGGGCTAAAGGATAATTAATGGGTTTTCATGTCCAGAAAATTATCCCAAAAGGGAGTTAAGCACTCCTGGCGCCGTAATTCAGCCCTGAGGGGCAGTTGAGCTAGAGTGACCTCCCTCTGTTCCGTTGACCCTCTGGAGATGTGGCTGAACAACAGCAGGCCTGGCTGAACCCACAGGCACCGGGAAATATCACGTAGGCCCGTTATGCGCGAGCAAAATATTTTCCAGCTTTTGCTTTGAGACACAGCCGGGTTTCTGGGACGAAAAGCTCCAGGTTTAAGTCTCAGGGGAGACAACCCCCCCCCCCGCTCCCCAGTCTCTGGTCAGACAACATTCCTGCGTGGTGTGTTTGTTCCAAACGGCTTGCGCTGGCTGAAGGCCTCTGGTATTCCTCTTCTGTTTATGCCCTTGTTTATGCGCTCTTTCCACAGACGGCTCATTCTCTGAGTGTGTTGTCTGGCAGGAGAGGAAGTTCCTGGCCGCTGGAAGCCCTCTCCAACCGGCCTGATAAGAACCCGGCTCGGACCTGCTGCACTCCTGGGCATGGGGCCAGGGTGTGTGTAGGGGAGGGTTATTATTATTCTTTTTTTTTGGCGAGGCTGGCTCAGGTTGCGATGTGGGCTTCTGATGGAATGTGACCCGCGATGGACCAACGTTAAAGAAACAGCCGTGGGTTTCGACATAAAAGGCGGCGTTGATTTGGGGGTCGCTCTGCAGGGCTAACGGGAGAGACCCATCCAGGGACAGAGGACAAGGGCTGCTAGATTTATGTGACAAAAGCCCATATAGGGAGATCCATGGTGCTCTCCGAGCTTGGTGGCTTTCTTGCGGACATCTCATTACCGAGCTTGGGAACGTCATCAGTGCAAGAAGCAAATGGGATTTGTGTAGTGGAGGAGGAGAGGAGGAAGACGGTGGGGATCCTCGGTGCTCTCTAAGCTTGTTTTCTTGCAGACGTTTCATTACCAAACTAGGTAACATCATCTGTGCTTGAAGGATGTGGGGCTTGCGCTCTGTAAATCCTGTAAACATAGTACTGGTGATGTAACCCAGTTGGGCAATGAAACGTCTGCAAGAAAACCACCATGCATAGAGAGCACCGAGGACCTCAAGGTCCTCTTCTTCCACTTGGAAGTTGGGGAATTCTGGGAGTTGAAGTCCACCCACCTTAAAAGTTGCAAAAAGGTTGAGAAACACTGGTCTACGCACTGCTTTAAGAAATGTTTCACTACCAGAATCCTCATTTTGGGTCATAATCTAGGCCAGTGTTTCCCAAACTTGGCTATTTTAAGATGCATGGACTTCAATTCCCAGAATTCCCCAACCAGAAAGCCTGGTTGAGGAATTCTGGGAGTTGAAGTCCATACATCTTCAAAGGGTCAAGCTTGGGAAACACTGATCTAGGCCCATGATGGCGAATCTATGGCACGCGTGCCACAAGTGGCACATGTAGCCATATCAGTGGGCACGCATGCATGCACTGGCCAGCTGATTTTTGGGCCTTCTGGGCCCACCAGAAGTCCCAACTTCCGGTGGGACTGGAAGGCCCGTTTTTTGCTGTCCCCAGCCTCCAGAGCCTCCAGAGGAGCTCCGGGGGGTGGGGGTGGGGTAGGGAAGGCTGTTTTCGCCCTCCCCAGGCTGCTGGTAAGGCTCTGGAGCTAGGTAAGAGAGAAAAACGGGCCTACTGGGCCATCGCATGTCAGGAATGAGGTGAAGTGGGGGTCTGCGCGGATGCACAGGGGCAGGGCGCATAGAATTATGGGTGCAGGCATGCACGCGCGTGATCCCTCCTCCTGGCACGCGATGGCAAAAAGGTTAGCCATCACTGATCTAGGCCATGGGGGCTAAAGTACAAGGGCTTTGCAGAATGAGCCCCAACACAAGTTCACACGATGACATCTGAATACGGCGCAGTGTTAGCAAGGCCTTCTGAATATTTGCCCAAGGGGGATTGTGGGAAAAGGGGCAGTTAGCTCCCTTCTGTGTTTGATGCTATCTGGGAAACAGATCTTCTTCCATATCTGGGCCCAATAGACGGCACACGGGGCTTCTCCTGCAGTGGCCAAAGAGCCGCTGTGGTGTTACTGCAGAGTGCAAAAGAAGCGACAACTTTCAACCACTTGTTTGTTCTGGCTCTGGCCTCTCGCCTGGCTGACCTCACATCCTGAGAGCAGGGAGACCGGCACCTCCACCGGCAGGGTGGGCACAGCCCAGGCAATCTGAGCGACTGCCGGGACCTGCTTTCTCTCACTTGAAGAGGACGAGGCAGGAAGGTGGACGGGGAATGCCAAGGAGACTCGCTCTGCCCCTGAGGTCTCCAAGTGGGTTTCCTGCTATGGGGGACCCAGAAGAGCTGGGATAAACCTTGAAGAGCAAGCGGAGAAGGGAAGGCCATTAAGTGTGGAAAGGAACATGGATTCTTGCCGAGAACTTCAACTTTTGCAAGTAAGTCCTCCTTCAGGATAGGGGGCTGGTAGGCAAAAAGGAAGGACTACAAAAACAATGCTCCTTTTTTACTTAGCTGGGAGTAGTACAACTAGTCCTCAACTTACAACAATTTCTATTGCTACGCGAGACAGGGGTCAAATTGAGTTTGGTTCCATTTTACGACCTTCCTTGCCGCAGTCGTTGAGCAAATCACTGCAATTGCTCAATTAGTAACACCGGTTGTTAAATGGATCTGGCTTCCCTGTTGATTTTTTTTGTTTTGTCAGAAGGTCCCAAAAGGGGATCACGTGAACCCGGGACACTGCAGCTGTTCAGAAAAGGGAGCCGGTTGCCAGGTGTCTAAATTTTGATCACGTCACTCTGGGGAGGCTGCAATGGTCCTAAGTGTGAAAAATGGTCCTAAATCACATTTTTTCCCATTGCCGTTATAATTACGAACAGCCACCAAACAAACTGTTGTAAGTTGAGGAATCCTTGTACAGGTGACAGGTATCTTTGTGGGTGTTGTTATATACCTAACTGATCTATGAGCTTGTGGAAACCTTTTGGGGAAAGCGTATTTTTGAGGTTTGATGGCTAATAACACCACTTTTTTGGGGGGGAGTTTCAAGATAATCCTATTCCACGGCTGGAATGGCCTGGGAAGAGCCCAGACCTTCTTAACCCAATTGAAAATCTATGGAGCCGAGTCGACTAAAGAAACTTGTTAGTCAGAAGCGACCCAGCAATAAAACCCAGTTAATAGAAGCCATCCTTCAATCTTGGTTTCACATAATAACAGCTGCAGAACTAAAAGACTTGGTTCACTCCATGGGAAGAAGTTGTAAGGCCGTCATTCATGCTAAAGGTTACCCAACGAAGGATTAACTGACATGGTGATCATTTTTGTATATCTCGTTTTTTCTACCTGTTTCATTTCTCTTCTTTATAGTGTAACTGCTATTCTAATAGCAAATCCTTCATAAAAGTCATTGCATTACATTCTTGATTAAATTATCTTTCCATTGATATATAATTTTAGGGTACTACTCCAAAAAAAAAAGTGGTGTTATTGGCTAGTTTTAGAAAATACACTTTCCCCAAAAGGTTTTCACAATTTTGGCCACTACTGTTTTACTGTTTGTATGTACACTGTGAGCTTCTGCACTGGAAACAAATTCCTTGTGTGTCCAATCACACCTGGCCAATAAAGAATTCTATATATTTTCTTTTGAGAAGTGGGCACGGAGAATTTCATTTTTTAATGTGTGCCAGAAAAAAGTGACAATAAAGGTTATGCTATATTTATCCATCATTCTCTCTCTCTCCTCCCTCCCTGCCCCAACGTCTCCAGTTCCACAATGGTTTCTGGTAACTTGCCTGTTTGGGTGATTTTACTTGTACCTCTTGCCTTCTGGGCATCCGAGAGCCTCCAGATGGCATCGCCAGGCACTGCTGAGCCCACAAGCAAACCCGTCCCGGAGCAGCTTCCCATCCAAACCTTCCAAACCATTCTGTTGAAACGGCTGGGCTTGCAAAGGCGGCCGGACCCCAAACCCAAACTGCTGGTCCCCCAGTACCTGCTGGATTTATACCGATTTTCCTCGAGACAGCTTCCAGCCTCTCCGAAGGACACCGAGCAACCCTTCCTGGAAGGCCGAGCAGCAGCAGCCAACACCGTGCGCGCCTTCCATCATGTTGGTGAGACCCTTGCTCCATTCCCCTCCTTAACCGGGGCCGAGGGTGGAGCGGGGAAAGAAAGGCTAGGTCTCTTTGGGAACCGCGGATCAAAGATTAAGGTGGTGGCAGGAAGCAGCACGTGTAAAGCTCTGAGAAAAAGAGCCGATGGGTAGAAAGCCACAAACATCACAAGCCAATGGGGCTGCTTAAGTGGGATGGGCTTAGCTCAATGGATAGAACCCAACTTGGCATGCTAAAGATCCCAGGGGCAAATCACCAGCTACCTCCAGGCCAAAAGCTTTAAGAGACAGATCCTTCTTAAGAATCTGCAGCCAGGAAAACAGAGAGAGCCAAGCTAGGCAGACCTTCAGCCTGACTTCTTCTGACTCTTTTAAATATTCCGTGGCAGACTCACCAAACCTCACGATCCAAAATTAGATTTAATAGAATGAATGAGCTGGAAGGGACCTTGGAAGTCTTCTAGTTCAGCCCCCTACTCAAGCAGGAGAACTTATACCAGGGGTCCCCAAACTTGGCAGCTTTAAGACTTGTGGACTTCAACTCCCAGAATTCTCCAGCCAGCTATGCTGGCTGGAGAATTCTGGGAGTTGAAGTCCACAAGTCTTAAAGCAGCCACGTTTGAAGACCTCTGACTTATACCATTTTAGATAAGTGACTGTTTAGTCTAGACTCTTAAAAACCTCCAGTGATGGAGCGCCCCCAACTTCTGGTGGCAAGCTGTTCCACTGGCTAATTGTCCTGTTAGGAAGTTTCTCCTTAATTCCAGGTTGCTTCTCTCCTTGATTCGTTTCCATCCATTGTTTCTTGTCCTGCCCTCTGGTACTTTGGAGAGTAATTTCACCCTCTCCTCTTTGTGGCAGCCCCTCAAATACTGGAATACTGCTATCGTGTCACCCCCAATTCTCCTTTTCTCTAGACTAGCCAAACTCAAATCCTGCAGTCATTCTTCCTATGTGTTTCAAGTCTCCAGGCCTTTGATCATCTTAGTCGCTCTTCTCTGAACTTTTTCCAAAGTCTCGACATCTTTTTTGGTAGAATGGCGACCAAAATTGGTTGCAGTATTCCAGGTGTGGCCTTACTAGTAGCGGTCGGTAATACTTCACGTGGTATCAATCAGCCAAATGCCTAAGCGCTTCCCCAAGAGGAAAAACAAAGCCCAGCGGCCTTTTGAAAAAGCACCTTTGGGGCAACCAGGACCTGAATGACTGAACATTTCCACAGACACTTTAGCTTCCCCAACAATTATCTATGGAAGTCGCTGTATTTTGTTGTTGTTTATTCTCGAAAACAGGGTGGGGTGGGAGTGGGGTGGGGGGTTTTTTGCTTTCACTGCCGAGGTGAGAACTGGACTAAAAGTCATTAATTTGGATTCTGGTGCCATCTATGGAGCAAGGAAAGCAATGATCTCCCCAAAGATTGGTTGACTGCCAATTTCAGCAGCTAAAATATTCTCCTGTTCAGAGAAGAGAGAGTGTGTTGCACTGGCAGCTTCCTTGTGTGGTTGTTGTTTTAAAACCACAGGAGGAAATGGCCGGTCTAACACAATAGCCATAAAAGTAAACGTTGTGTTCTGAGCTTGCTCCAAAACTTTCGTTTCTTCTTAAGGCAAAAGCATTGAGGCTTAAATATAATTGGCTTTGGATCCCATCCTAGCTACCCAAATCAACCTTCCCCTTATGGCAGGGGAACGTTTATTTATTTATTGGTTCGATTTATATGCCGCCCTTCTCTGGAGACTCAGGGCTGCTTACAATGCGTTAAGCAATAGCCTTCATACTTTTGTATATACCTGCTTAGTAGGGCTTTCGCCCCCCCCCCCAAGCGGTGTTCTTTTTTATACAAAGTCACCTTATTGCCCCCACAATCCGGGTCCTCATTTTACCTACCTCGGAAGGATGGAAGGCTGAGTCAACCTTGAGCCTGGTGAGATTCGAACTTGCAGTAATTGCAGGCAGCTGGTGTTACTTAACAGCACTTTAGTCTGCTGCGCCACCAAGGCTCTAATGTTCCCCAACCTGTTCCCCAACCTATGGGCTGTGAGGGCTTTGCAACTGGCCCGTGCAACTCAACGGCTGCTGAGCGTGTGCACATGCTCACTTACACGAGCAGTGGGTGAGTGCATGTGCGCTCTGTTTCAGTGAGTAGAAGGCGCGAACCATTCCTCTGCCCACCACCAGTTCGCAAAGCCGGAAAAGTTGGGGAACTCTGCCTTATGGAACCAAAGATTAAACTTCTATTTTAAAGGCAATTCAGTAGTTCTCGACTTACAATCATTTATTCAGTGACCGTTCGTAGTTACAATAGCAGGGGAAAAAAGTGACTTCACACTTATGTCTGTTGCAGCCTCCCCGTAATCATTACGGGATCAAAATTCAAGCACTTGACAACTGGCTTGTATATATGACGGTCTTTGCAGCGTGCTGGGGTCTCACGTGACCACTTTTGTAACCTTCCCAGCCAGCTTCCAACAAGCCAAGTCAATGGGGGGGGGGGGGGGGGGGGGAGCCTGAGTTACTTAACAGCCTCATGATTCGCTTAACAACCGCGGCGATCTGTTTAACAACTGTGGTAAAAAGGTTGTAAAAGGAGGCACAACTCCACTTAACAACTGTCTTTGCTTAGCAAAGGAAATACAGAGCTCCGGTGTGGTCGTAAGTCGAGGACTACCTGTATGTGCTGTATTCTAGATAGAAATGACAAGGAAGGGGGCGGGGGTGTCCCCAGGCCACACTTGTGAGCTTCCCAGACATTACTGGGAAGCTCACAATTTATGTATTTTATGTTCTATTGGGTTTGTTTTTATTTGTTGTGAGCCGCCCTGAGTCCTACGGAAATAGGGCGGCATACAAATTATATTAAATAAATAAATTAATTAATTAATTTCTGGTTGGCTGGAGAAGAACATAAGCAACAGGGCAACAGCAGTTATTTGATTCAAATTGTCCGTCCCAATTTTTCTTTACTTCTGCTCATTTTTCCCACATTTAGAGGATTCGGCTCGTGTCTCTGAAGGCGCAGGAAATTCGTTCTACTTCCTGTTCAACCTCACCGTGCTGCCCTTGGAGGAGGAGCTGACTGCCCTTGAGTTGCGCCTCTATCACTCCCCTAAGGAAAGCCAGGGCTTATACATCCACGTTTACCACGCCGTGGATCCCCCACCGGTGGCCCCAAACAAGAGCCGGCTCCTCACGTGCAAATTTGTGACGCCCAGCCAGCCCAAATGGGTGAGTTTTGATGTGACGGCTGCTTTCCAGAAAGCAAGAGAACGGAAGCGTAACCTGGGGCTTCTGGTCGAGGTGCAGCCTTCGAACCGCAGCCAAGATCTTCCGCGCCAACAGATTCCCCTCCGTGCAAGGCGCTCTCCCGGCCAAGAGGAAGCTCAGTGGACTCTCGAAAGACCTTTACTGGTCACCTACAGCCATGACCAAAGAGGGCAACCTCTGACCCACAGAAAAAGGCAAAGCAGAAGTCGCCCCGTTAGAGGCAGAGGAGCGACTAAAGTCCCGGCCTCCACCAGGAAGCACAAGGGCCTGAGGCCGAAGACGAAAAGCAGCGCCAGGTGCAAAAGGCACCGCCTCTTTGTGGATTTCAAGGCAGTGGGGTGGAACGACTGGATAATTGCTCCTAGTGGCTACCATGCTTTCTACTGCTCGGGGGACTGTCGCTTCCCGCTGGCCGACCACATGAACTCTTCCAGCCATGCTGTGGTGCAGACCATCCTGAACTCGGTGAACTCCAAAGTGCCCAAGGCGTGCTGTGTCCCTACGGAGCTCAGCCCCATTGCTATGCTTTACCTAGACCAGAACGATATGGTCGTCCTCAAGACCTACCAAGACATGGTGGTGGAAGGATGCGGGTGCCGCTAGAAGCCAAAGTGCACAGGATGGTCTTTTCTCAGTATTAAAACTAGGTGGGGTGGGAGAAGGTCTCAGTAAAAGTGATGATGGACAATAAAGTTGGGCCTGTCAAAGGCATTTCACGAATTATTGCAAAAGGATGGGAGGGTCAGTACAAGATTACTGCAGACAAGGAGCTAAATAGTATCTTCCCCTATGGAATTAATTTATTTCCAAAGACCAAATTTGCAGATGATACTAAGCTGGCAGGAATAGCTAAGATAGGCTCAAGATCCAGATAGATGTCGACAGACTTGAACGCTGGGCCCTATCTAACAAAATGAAATTCAGTGTAGAGTCCTACACTTAGGCAAGGAAAACCAAAAGTACATGTATAGACTGGGTGAAATCAGGCTTAATAGCAGTAACTCTGAGAGGGATCTTGGAGTCTTAGTGGACAACCTAAGTTAAATATGAGCCAACAGTGTTCAGCGGCAGCCAAAAGAGCCAATGCAATCCTAAATTGCATTAACAGAGGGATACAAAGATCAAGGGAGGTATTAATACCACTCTGTAAATCCTTAGTAAGACCACACCTAGAATACTGCATCCAGTTTTGGTCACCACACTATAAAAAAAGATGTTGAGACTCTAGAAAAAGTGCAGAGGAGAGCAACCAGGATGATTAGGGGACTGGAGACTAAAACATATGAAGGTTACAGAAACTGGGCATGGCTGGTCTAGTGAAGAGAAGGACCAGGGGAGACATGATAGCAGTCTTCCAATATTTGAGGGGCTGCCCCAAAGATGAAGGGGGTCAAGCTATTCTCCAAGGCACCTGAAGGCCGGACAAGGAGAACAAGGAGAGATTCAACCTAGAAATAAGGAGAAATTTTCTGACAGTGAGAACAATCAACCAATGGAACAGAAGTTGCCTTCGGAAGTTGTGGGAGCTTCATCACTTGAGACTTTTCTTGAACTGCCATTTGTTAGAAATGGTGTAGGGTCTCCTGCTTGGGCGGGAGGGGGGGTTGGCCTAGATGATCTACAAGGTCCCTTCCAACTCTGTTAATCAGCAAGAGCTCTAGGTTTTTACAATGATATCTTCCCACGAGGGCCACATTCTGCAGGCCACTGTTGAAAACAGCAAGGCCATTGCAATTAATCTCATGAGTGAGCAACGATCATTTGTGCCTGCCACCTTGTAATGCAACAATCGGTCAACAACCACTCTAACTCTTTATCACTTTCAGCTAGCAGGGACTATGGGAGCTGTAGCTCAAAACAACTGGGACACATGAAATTACCTGTCCCGTATTAACGAGTATCTAGATATTCTTATAGACATGACAGCCATCAGATGAAAAATAAATGAAATATTTATCAAGCCTATCACAGTAATAGAGCCCAGGTCAAAATTAAGACATGCTGAAAATAAGAGCAAATGTACGTAACTCAAGAGAAAGGTATCCGTGAAATGATCATTCAATAATATTTTGTTTTCTGTATTTACATCCGCTTCGTAGCTTTGGAGAGTTTTTCCAGTCAAAATGTTGTTTTAATCAGAATTATGAAGGCAAATATTTGGCACACAAGTTTCTTAAGAGGCAGAGCAATCCAGTCTTCCAATTGCATGCAGTTTCTTACCCATCATTTTGGCTGCAATCCCATGGGGCCTTAGAAGGCGGCATAGAGTGATGGGTTTCCCCAGATTATTGCTCTCTGGTCAGAAAGGAAATGGAATCTAACAGGAACCAGTTTTCTTGAACCCATCCTAACATCATCCTAACATCAGGGCCTCCGACTGTTGTAGGAAATTTGAGGAAACCCACCATTCCTGGCTTTGCAATGTGTAACAAACCTATGTATTGCCATAGTAGGACCTCTGTGGTTCGTAACACATTGCCCAGGAATGGTGGGTTTCCTCAAATTTGATAGTTGAGAAACATCAACATTTTAACACAAATCAACCTAGCAAATCAAAAACACCCTTAGACATCCTGTTAAATCAAACAAACCACGTTCTAGTTCACAACTGAGTAAGTTGGGTGAACCCAGCCACCTGTGGCTTATTCATTAATATAAAAAGGTAAAGGTTCCCCTGGCACATATGTGCTAGTCGTTCCCGACTCTAGGGGGCGGTGCTCATCTCCGTTTCAAAGCCGAAGAGCCAGCACTGTCCGAAGACATCTCCAGGGTCATGTGCCCGGCATGACTCAGCGCCAAAGGCGCACGGAGCGCTGTTACCTTCCCACCAAAGATGGTCCCTATTTTTCTACTTGCCTTTTTTATCTGCTTTCGAACTGCTAGGTTGGCAGAAGCTGGGACAAGGAACAGGAGCTCACCCAGTTACGTAGCACTAGGGACTCAAACCGCTGAACTGCCGACCTTTCCATTGACAAGCTCAGCGTCTTATCCACTGAGCCATCATGTCCCATATTCAATAATATACAATACGCCTATCTAGATGGAGGCTAGAGTGGTGCAGTGACTTAGAGGTGGAGCTCTGGCCTCACAATCAGGAAGCTGTGAGTTCGATCCTAGGTAGAGGCAGATATTTCTCTGGGTACATGAATGCTGAACAAAACTCCGCATTGGTGACAGGAAGGGCTTCCGGCCATTAAAACACTCTGCTAACTCCATTCAGTTGCCCAGACTCCACCCCAATGCAAGGGATTATAGGGGAGGGGGGTCATCAAAAGGAAGCTGATGATAGCCAGATGGAGGCTATACTTCTCATGTGGCGATAAACCAAGGCTTGTTGTTAACCATGATTTGTTGACGCATCAAGCCTTCCAGGTTAACAAAAAGTTAATAACCCATAAAAGCAAATCCTGGTTTGTTTGTGGGGTTTTTTTTGCCCCCCCCCAGAAGACTCTGATTTCCTATCTAAGAAAACCTGTTTTTTTTTTTTTTTTTTTTTAAAAAGACCGTTTTCTGAGCTAACAATGGTTTTTTTTTAAATCCTGGTTCGGTTTCTTTCTTGGGGTTATCGCAGACTTCGAGCCGAAAATCAAGAGCTGGACGGGATTAAAGGCCCAGCAGGTCAAGGCGGCCTAAATAATGTAATTATTTGGTTGGGGTACCTAACCCTAACCACCTCCCCTTGGCCCAGGAAACTAACAATTCCCGTAAAAATTCCTTAATTAACGTGAACTAACTTGCACCGGCCTGGTTGGGATTAACTCCTCATGACAGGCTCAAATTCGCTCCTCCTGAAGCGACGAGAAACCGACGGGATAACGATGAGGAAAAACGGCTCGTGACCTCTTTTGCCCGGAAACACTCTAAGCTCTTCCTTTTAGCCCAATGGCTTAAATTTAAGTCCTCTCTGGCCACAGGAGGACCACCAAATCTATGACTTTAGACCAATGAGCCGGGAGACGAGCAAGGCGCATGCGTCAGTCATTTTTTTTTAAAAAAATTCCTCCCTCCTCTTTCCCCCCTCCTCTCTCTACGTAGCCTTGGGAAAGTGAGCTGAGAAAGCGTGAGCTTTTCGTCAGAGTCAGGCGGTTGGGTTTTTTTTTTTTTTTTTTTGGTTCGGTCCGTTCCCCCTATCGGCCCATTCGACACCCTCTTTCGGTCCCCCCCCCCCCCCGCCCGGTGCTTCCTTTTTGAATTTTGCGTTTTTAAAAATTCGGTTTCAACTCTCCTTTCTGGAAGGCACCCGGGGGTGGGATTTGAGCAGCGCTTTTCTTTTTTTCTCGAGACACCTTCTATGAAAAACCGAAAGTGCGGAACGGAAACTCAAACCCAGGCGCTTTCACTCACTGGAGTCGGGAGGGGAGGGGAGGTGCGGGGGGGGGGGGCGGGCGATCGGGGAGGGCCAGCCAAGAGGAGGAGGAGGAGGAGGAGGGGCCGCTTCGATCCGCGCGCAGGCTCGCAAAACCCATTCGCTGATTCGCCAAACTCCCACCGGCCGGGTGAAAACTAGAAAAAAAAAAAACGCGGGACCCTCTTTAAGAGAAAGACGGGTGTGGGGCCAATCCGAGGACCGCCTCTGGATTGGGAAGAGGAAGAGCGGGAATTGAAAGCCGAGCCACTGTCGAAAGTGCGTCGGCCGATGCGCAGGCCTCAAGCGCACTTAGTCCTGGCGGCGGCGAAGGGGAGCGGCGTCTTCTTTTGCGTCCGCACCTGCCTGAGGCGGCGGTGGCGGCTGCAGCGGCGGGCCTTGGTCGCTTCGCGTACCGGCTGCTCCTCCGCCGTTCTCTCCCTCGCGAGCGGCTTTGGGCCTCCCTCCTTCCCGCCTGCCCGTCCTCCTCTTCTTCCCCCCGACTCCCGGGTGCGTATTCCTCCCGGGCGGCCTCTCTCTCTCTCTCTCTCCCTCCTGCCGCCCCCCCCCCCCCAAACAACGGGGGGAAGGGGGGGGGTCTCGAGGCCCCGCTCCCTGGGAGGAAAGCCTTTTGCCTGGACGGGATCCTCTCTCTCTCTCAAGCCGCTCCCGGAGCTCTTGCTTGTTTGTTTTTTTTATCTGGAGGGGTTCCTTCTCTGTACCCCTCCCCCCGCTTTTCTCCTCCCCAGAGACCCCCCTCGCTCCCTCCCCCCCCTTTGGACGGTGAACCCTTTTTTAAAATATATATTTCTCTCCCTCCCCTCCCCAGACTGACTCTATACCTCGGAGGCGATCATTTATCCTCCCACCCCACCCCCCAACTTTTCTTTGCACGTGCATGCTTCTTGCAAAAAGCAACGCCTCCCCCTCCCCATATTAATTTTTTTATATTTTTTTTTTAAAAAAACCCCTTTCTGCACCAGGAAAGTTTCTGCACCCTCCTTGGTGCGTTTGGTTTGGCTGCTTCTGACAGCTTGCGGCTTTTATTTGTTTTTGTGGGCCTCATGCTTGTGTAAACTTTTCATTTCCTCTCTCTCTCTCTCTCTCCCTCTTTTGCTAGGAGAGAAGCCTGCTCGCCAGACGGATTTTTTTTTTTAATCGTCCGATGTTTCCGGCTTATGCATACCTTGCCTGATCCTTTTTTTTACTGGTGGGAAGGATAATGAAACCGTATCGTTTTCTCTTGTTTTGCAGGCTAGAAAGGCATTGCTGGGACCTGTTTAATTATCCTCAGCGGCTCCCTCATAAATTCATCCCTCTCCCCAATCCGAGCTGTTCCCTCGATGCTGTGTCTCTCCTAGCAGGCGCTTTCTTCTAATCTCAAACAAGAGTTTTACGTAGAGAAAGCGGGGCCTTTGCATTCTATCTGTTCTCCTCTCCTCTCCCCAATTTCTTTTAACCTTCACTCATGCTTCATGTAGCAGCTTCCTTTGATCCAACAAGAGCTGGGTCTCTTTACACCACTGCTTATAGGGAGAAGGCCTGGAAAACGTGAGAGCTTTCCCCCACCCACCCCTTTCCTGAAGGAGCAGGCAGCAAAAGATAGGAAGGGAAGGTGAGTTCTGGTCCGTAAGTAATGACTCCGAAGGACTCATGAGAAGGGAAGAAGGAGCTCCCCCTTTGACAGACACCCATCTCACCTGCCTGGCTATGGAGTGTGTGCAGGTTTCACCTGTGCAGCCACAAGGCAAAGCTGCTGAGGCAGGGGACCGTGTGCTGCTGCTCCTGCCTGCCCCTGCCGTGCGGAAGGAAGAGGAGACCCTTTTGGGGGGCTCTGACCCTTGGCCTGCTTCCCAACTGAACAATAGCCAAGATGGCATGAAGACGTTTCAAGACACTACAGAGTTTTGTTCCAAAAGTACAGAGACCCTTCCCTCCCTCCAGGACCATCCGTACGTCAAAGATACTGTAGAGCGTTGTACCTCCTGTTCTTTAAAGGAGGACCCGAAAGAGACCGGGAGTTGCGATGGGGCAGAGGAGGGCTTGAAATCGTTGGGCGCTTTGAACCATCTGCAGGAACGGTCACCGGTCGACGAAGTGGCCGACGGCGGCAACACTTCTTTGGTTGCAGAACCTCTTGGGACGACCGCTGAAGGATGCCTTAGGGACAAGGAACAGTCTGCTGCTGAGCAAAATAACCATTTTCATGACAAGGCTGAGCCCTCTTCTCAGAACTGCTGTTTAAACTTGGAAGCAGCAAGTGGGGACACACCAGCAGATGACCTGTTAAGTCAGGGTTCTCCATCTGTGGACGAGGGGAAGCTTAAGCCCGGGGCGAAGCACGTGACTTTCCCTTCCGATGAAGACATCGTATCTGGTGCCGTGGAGCCCAAGGACCCTTGGCGGCATGGTAAGCAAAGACCCCCTGTTCCCAATACTCTCTTCTTGGGGCTTAACACTCATCGTGATGACGATGATACAGTCTGTTCAGTCAAGTCTGACTCTTGGTGATTCTAAGGGCCAGGTTTCTCCATGTCTTCTGAACGTGCACCGTTTCTTTGAGTTGTCCTATGCCCTGGCTGGTGTCCGCTTTGATGGTGTGCAGCCCACAGTGTTGTTTGACAGCCTGGTTTCCTTTTCCCACGAACTCTTCCAAACATAATTGTTTTCTCCAGTGAATTCCCCCCCCCCCCCGCATGATATGGCCAAAGTAAGTGAGATGCAGTTTTGTGATCCCCCCCTCCTTCCAGTGTCATGCTTGTTAGTCACGCTTTGCTGTCCAAGCAGGAGCCTTCTCTAGCACCACGGCTGAAACGAATTCGAATCTAAGACAGTTTTGTTAAATTTGATGCTTTGCTTGTCTTGCAGTCTTTAGGATTTTGCAGAATGTTTAAGTTCTCATTCAAAGGATTTTTATTACGTATCCTGAATTGGAGGCAAGAGGGAGGGAGAGAGGGAGGGAGGGAGAGAGACCTTTTGTACTCCACTAACAGTAAATCATGATTTATTTGCACTTGATTTTATTGGGCACTTTTCCGCTGAAAGGGCTTTGAACCACATGGTCTAATCAGGGCTACCATTGCAGAACAGAAAAATCCTATTTAAGAGGGTACATGACAACATAATGAAGCCGACTTAACTGTACAGCAGTTAATTAAAAAAACAGCCAATCGCCAGGCAGGGAAGGCTCTTGAAAACAGACTTTTATTGAGTAAAGCATAAAGGGAGGCAAACTGGCACGTCTCCATACGCTAAGAATTGTAGCTGCTATAGTGACAGTATCATGAGTTTCCCAAAAAAAGTGTCAGTTCAGGATTGTTCAGGTTTTCAGAGATGCAATAAGGTTGCTGACATCTGTTTTTAGCAGGTTTAACTTACCTGAATCAGGCCACAGTTAAAAGTGGACATGGTTTTTTTAAAAACTCCAAATGTTAGTAATCTTAATTTTACCTAAGGAGACTGAAATTTCATTACCTCACAGCCAATAAAGAAATGCTTACGTTGTTTCATGTAAATACATGACAAGGAAAAAGAGGTTTCTTGTTTTTAAATACCCTAATTATCCATTTTTCTAAAATATCAATAAATGCCATTAAATTATTCTTTTTGAGAAAGGCTTGCCAACAAAAGCACTGCAGGAAGTTTTGTTTTCTCTTCCAGACTTTGGAGTTTTTACTTTCCCTTTATATGAACAACAACCCTGAATTTGTGGGTGTATCTTAAAAATCTATAACATGAATGGTTGAGGCAAATTTAACCGCAGAACGTCTTGGTTGTCATGCACTCAGATTTTTGAGATTGTAATAATAAAAACAATGCTGCATTAACGTTTCAATAAGATCCAGTTTGATCTGTGTGTGTGTGTAAAGTTTCAATAACTTTGTCTATGGCTACGAATGTCCCTATTTAGCAAAAAAAATTGCCTATGAATGATTTTTTAACGGTGGGGAGGGTGAATCCATGGCTTAGGGAAATATGGTGCGGTTGCACAATATAGTCACACGATCTTGGGTTGTTTCAATCACCATTATTCGTCCTGCCTCTCTTTTTCTATAATTTGTATATAGATTATACAGGTAGTCCTTGACTTAACAACAGTTCATTTAGTGACCCTTCAAAATTACAAAGGCACTGAAAAAAGTGACCTATGACCATTTTTCACACTTACGGCCACTGCAACATCCCGAGGGTCACGTGATCAAAATTCAGACATTTGGCAACTGACTCATAGTTATGACGGTTGCAGTGTCGTAGGGTCATGTGATCACCTCTGACAAGCAGAGTCAATGGGGAAGCCAGATTCACTTAACAACCGTGTTACAAAGCTTAACAGCTGCAGTGATTCGTTTAACAACGAAAAACGTGGCAAGAAAAGTCATAAAATAGCGCAAAACTCAACTATCTCGCTTAGCAACAGAAATTTTGAGCTCAATTGTGGTTGTAAGTTGAGGACTACCTGTAACTACAGAAAGCTTCATTGAACAGTTTATGGTATTTTTATTGAGATAATTACAATCCGTATATATCTTTTCTTAAAAGGTAGAACATCCTTTGAGATCTGCTTAATTCTTGGTAACCTCGGGTATATCCATATATTGTTTTTCTAGAAACCCTGCAGAAGCAGTTTGACATTGCTGTCTAGAAATTTTTTTTTTTTTTTTGCCTAAAATGTCCCAGGAGTGAACCCCATTCTCACCAATATGGTGAATAGAAGTGGAAAAGTTGTGGAGGGCTGATACAAATGTCCCGGGGGTAAAAAAATTGTTCCAATCCTATTGATGATGCATACTCTATTAGAATTAATAATAATTTTATTTTTCCCGTTTTCAACATAACTGATAATGCAGGTAGTTGAAACAGTGCATTATTAACTATTTTGGAAGTGTACAGTTCCAAAACGAGATTTATTTCAGGATGCCTAAATACTTTTATAAAAGGATCGCATTTTGTTCTTGTTGTTTTGGTCCAGATCCTTGAATGCAAATTTTATAGAATTGTGTGCAGGGTGTGTGTGCCTCTGTGAGTGTGTGTAGAACAGTAATGTAATTTCAGTAATGTAATGTAATGCAATTTCCCTTTGCAATAGAAGCACTTGATCTCTGTCAAAAATCACAAGATGTTTTTCTCTCTTGGAAACCTCTAAAGAACTTGTAGCTCTAACATTATGTGTGTGTAAGGGTAATGTTGACTTTCCTGAATTTCTCTGTGATATTTTGAGGATTTTCTGGGCTGGGGCTTAGGCTCATTCTTTAGTTGCATCATTAGCGTGTCCTGAGGCAATTTGGAGTATAGTATGGAAAGATTGTTGGGCAGGTTCACTGAATTATTTATTTATTAATTAAATTAATTATTCTTCTTAACGAGCATGTGGGAAAGTTAGCTTGAATGCATTGACGTTTGTCAAGCACCAGGAATGCACATTTCACTACAGATTTCTGAAAATGCAGATTTTTTTTCCTATCAGCTGACTAATAATCCTATAAGCACCTTAGTGTTTGTTGCTTTCTTTAACCTATAGATAGCTAGGACCTAGGAGAGTTGGGTTGGGGGAGCAGGTTCAGAATCTCCTCCTCCTCCAACTCTCCTCCTTTCTAGCACTGATGATGTTCTTCCCTCTCGCCTTCTTTTCTCTCTTTTTCCCTTTGCTTCTCTCCTCCTCCTCTGTCCTACCCACCCATCTTTTCATCTCTGTCACCAAGTATATCTAATCTGCTAGGGATTGTTTGCACTGCAAATCCAGAGTTTTCTGAACCAGACATGGTAGATGAAGCTAATATCATGGCTTTCCATGAAACCACATAACAGTAGGGGTTTTTTTGGTCTGTACCTGTCAGCGGCACCTGTCTTTTAAAAAACCACCACGCGATAGGTTAACGTCTAGGTTTATTGAAGTCCGTAGATGGCATCCAATCGGACCCTGCTGTAGTTCCTTTTAGATGCATGCCTGGCTCTTTGCACCTAGAAATCCTCCGCTGTCTGCATTTTCAACAGCTCTCTTTATTTCACTAGCACGCCTTGAACTAACTTTCTTAAAGTGGCAGGAGTGCTGTACGCCAGGGGTCTCCAAGTTTGGCAACTTTAAGACTTGTGGACTTCAATTCCCAGAATTCCCCAGCGGCCATGTATGGGAATTCTGGGAGTTGAAGTCCACAAGTCTTAAAGTTGCCAAAGTCGGAGAGCCCTGACGGATGACGGATCGTCATTTGGAACACAACACATCAGATATCACAGTTGTCGAAAACTGAAACGTACAATTTATTGATATCGCGGTACCAGGAGTCACCAGAGTCGAAGAGAAAGAACTGGAAAAAATCATGAAATATCGCGACCTGGCCATCAAAACTACGCGATTATGGATGAAACATGTCACAGTGATACCCATTGTCATTGGGGCATTTGGTACCATATGCAAGAATTTTATAAGATACATCAACAAATTGAAGCTTCCTGCAATAACACCAGCGGAACTGCAAAAAACTGCGCTACTTGGAACATCGTATATTTTAAGAAGATCCTTGGTTGATACCTAGGATGCTGGCATGGCACCAGTCAATGGTATTTGTGATGCATTTTTGAATGTCCAGTTGACTGAGTTTCATGTTTAATGAATAAAAGAATAATAAGAATAATAAGAATAAGAATAATAATGATGATGAACACCTGTGTTTTGGAAAAACAAAACCCAGATCCCACAAAATGCACAAACCTCAGTGAAATGGATTATATAACAAATCAACAACACTCCCCAAAAAATAGAGAATGGGAGCAGGGACAAAGTACTATCTCTCTTCCTATTTATAGAAGGTTATCTGTTCTCCCCAAAGGGATTCTTATTTAACACAGGAGACCAGCTCCAGAGCTGTTGATAAGCCTAAAATAACCGAGTAAGGAACATGTTTTGAACCGCCTCCTCTCCTGGAGGCAGAAGATAACACTGGGATTCTCTGGCCATGACTCTTTTAAAAAGTTGGAGCGCGGAAGACAATTGGTTTGGTGCCCAGATGGTTAATAAGGAGAGCCAGACTTTTAAAAAAAAGGAACTGGAAGAGGTTTTGAGACATGCTCAAAGAATAATCCTAGAGACCAGATGGCTGTGGCAAATAGGTTGGAGACCCCTGAACTAGAGAGACCCTTTGAGGATGAATCACATGAGGGGGAATCCCCCCCCCAAATTTCCTTAGTTCTGGAGCTGCTTGTTGGGTTTTTTTTCTTTCCTTTTTTCTTTGCCAATACATTCGGAGTTGCTCTTCTACCATTCCATATCTCCCTTCTTCCACGACAACCATTCCTCTCCTTCTCCCCTCTTCCCCTTCCCTCCCTCCCTTCTATTCTTTTCAACTTTCTTCTTTCCTCCTCCTCCTTCCCCTTCCTTTCCCCTACTCCTCCCCTCTTTCTCTCTAAACCTCTCTC